AGAGCACTAGGCCTGGAGTCAGGACAAATCTAACCTCAGACACTTAACTAGCCGTGTGACCCCGGGGCAAATCACTTCAGCCAGTTTGCCTCAGTTTCCTCATCTGTAAAATGAGCTGGAGAAGGAAATGGTGGACCGATCCAGTATCTTTGCCAGGAAAACCCCAAATGGGGTCAGGAAGAAGAGTGAGACATGAGTGAATAACCAAAAATGAAGGAGCTAGAGGTGACAAGAATGATATCCTATGGGGGCAACTAGATGTCACAGCAAGCAGAGCTTAGGCATTGGAGTCAGGAGGACCTGAGTTCACATATGACCTCAGACACATAACACTTACTAGCTGTGTGACCCTGGGCAAGTCACTTAACCCCAATTGTCCCACCAAAAACAAAACAAAAACAAGAACGACACCCTACAGGCTGCCAGAGCGATGAGTGGAGCTCAGGACAGGGCCTGGCTGCAGGAGCAGATCTGGAAGCCATCTGTGCTGAGCTGAGGGTCTGAAAAGAACAAATATGGGCATTAATGGGACTGTGAGGGGAGAGAAAAAGGACAATGTCAAGCCAAAGACACTCCCCCCACCCTGCCCCCCAGCAGTCCAGAGAGAAATCCTGCAGGCGGTTTCAGAGGGGTGACTGGGGCCACGTGTGCCCTGAGGCGTGAGGGAGGAGAGTTTCAGGAAGAAATGAGTCAAGGGACAGCTCATGTAGGGAAAAGAACTGGCTGGTGGTGGGATTGCAGAAGGCCTGGCTTCACATCTCACCTCCCACTCTGTCCCCTTCAAGCCTGAGTGATTCTGGACAAGTATCGGAGCCTCCCAGTGTCCCAGCTGACTCAGGTTCTAAGGGCCAGAACTTCAGCGACAGGGGAAGTTCTTGATCCAGGGCATGTTAGACATGAAATCATAGGTCCTGTGGGTGGGTGGGGACCAAGACTGAAAAAGGGATTTGCCCTTGGGGGTGGTGAGGTCCCAGAGAAATCAGGGAAGATGGAGACTGAACAGCAGTTCATAGGCGGTGGGCTGGGGCAGGGGGTGGGGGTGGGGATCAACCATCAGCGACCTTCTGGTGAGTGAACAGTCTCATGGAGGGGGGAGGCTAGCATATTGCAGGAGGCTCGGTAGGACAGGTGCCACTGAGGTGGAGCCAGAGAAAGACAGGGGACTTTTAGGAGATGGAAAGTCCTTCCTGACAAACGAATCAGTCATGAGAGAACTGCCTGGAGAGGCAGCTTCCAAGTATAAGGAGGTGATGGGTCCTCCAGGAAGTGCCCCAGCCTGGCCAGGTACAGCTGGGGGGGGGGCATATTTCAGAAGGTTATTGGCTCAGTGCATAGAGTCAGAGAAGACCTGCCTTCAGACCCCACCTACCTTGGCTCTAACTGGGCTTCAAAGGCTTTTTGACTTACTAGCTGTGTAAATCCATTGACCTCTCTTTTAGCCTCAGTTTTCTTGTCTGTAAAATGGGTATAATAGCACTGACCGCACAGGCCTGTTGTGCAGATCAAATGAGATTATGGAGGCAAAGCCATTTAGAAAGCACCAGACCACTATTCACTATTATTGTTGTGAGTGTGAGCTGGGAAGCAGCAGCAGCAGCAGTGGATAGAGTCAGAGGAGGGCTGATTGAGGTAAACCCTGGAGATCAGAAGGAGGTAGGGACAGACGTGATTGCTGGCTTCACATGTTTGAGGTGATGGATGGGAGCTGGACCAGACATGTTCCCATGACCCTCGGAGGGCAGACTCAGGAGTAGTGAAGCTACAAAGAAGCCAATGACTTCTACATTTCCTAAAAGTGGCCTGGGCTGCTCTGGAAGGTGGTGAGCTTCCCATCACTGGGAGGTCTTCAAGCACAACGTGGAGGCTCACTGTCTCTGTGAAACCTTCCCAGATTGCCTCTGCTGCCAGGGCATTGCCTTCACAGTCCCTGGCATTTATTTTGCACCAACCTATATGTGTATTCGTTGTCTGATACATTCGCTCCCTCCTCCCTCCCAGAGGAAGGCAGCTCCTGGAAGGCAGGGTCAGTTTCTCTTTGCCTAGCACAAAGCAGGCCTTTATCAGGGCTTTGGGACTGAGTGGTTGAGGGATCCATCAGGTTTATTTTCAAACGTGTAAGACCTGCACTGTTTAAGCCCCTCAGGTCCCCTCCTGGCCCAAGAGCCTCTGGCTGAGTGAAACTGGAGCAGGGGGGTAGAGACCTCCCCTGGGAGAAGACAGGGTAGGAAGGAAGAGGGGGGCACTCCCTCTCCAGCAACCCCTCCAATCCTTTTCAGGCCTGCGCGTTCCAGCCCCCTCCTAGGCACCAGGTGAGGCCCCCACCTGTCCCAGGGAGGAAAGGACAGACGGCGGCGGCAGGCTGGCCTGCAGGCCGGACAGATCTGAGGAGGCCCGAGTTAGACAATATAGAGTGTTTATTTTGGACAAAGTCGCTCTTGGCTGCCCGAGCTGGAGTCGCTCCCGCCCCCGGAGGTGGGAGAAGCCCCTGCCCTGAGTCCCCGGAGTCCGCCCTCCCAACACCGTCCGGACACGCGGCACTCGACCACAAGCACACATGCACTCACGCAGCTCACACTCACCGCGGGGCTGAAGCTAACACTAGATTTCGCTGGGGGGTGGGAGGCAGCAGGAGGGATGGGAGGAGCCTGGCCGGAGCGGGAGGGGCAGGGGCAGGGAGAAGCAGCAGGTCTAGGCTACCTTAGATTTCAATCTAGTATTTCTAGTCTATCGGCATTATTGCATGTATACGCTTGTTCAGAGTCAAAGTAAAGAGACTCCGTGGGGAAGCGGGGCAGGGCTATCTCTTCTAATAGGAGCTGCCACAGCCCCCAGGGGGCCGCAATAGCTGGGAGGGGGAAGGGGCGGGGGGGGATATGGCCGAGGTGGGAGGGGCCGGAGCTTGGAGGCCGCCCTCCTCCCTTACAGGCGCTGTCCGAGGTACACGTGCCCTAGCCCCCTCGGAACTGGTGTCTTCAGCGCGGTCCTTGTGGTGATCCCCACACAAGGGGCAGGCCAGCTCTCAGAGCTCTCAGTTCAGTGCGGGGGAGGGGTGTGGGGGGCAGACCTTCGGCCAGCTGACTGGGGACGGGGTTGGCGGAACCTGACAGGTCCTCGCCTCCTGGCCCCGCCCCCAGTCTGGTTGCTCCCCAACAGCCAAGACCTGCTTTTCACCGCGCCCCGCCCCAGCCCACGTACGCACACACATTTTGTTCCTGGGGTGGCGGTGGGGGCTCTCTGCAGGCTCTGGAAGCAGGACACCACAAGAATGGGAGGGAGCAGAGGGGAAGGGAAGCTATGGCGGGCCAGCCCCATCCAAGGGATGAGCTGAGAAGGAAAATGGGAGGCTGAGGCTGAGGCTGAGACGGCCCTACCCCCCCTCCCCGAAAACCACCTCTTTCCCTCCCTCTCCTTCTCTCCCAACTCTTCCCCCTTCTCCCCCTTCCTTCCTTCCTCTACTCGTCCTCATCCTCTGCTTCTATGTTCCCTTTGCCTCTGCTCTGGAGACTGAGGGCAGCCTTCTCGACTTCCTCTACTTTAGCCAGTCGAGACTACTTGTTCAGTCTCTGTTGTCTCCAGCATCCACCTGAATGCTGACTGCCCACCCACCACCTCTGGCTGACCATCTCCCCCAACTTTGCCCTTGGTTTCTCAGTTTCCTGCTTGGTCTACTTAACTCCCCCCCACCCACCACAGCTCTATCTGTCAATTTCTCCTGGCTTTCTCTCTAGCCTCCCTTACCAATTCTATCAGTCCTTCTCATTTGGCACCTAGAGAGAAGTCCCTGGAATAAAGGTGGGATATGGAGATCCTGGCATGGCAGTGTCAGGAGGCTCTGGTCAGAGGTGTAGAGGGCAAGGACTTCCAGAGCTGGCCACAAAGTGGCCCCTGACAGCTGCTCCCCACACACCTGGACTCCAGAGCTTTTTCTGCCACAGCCCTTTGCCTGAGGATGGGGGTGGGGGAGGGGGAAGGTCCAGAGAGGGTGGTGGGATGGGGCTGGAGTGGGACAAGGTTAGGGCTCCCCAAGCTCTGGACATTGGGTGAGATAAAGAGGCATCTCCAATGTGTGAAGACTCCAGGCCACGGATGTGGCTATTACAGTGTCAACAGGAAAGGACAGCACGAAAGCATGTGCGTGCGTGCGCATGCACATGCGCACACACACACACACACACACACACACAGAGGCATAAGCACAGGCACACAGACACATGGACCTAGAAGCTCGGTTGTACACACAACACTCTGGGCAGGCCAGCTGTCACCCCTCCCCCATCCCAACACACTACAGGGACCGAAAGCCTTCCGGCCCCTCTAGACCCTCATGGCCTGGGAGTAGAAGACTAGCTTCCTACCCACCGCACTTCCTGCCTGTGGTCCCAACGGGGCTGTGACCTCTGCCACCCACCACCAGGACCAGTACCTCTTCAATCATCACACCTGGCTGGGGGACAGATCACAGCATAGCTAGTCACGATCCGATGGCCTTCTTGACAGAGGTGAGCAGTCCCATCTCTCACAGGGCTCTGGACCCAGATGCCAGGGAACCAGAGACTCTGCCCTGCCTCCAGCACCCACAAGGCCCTGGGTTCAGTCCTGGAACTAGCCAGAATTCCCTTCCTACTTCCACAAGGGAGCCAGGTAGGCAGCCAAGGGGCTGCCCCACAGGCACCATTAGGAGGGGATCTGACTCAGTCTTTCTGTTTGCACCTGTTAGGTACTGGGGACAAGGAGAGGACAGATCTGATTGGAGGATATGAGGAGGGAAAGTTAGGGGGTAGCAGAGAAAATGAATATTTGGGGAGCTTGGACCTTGGGGTCAGAGGAGGCCTGTGGGGCATGGGGGGGGGGAAGCCAGGAGGAGGGGCTTCGAGGAACAGAAGTATCTCCTGGAACAACTTCCTCTTTACCCGCCTCAGCAGGGGACTCCGCCAGCTGCCAGGCGGCCTGCCTGCCTGCCTAGCGAGCCAGCCATTCATCCATCGGTCTGTCTATATGTCTATAGATGTATAGATATATAATATGAATATATATTACATATAGTTACAAGAGAGATTCTCCCCCAGGCATGCACTGATTTCCAAAGGAGCTGCACGGGGGTCTGCTCTGTGCCCCATGTGCCCCTATTCCCCACAGTGGCAGGGCTATTTTTTCCGAGCCAAGAAAGCCAGCCCCAGAACCACTGCCAGGGCAGCCACGGCCACCCCGCCGGCCACGATCAGCGGCTTCAGGTTCTCAAAGGCGCCAGGGCCTCCGGCTGGTGCAGGCGCTCCCTCTTCCTCAGCGCCATCCCCTGGGCCCTTCGGCTCTGAGCCAGCAGCAGGACTGGGAGCTGCAGGAGCTCCTGGATCGGGCTTCAGGCCACTGTGGCTGTTGAGCAGAGCTGGGTCGGCAGATGCCTGGGCCTTCTTGGGGGGCGCCGGAGGTGTGGACGGCTGCTCTCTCTTCTCTGGAGCCTCCTTCTTCTCAGCCTTGGCTGAGGGGGTGGCAGAAGCTGGCGAGGACTTGGATTCAGACTTGGGGCCGCTGGCAGGCCTCCCCTTGGCCTCCATGTTGGGCTGGGCTAGCTTGGGCCAGGCCTCACTGTGGGCGGTCTGCAGGGGCAGGGCTGGAGGAAGGCAGATGTGGCTCAGTCACGAGGGTCCCTGGGCATGGCACAGAACCTGGAGAGGAGGCAGAGAGTCAGTGAATTGGAGGCTGGGCACTTGTGGGAATCCTGACCTGCGTCTCCATATGTGGTGCCCAGCCTGGGAGCCAGGTCTCCTCCCTGCCTTAATGGTCAGGTCTATGGCACTTTCTGGGTTTTTGCTTCCCTCACAGAGAATCGACCAGGTGGGAGAAGGACAATGTCTTCTTGGAGCAGCTGGGAGCCCCTGCTGGGGCCCGGGGCCCCTTCCCTCCGAGGCGGACTCCTTTACACATGGGGGCTGGCACACTGCCCTCACCCACGCCCGCTCTTAACTTCTCTCCTGCCCAGGGAGAATCTGTGTCCCCAGATGTTCTAGGTGTTCCCTTGGGCCCCTTCTAGTTAGGGTACTCTGTGGTCCTAAGCACTTAGAGAGGCTCCCCACACTCCTACCTCTGAGTCAGCCAGATTTATGGGAAGACCTAGGTCCTGCCCTCAGGAGCATACACTCTTCAGTCATGGAACAGAGCAGTGCCAGGGCTTGGCTGGGGCCCATGCCACCCAGGCTGCAGGAGCTCAGAGGATAACAAAGGTGACAGAAACAAATGTGCCCATCACAGGATGGACAGGAAGGAGGACACTCTGAATGGGAGTACCACATGACAGAAAGCTCTGAGGTGGGAATGTCAGGTGTGTTTGGGGGACCAGGAGAAGAACAGAGGCAGGAAGAGATGACATGTGTGTGCACACATGGGTGCATATGGGGAGGACACGGGATGTGTGTGTACAGGTGTGTGTGTGTGTGTGTGTGTGTGTGTGCATGTGTGTGTGCGGGGAGGACATGGGATGTGCATGTACAGGTGTGGGGGGAGGACATGGGATGTGTGTGTACAGATGGGTACATGTGGAAAGGACATAGGATATGTGTGTACAGGGGTGTGTATGTGTGTGTAGGACACAGGATGTGTGTGTACAGGCATGTGGGTGTGTGCAGGGAGGATATGGGATGTGTGTGTGTGTGTGTGTGTGTGTGTGTGTGTGTGTGTGTGTGTGTGTAGGACCCTGGGATGCATGTGTGTGTGTGCACAGAGAGGAAATGGGATGTATGTGTACGTGTGTGTGTGTAGGACCCATTATGGGTGTGTACAGGTGTGTGTGTATGTGTGTGAGACCCTGGGGTGTGTGTACAGATGAATACATGCAGGGAGGACACAGGATGTGTGTGTATAGGTGCATGTGGGGAGGACCTGGGATGTGGGTGTGTGTACGTGGGGAGGACACAGGATGTGTGTGTGCAGATGGGTGGTGCAGGGAGGACGTGGGGCTAGAAAAGGAGGTGGGATTCCTCACAACATGAAGGGGTCCCACAGTTACAAGTTAAGGAGCATGTTCCAGAATCAGACCCAGCACTTCTGCAGCTCTGTCTCCTCTGGGTCCCTTGCACAGCGCCACCCTACCAAGAGATCTTTATTGAATGAACTGAGCCCTCAAAACACCCAACAAAGCAGGCACAACATGCTATTATTCCATTTTGCAGATGTAATAGCTGAGACCCAGCTCACTTCAGTGACTCTCCCCAAGGCAGTTCAGTTTCCCCTGGATTTACAGACTTTAAGCTTTGGGAAGTGCTTTGTTCTGTCCTCGGCTCAAGGGAGATGCTACAGGGCTCCTGGGGCGTCCTTAAGCTCAGGCCAAATAGTGCTCTGGGCCCTGCAAGCCTGCAGAGACTTCTGGGATGGAGCTTGGAGGCCTGGGGCATTAATGAGAGGTCCTCCCTTGAACTTCCCTGTGCCTCCTGGCATTGAACCCACTGTGACCATCCAGTGCTTTCCTCATACCAACCCTGATGGGCATCACGCTATTAGCCCCACTTTGCAGATGAGGAAACTGGGGTGGCTTGCTTAGGACCACTCAGTTAGCTCCTGTCTTTCCTTGTGCCTGTTTCTGTGGGCACAGTGTGCTCAGGGCAGGGCACTTCTCCTCCCAGGGCTGCTCCAGCTCCAGCTCTGAGGGCCTCCATGTCCCTGTCCCTCACCCATACAATCAGAGACACTCACACACACAGACACACAGAGCACCTGCTTCGGCTTCTCCTCCCTCTCAGTGACTCTTCTGAGGGCTCCCGTTGGGCCTTGGGCCTGTCTCCAGGGTAGCTACCACCACCGGGTGAGCAGCACCCCCTCCCCAGCTCCTCCCTGTGGGCCCTCCCCTCCCAGTTTGATGCCATGGAGACCAAGCCCCTGCAGGGGGAATGGGCATGGAGGCAGCCTCAGGGATTGAGTGGGTTGTGAGGGTGGTCCTAGGATCTGGGAGGCAATGCAGGAGCCGTCATGTGACCTGAGATCTGGGCAGGACCACTGGGCTTAGGAAGACACCGAGAAAGTCTCCGTATCTGGGAGGAAACTGGAGCCGGGTGCAGGGGCTGAGACAACCTGGGATTGGGTCAGCCTCCTGTGAGAAAGCTTTGCCTCGAAGGGTGACCTCACCACCAAGAGCTCTCCAAACTGCGGCTGGCTGAAATCAGCCTGCTGGGCTGCACGCTGAGCCCAGGACGGATCTCCAAGGCTCTCCTGCTTCTGTGCTGGAAAAACTTAGGTACCTAGCCTCCTCTCCTAAGCTCAGGGGACAGAGGGCTGCTGCCTGCATCCCATCTTCCAGGCCTGGTAGAAGCCACGCCTTTGCCCTACAGAGCCTTCTGAAGGTCACCTTGAAAGTCAAAGCTCAGGCTTTTCCCTCCTCCCCCATTACTTGGAGAAGGGGGAGGGCCCTGAGCCTCTCCCCTTCCTCTGGGCCGTTCTGGAACCAGGGGTGGATGGACCCTGGAGGGCCTCTCCCTCTCGCCCCTGCACCCTCAGCTCTGCTCTGCACAGAAGCTGGGAAGGATCCTGGTGCTAAGGTTTCTATCCCAGGGGAGAAGAGCCTTGTCAGAAACTCCAGTCGAAGAAAAAGAGGAGGAGCAGGAAGGGGAGACCAAGAATACCCCTTCCCTTCACTTGAGGCTATTTTAAACCTCAGAATGATGCCGTTTAAATACAAAGTACCCCGCCTCCCCCTCCCCTAGAAGGTCCGCCCCCCTCCCCAGCCGTAAGAGCCCTCTCAGGTTTTATTCTTCATTCCTGTCCCCTTTTCCTGCTCTAGCTACTGCTGCGCTATGCAGACACAGCCAGCTGCCACTGAGGAGGGGTCACGAGGTCCAGCTGCCCCAGCCTGCTGCCTGAGAAGGAAGGAGGACCCTAGCCCCCAGCACCTTCCCTCTCCTTTTCTAATCCCATTGACCTTCAAGCAGGTGGTGCAGCACTGAGCCCCCAAGAAGAGGAAACCCTTCCTTTGACCCACAAGCCCCGGAGCTCTCTCCCTGCCCACCATCCCTGTATCCCAGGTTCCAGATATCCATCCCCACTTCCTTTCATCCTCACCAGGCAGGAACAAAAAGTCAGATGAGGAATGAGGTGCTTACCAAGAATCGTCCCGGAGTCAGACCGGGCCAGGCTGGTTCTCCCCCACCTCCCTGGTTGCTACCGGTCTGCACAGAGACAGGAGGGACAGGAGGAGAAGGAGGAAGATAAGGAGGAGGAGGAGGAGGAGGAGGAGGAGAAGGAAGAAAAGGAGGAGGAAGAGAAGGATGGGGGTGGGGAGGAAAAAAAAGAACTTGGGAGTTTCCCACAATGCACCACTCCAGGCTGCACTAAGCTGAGGACCAGGGACAGGAGAGGCTGGGTGTGGGCTGGGCCTTTGGTCCAATGGGAGGCTAGGGGTGGGCCTTCTACTTCCCTACCCTCTAGGCAAAGACAGCTCCACCCACTCCAGCAGCCCTGGTGAACTCCGGGACTTCCTCAGCGCAGGTAGCCAGCCTGACCTCACCCTAGCTCCAAACCAGGCCCAGTCCAAGCTTATTCCAGCCCAAGGCTCATCAAATGAGTTTTCTATCTGTCTGTCTATCTATACACAGATATGGTGGAATATACATATAGATGTATGCCTATGTATATATTCTAAAATGTATATATAAAACTATATGTGTATATACACATATATATGACTCCAGTCCATCTGCAAGCCAAACTCAATGATAGCTTCCTCCTCAAAAAGGTGGAGAGCCTGACAAAGGGGGAACCCTCATCTGAAAGATTCTCAGTTCAGGGGAGGCAGGGCTGGGCCATAGCGGTCAGAAGGATTAAGAAAGCCATGGAAGTGAAGGCCAGGCCTGCTACTGACCTGGGGCCTGGGGCAGGAGAGCTCCAAAGCAGGGGCGTTGAGCTAGAGAAGGGGCTCCAGTGCCAGGCAGCCAATAGCCCCGGGCTCTTAGAAGTGCACTGTGGGAAAGAAGAGGCCCCAAGAAGAGAGAGAGGTCACTGCTCCCAAAGAAAGCAGAGCTGGCCAAGCCAGAGCAAAGATGGCCGAGGGAATGGACAGCCAAGATAAGGAAGGAGAGAGGAAGAGGGCCCTGAGCTGCCCTGCATGAATTCAGATTCAGGCTCTGAAAAAAATGGGCAGAGACATAGTGGCTGAGCTTTGGCCAGGGGTATTTGAAAGAGCATGAAAAATGGGAAATGAACCCCAAAACTAGAAAAGGGGAAACAATATACTGATTTTGGGGAGGAAGAGACCAGAGTCTTCAAATGACAGGTGAGTGAGCTTGACTTTGAGTCCCGGGAAAATTACAGAATAGATCAGGAAAGGGCTGGTTAGTGAATAACGAGGAAAGAAAGAAGAAAAGAAGGGAGGGAGAGAAGAAGAAAACATGTGTATTAGAAGTGCCTACTATGTGTCAGGTGTCGTACTAAGCACTTCACAAATGCTAGGAGGTCGGGGCCCTTATTATCCCCATTTTACAGTGGGGGAAACTAAGGCAGAGAGAGGTTTAAGTGACCTGCCCAGCATCACAATGGCTAGTAAGCGTCTGAGGCTGAATTTGAACTCAGGTCTTTCTGACTCCAGGCCCAGCGCTTGCAGTTATTCCCAAGACCAAGCAAGGTTTCGTTGGACCCAGACATCCTGGACCTATCTCATTTCCTTTTTAACGGGGTTCTCAATTTTGTAGATGGGGGAGTTGCATAGGTACACTTTCCATTTACCTTAGCAAAGTGTTGGATAAAATATCTCATGTCATGTTTTCATGTGCCAAGCTGGACAGATGTGACCTAGACACTGGGACCATCGGATGCATTCGGACCTGGTGGAATGTTCAGAGCAACGAGAGGGAGGGTCACTGACGATTTATGCCAAATGTGATCATCTCAACACACACAGTTATGATTTCTTTAACCGCAGTAAGAGCTGCTGGTCTCCAACGAATTGGAGAAAGACGTTGGTCAATGGAAGGATGTTGCTGACGACAGGAATCGGGGGACACAGTTTCCAATGGAAGCTTCCTGAGTGGAATCCTGGAATAACACACAACTCAATAGAAACGTGTCATATCCTGTCTTTGGGTTCAAGGAACCAACCTCCTGGGTGGAAGGGAGGCTTGGCTCGGCTGGATGGCTGTTCTGAGAAACACCAGCTTTGGGGAGGGGCAGATTGAGAAGGAGATGGCTCTGCTGACCTCTGCCCAGGTCAGGGCAGACCACACTAGGTGTGCCGGGTCGGCTCCTGGGCACTCTCAGGAGGATGCTGGTAGGCTGGAAACCACGTGGGCCAAGGTGACCAGGACGGGAAAGGGGCGTTTAGGGGGAGGTGCTCAGCTTGCAGAAGACTCGAGGACCTGATAATTGGCTGCCCTAAGGAGGAGGGTAATTAGCCTGTTCCTGTCTGGCCTCAGAGCATAGAAGGAGGACAGGGGAGGGAGAGGGAGACCAAGGTTCAGACAAACTGAGGCTAAAAGTCAGCGAACACTTCCAAACTCTACAAGGGGCTGCCTGGCGGTGGGGTGGGGTCCCCAAAGAGCAGCTGGAAGACCACTTGTCCTGCGGGCTACAGGATCCTTTACTGGCCTGGTTCGGGCTAGAGGAGATTCTGGGATTCTTGGCCCCTGACTTGCCCCTCACATGTTTTTCTCTCTGGTTTTCAGTCTGTGAAACAGAAAAACCCCTGTCCTCTAAGGCTGGGGTGGGTTGCTGATCCCAAGCCCTCCTGGATTTGTTAGGAGAAGGCAGTCTTCATTGCCTTAGGGTTCACCCTAGTTAGGGAGGTTCACAGGTAGGAATAATCCTGAATACTCAGAATGAATGGCATAGCACCCTCTGGTCTCCCCGCTCAAGCTCCTCCAACCATCCATGTCTGTCTGGTTTGGCTGGACCTGCCCAAGGGTGAGATCTGCTTGGTGACAAGGTGCCTGGAGGGGACCAGTCACAAGAATCCCAGGGCCTATTAGCCTTTTGGGGGTGGGGGTGGAGGAGGGAGGGCAGGTCCATGGACCCTTGCCTCCTTGCTCTATCTCCACCAAAGCAGACCCCCAGGGCAACCAGGCACAGATTCTGACCACAGGGACATCTGGAGAGGCTGGTGGAAGGAGGCTCGGATTACTATCCCATTTTATAGATGGGGAAGCTGAAGCCCAGAAAGAAGCTTTCCTGAGGTCCCATGGCCGCTAAGTGGCAGAGGGGGACCCTGCTCCTGCTCCCCCAGCCAGTGATCGATGCTTCCCAGAGGCCTTTGCAGCATTGGCCACGCCTGAATGGGATGCTGGCTCTTTGGCCCATTGCTGACCCCAAGCCAGAGCTCGGGACTAGAGGAATCTACTTAGAATATTTATTTCTTTATTCTCTTACATGACAAGACACAAAAATTACAACTTTTTAAAACTCTTGTTCAGAAGGAAAAAAAATAGACTTCTGTAAGCAGCAGCTTTGCAAAGTACAGGTTTGTCCAAGATTTGATTCTACAACCAATGGGCAGAGGGGTGAGAGCTGTCCGAGGCCCAGCTACTTTCTTAGTGCCCTAATTGGCAACAGTGCCCCCTGGCAGTTAGCCTCAGGAGCAGCCTCCTGGGCACTGGGGTGGGTAGGGGCCTAAATTAGTGTTACTGAGGTTCATCCCCCAGCTCTTACCAAGTGGCCAGGGACAGGCACAGCACCCTCACACCAGGTGGTCACCAAACATTCACACTTTTTTTGGGGGGGAGGGGCTACCTAAGCTAGTTGGATTAGTTCTGGGTGGAAAGAGAGCTGCCCCACAGATTCTGGAGTCTACCTAGTCAGGGCCCCACAATGTGATTCCCCAAGGAGCCCCCATACCCTTTGCTGGGAGAACCAGGTAAACAGACCTTCCTAAGGGGCGGCCAGTTGGGATGGGGCTGTTGGCTAGGGAAGGGGAGGGATACTACGAGGTCAGGTGGTCCCAGGCCCTGGCAGGAATCCAGAAGGAACAAGGAATAAGGGGGCAGGGCTGAGCATGGCCCTTCTTTAAGGTCCCCTAACCCAACTCCGTTGGGATACAGTCATCGCCCCACGATTCAGCTCAAGGCTGGGGGAGGGGAGGCATCCTATCAGGTCCCTGAAGGCCCTTCTCTGGGTTCTTAGCCACTTCGGGATCCTGTGGCATTTCTCCCCTTCTCCGATGCGCACACACACACATACACACACACACAAAACTAGAGTCAGACACAAGAACATACCAACACTGCACATAACTCCACACAGAAACAATCCTGGAGCCCCTCCCCTCAATCATTTTTGGGCCCTGCCCCTCTCAGGGCCTCAAGGAGGCCAGGGGAGGACTCTGCCCGATCTTGAAGCCATTGAGTCCTCGAACCTCAAAAGTCACCCCTCCCCTCTAGGATGCCAGGGGTGCCTCCTCACTCTCACAGGAAGAGCTGGAGAGGGCAGGGTGGGAATAGGCCACACCCAGTCAGAAACCTCCAGAAGAGGCCCTAAAGATCTCTCCAGAGGAAGAAAGGAAGGAGGGGGGAGGAGCTTGGCCATCCAAAGCCTGGCTCCTGTTTAGGGGTCCCTGGGGACTGGAAAGCCAGGAGCCTCAGAGCAGCAGAATACCTAAGAGACCCTGATAGGTGGGGGAGAAGCCAAGACATCCCCATTCCCCAAGGGCAGCAAACTGACTAGAGGCAAGGGGAAGGACGGACATACAGACCAGTGGAGGCTGGTAGGGATGGTGCCCCTTGCCCCCAGGCGACGCTGCTCCCTCTCAGGGCTCCGGTATGTTAATAAATAGCTTTGTGCCTGGTCCTCTCCACAGAGGTAGGACTGAGGAGGGGTTCCCATGCCCTGGGACCCTGCCAGATAGGGCCTGGGGCAGTAACCAGTGGGGGTCCCCTCAGCCTGAGGCCAGCTCAGAGAGGGGGAGGAGAAGAAGAGCCACAAGGTCTCTGGGGCCCCCTCTCCAGCCCAAGTTGGGGCAGGGGACTAAGGAATGTAACGGTCTCTATTTCTGCATAAATAAAAAAAATTGATCCCAGTCTCTGTAGGAGGGGGAGGGGTTGCACTATGGCTTCCTCCCACCCTTCCACATCGGCTGCCACCACGCCAAGGACACTCAGGAGCAATACCGCCCCCACACTGAGGTCTCCTTCCAGAGTTTCTGCCTGTAGCTCTAGGGTGGGGTCTCCCAGAGGGTGACAGAAGGGGGCTGGGGCCAGGCTGGGAGCTGGACGGGGTTCAGTCGTGGCGCTGACCTGGGAGTAGCCCCAGCAAGGCCTCACCGATGCCCACAAAGTAGACCACTTGGGCAATGCCGAAGAGTGGGGCGATCACCAGGGCCCGGCAGTAGGCGCCCTTGAGGAAGGCTGATGGGCCTTCATGCCTCAGAATCTTCCTGGGAGAAGGATAAGACTGTTAGGAGCCCTGTCTGGGGAGGACTTGATCCTGCCTTGTCCCCTCCCCGCAACAGCCCAGGCCCCCCACCCCCCACCCCCTACCCGTCTGACCTGGCACAGTCCAGGAAGCCTGAGTAAGTGTCCTCATTCACACCTCGCTGCAGAGACTGCAGGCGGGTCTTAACCACTGCTCAAGGAGAATATTAAAGTGAGTGAGGGGAGCCAGGTAGGTTGGGTACCCTTCTTCCCACCCCCCTAGAGAGACACTGACCATCACAGGGGTTGACAGCCACAGCAGCCGTGCTCCCTGCAACACAGCCTGCCAGGAAAGACACATAGAATGGCGACCTGGCTCCTGGCTCTGAATGGCCCAGCTGATTGAGGTTGGCGAAGAGAGGGAAGTAGACGATGGAGAAGGGCACATCCCTGGGGGGAGGAAGGGAGAAAGAGGACTGAGTCTGCAGGGGCAAGGAGCTCAGGGGCCCCAGACTAGGCTGGCCAGCCCCACTCTAGCCCCTTACCTGAGCAGTGTGGCGCCCAGTCCCTTATAGAGCCCTGCAATGCCCTTGCTTCTCAGCAGCTCCCGGGTCAGCTGGGTGGCTGTAGGGCGGGCAGGGGCAGCAGACCCCACCACAGACTGGGCCCCGCCCTGGGCTGAGAGGTGGGCCTGGGTCTCCAGCATCTTCTTCTGAGCCTCTGGGGAAGGGCAGGGGAGGACAGTGTTAAGAGGTTCCTTATCTCCTCCCCCTCAGACTGGGGTAGGGATGAAGAGCAGGGACTCCTAGGAGCTCAGGAGAGAACTAACCAGCTGCCCAGGCTTCCCGCCAGGTCCCCCAGGCCACAGTCCGCCTCAGGCCCAGCTTAGCAAATTCTCCAGCCAGGAGGTGGGCTCTCCTTTCCCAACCAAGCCCAGGTACCCAGGCTTGCCCCCTGTACCGAGGCGCCCTGCATCCTGGAGCTGGATCTTGAGCATCTCCATGGGGGTGGTGACGATCACTTGGCATGTGCCAGCCCCACAACCGGCCAACATCTCCTTCAGTAAGGTCAGCTTCTGCCTGGAGGACAGCAGGTACATGAGAGTCAGGTCCGGCCCAAGAGCGGGTGAAGGAGACAGGCTAGGCTCCACCTTACACTCGATACAATGGAACTTTCTGAACAAGGAGGTCTTTCCTCCCCCCTGCCCCCCCCAAGGTAGCATCTTTACTTCTTCATGAAGGGGGATGGGAAGCAATGACCAGGCTCCCTCCAAACACTTCCACTGAGGATGGGGCAGTAGAGGATAAGGGCTCACTTGTACCTCAGGTATCCCTCCCTGTAAGGGCCTAGAGTCAGGATGGCCATTCGAGTACATCTGGGCAAAGTCACCCATTCTACAGGTGAGGACACTGAGGTCTAGGGCCTTGACACAAACAGGCAGAGAGGCAGGATCAGAATCTAGACCCACTGACTCCAATTCCACAACTCTTTTCACTGCTTCTTAAGGAATGGCTGACCCTGCTTACTAGACCCTCCTTCCCAAGGGTGAGGCCTGAGTGGGCACCCAAAGGGATAGAGCAGTGCCCCTTCTCCGTCCTGTGCCTTGTGTATGGGTGGGTCTGGCCTTGTTTCTGCCTTAGCCCCAGGCTCCCTCCCCCTTTTAGAGCAGCAAACGTGGCCCGTGCCAGCGGTGGAAGCCGTGCATGTAGACTGAGGGCAGGCAGCGCCTCAGCAAGGATTCCTACCCTGGCCTCCCAGCCATGCTAAAGTGTGGGGGCAGGCAGCAGCTGCTGCCGACAGGCATGGGGAGCTCAGATCTGTGACCTGGGGGGCCCACCACACTTGCCACTCACCCATCCTTGGAAAGATGGTGGCGGAAGTAGTCATTGGCTGCCAGCTTAATGGCCTTCTCTGGCGTGACCAGGGTCAGATTTACAGCAGCACCTGAAGGAGGGGTAGACCAGACTGATGTCTGGCACAGGAAGAAGGGAAGGGGGAGGGCCCAAGGCCCGGCTCTTCTTTGGCTGTTGTACATTTCCCTTTCACTCAAATGCTAGGTGAGCAGGTGCTAAGCAGCAGAGGGGGAAGGGGCAGACAGTGGCCAGGCTACCCCTCAAGTCCTGGCCTTGGCTGGCACATGCCTCATTCATCCCCTGTTCCCCAGGGTGCCTGGTACTCGAATCTTCAAGTTCCTGAGGGCTCCTTGGAGTGGAGGGGGCGGGCATTTAACAGGATTCCCATGTTGGCATGTCAATAGCCCCATGTGGTCACTGTTCTTCTCAAGCCCCCTGGGAATGGGGGAGGCTATTTATGGAGCTGTTTGGAACAGTGGGGTCAGTGGAGGCAAAGGACAGTGAGCACGTGAGTCTATGGGGATTTGTGAACATGCATGACATTATGACATGTGGCCCAGGTATGACCCTGTGCATGACAATGTGGGCAGATGTTCACACCCCAGAGGAATTAGACATTCTGCCCTGGAGCACCTCTTCTCCACCACCAGCCCACTGGCTGTTGTCTCCTTCCCATCATGGAGTGAGCAGAGTCCTATTGCTCTAGCTGGCAAACTGAGGTTCTCTGGGGGCTGAGAGGGGCTTAGAACTTCACCCACCCACATCCCCACATTCACTCACCACCCCCACACATCCCACTCACACCCCCACATCCACACACACACACACACACACACACACACACACACACACACACACACACACACACACATACTGATTTTTCACAATGCCCAGGATGAGGGCCAGAGATGTTTCACGTTGACACCAATAAATCCACATTTCTCCAACAGCTGGGAGGTTCTCACCAATCCTCTTTGTAGCTCATAATCCCCATCAGCTGCCAGTAGCCCCCTCCCCCAGGGGAAGCTCCCCCAGGGCCTGCCAGGTCTCTGCCCCGCCCTGCCCTCCCTATGGCCTCAATGCCTCATGAAAGCAGCTCTAGCCAGAGCTGGCCCAAGACAGTCTGTGGGATGACAAGCTGATGGGGTGGAAGATACATCCCAGGGGCCGGTTTCACATCCAGAGGGCCTAAATAGCAGATTCCAGGTGCCAGGAATAGACTGGTGAGGGCAGGTGAGAAGCAAGTGTGAGAGTTCCAGGGATGGGAAGTGAGCTCCCTGTCACCAGCAACATCAAAACTGGGAGATCTGTGGTGGCCGATAGTGGCTGGTGAGGAGGGGAGGAGATATTCTGAGAGTTCCTCCAGACTGGGGTCGCATGACCTGGGGGGCCCTGATGGTGGGGGAGGGAGCAAGTCATGCATGGATCTCTGCCATGGTCCTAAGATGTGGCCTGGGGACATGGGGTGGGGCACACAGGGGCAGCAGGTACAGAAGAGTGGGTCTGGCCTCTGCCCCTTCCTCACACAGATATCCAGGGGCTACCACTCCCTAGTTCTCACCTTCAGCCCCTCTGGGGCTGGGGGGTGGGGGGGGTGGCAGAAGGCCTGCCTTGAAGTCAGCCACTTGTAGAGGGGGCAGGTTTCCATGCATTGAATGCTACCACAAAGCTGGATCTCTGACATGCCCAGAGGATGCCCTGGGAAGGGGGATGTTGGCCCTCCGGAGGCATCCCATCTTCCTGCCTCCTTGTTCCCTTGACAACTAGACAGGACCCCCAGGAGGGGCTGGGGCTGCCAGGCTTCCAAGGCTCAGGCAGGCAGAGGTGCTCTGTAGCACAAAGATCAGGAGAAAGGGCTGCCTATCCCAGGGACTTAGGCCTTACCTCTGTACATGCCAAAGTAGCCCTCAGAACGGATAGTCTTAATGAGACAGTCTGACCTGAGGAGGGGGAAGAGAAGGATGGCATCAGCTCTGGTTAGGCCTATCCCCACCAGCCTCCATGCCCCTTTCCATCAGCCAGAGCCTGGGACTCAGAGACCAGACCAGGCCATTCCAGGGAGCAACATGCCTGTTGGTGGTAGCAAGGACTTCTCTCTCACCTGCTGTCAAGCACCCAACGTACCCAGACAGGCACTGGGAGGGTTCCAACAACTTTGGCCTCTGCCCCACAGCTGGGTTCTCATCTCTGTGCTGGCCCCACATGGTGGTGCCAGAGGGTAAAGACACCTCCTGCCCCCAAACTGATATAGTTAGAAGCCCCCCTCCCCCTCCGACTAGCCTCTGCTCCACCAGGTGGGGGGGGGAAGGGAAGTCCTCAGCTAAAAAGTTCAAGTTGCTAGCCCTACTCCCCAGAAAGCCTTGTTCGCTGCACCCCTCTCCCCACTCACATGCTGGTGTAGATGCGCTGTCCATTCTGCTGGTTCTGTAGCCTTGTCTTAGCCAGGTCGATGGGGAATACACAAGTGACCCCAATGAGCCCTGCAATCCCTCCATTGATCAGTTTGGCTGGTAAACTGGGTAGGTGGAAGGCAGGTGCAGGTCAGCAGTGTGGCCCACCATTCTGCTCCCAGCAGTGGCGGGGGGGGGGGGGGGGGGGGGGGGGGGGAGAAAAGGAGCTGGGCCTCCAGCCCACAGAAGAAGCCAGCATCCTTGGCGCTGACAGAGGCAAGGAAGGAGAAGGCAAAAGGGGAAGGGAAATGGGGAAGGGGAAGGGAAATGGGGAAGGGGAAGGGAAATAGGGAAGAGGAAGGGAAATGGAAGGGGAAGACAAATAGGGAAATACAGAAGGGAAGGGGAGGGAGAGGAAGAGAAGGTGGGCAGAGGGCAGCAATCAGAGAAGGAAGAGGGCTAAGAAGGACCAAGGAGAGAGGCTCCCCTACCTGATCTGTTTATCAGCCATTTAATGCAGCCTCGTGCAGAGATGGAAAGAGGCAGATGGCGCAAACTTTCTGGCAGCTGCTGCCACCTTGACTTCTGTCCTGGGAGAAGGATGCAAAGGAGATGAGTTGACTTGCTAGCTGAGCCAGCTTCAGCGGGCATGTCTCCTGACTCCCCTAGAGTATATCACACCTGCTGGCCAAAGGCTCTGGGAGATGCCTAACAGAGGCTTTAGCACTTTGGGGGAGAGGCCCCCCAGAACCCCACCCAATCAGCCCCTCTCCTTCCACACCCGTAGGACTCCCATCTGCTCTTAAAGGGCCAGGCCAGTATCTTCTGTTTGACCATCCTCTGCTGCAGCATTTCTGTATCTTGCCTTAAAGGGCCAGTATCAACCTAAGAGGCAGAGCCTGCTTCTCTCTCTCTGCATCTCTCATCCTCCAGCCTTTGTGCTGCCCTGGCCGACTGGCTCTCCAGAAGGAGCTGAGAAGCAGGCTGGCTCGATCTCCCACCCAGCAGGAACTGGGTCGTTCCCTCCCTGACACAGAGGACACTGGAGGACCAAGATGGCCACTGCAAGGGTGGGTGGGTGGGGATCTGCTGATGTAGAGGAAAGAACTCTGGATGTGGAGTCAGAAGAACCTGGGTTCAAATCCAAGCCAGCTACTTACAAGCTGTGACCTTGGCCAAGTGGCTTAATCACCCTGGGCCTCCAGTTCCCCACCTGCAAAATGAGGTTGGATCAGATGATTCCTGGGACTCTCACCAGGCTGTAATTCTACCTACAATGGCTCAACCCCTTCCTCCAGGCTTTCCTCAGTCCCTCCCCGGGTGGGCTGCTCTGGTCCTCTGCTCCTGGAAAGGATGTATTAGGCTGTGGCTCGAAGAGTTCACAGGAAGTGTCTTAGAGGCTGACTGAGTCTGTAAGGGTCGAGGTGGAATGGGCAGGACAAGCTCTGACTGCTGGTTGGGGAAGAGGGCCTCTCTTTACACCTCCGGGATCTGAAGCTGCTCGGCTCCCTCCCCCAGGGGTCTGACCTCCCCCAACTCCCTGCAATCACCATCACCTCAGCCACTGTTTGGTCCAGTCGAGTCACGGGGACCTCACAGTCCCAGCCTCCAGCCCTGTGACCCGCCCAGGCTCCAGGGGTAGATAAACACACTGAACTGGCCCCTCTTCCAAACCCTTTCCCTCCCAGCCCTGTCCCCAAATGCATCCACTGCTGCCCAATCCCTTCCCACGCTCCCAGACAGCCCACTGCCATCTGCACACAGCACCTTCTGGGAAATGTCCCAAAGCCCTTTGAAAGCCTCACAATCGGGACAGGACAGTGGAAAAAAGCCCTGGACACCTGGCTCTACACCAAGTTTGTCCACGGGCTTCCAGCGTCACTTTGGGGAAGTCACCTTTCCTCTCTGGCCTCAGTTTCCCCCCCTTTGCGAAATGAGGGAAATTGGACCAAATGATGTGCCAGACCTTTTGTGCTTCTGACACTCGGACTCTTTTGGTTTGGAGAGAAGCAGATCTAGCTGCAGACATGGGGAATTGGGAAACAGACTGTCCCCCGTTCCTGGCCAGGTCTGTGGCCACCTGGCGCCCTGAGAAGGGTCAGGTATAGGCTCTGGGGAGAAATAGTGCATGGATCTCCCGAGTAGTCAGTACTAGAGGGGACCAAGAGGAGGGCGTCGACCTGGGGCCTTGTGGGGCCCCAGTGTGTCTGACTTCCCCTTGACACCAGTCGGCATCGGCATGCCTGCCTCCACCCCCCCCTTGTCTCTCCCTCCCGCACGGCACCTCTCTGCAGCCGGGGCACACAGCTGTCTTCTACCTTGCTTTCTGCTTTCTAGGGGACAGGTCTTGGCTGGGGCTGAACAAAGCTCCCCCCGCCCCCGCCCCATGGATCCTACCCTTTCCCCACTCCAGCTGTCTCTTCGCTCAGCACCCCGGGGCCCCACACTATCCCGAGGCCGCTCTTTGCCCGCTTTCTCCAGACCTCCTACCTGCCTTCCAAGCCCGGCTCCGGCTCCGGCTCCAGCTAGTGCTCCCGCCCAGCTAGACCAGAGATAAAGGCCGGCGGGTCCGGGGGAGGGACGGTCGTGGCGGCGCCCATTGGCTAGGGAGCCTGGGGGCGGGACGGCCCTGGGGAAGGGGCGGGGCACCACTTTCTCTTTCGGTTCTGCTGGGGAGGGGGGTGTAGTGAAGGAGGTCAGGGGCCAAGGATTTGGGTCATTCACTCCTAGGCCAATAGTGCCCCCACTCTTGCCCCCAAGGGCTGCTGGGCCCTCCCATCGGACACCCGGCTTCTAAGTCACTGCCTGGCTGGACCCTGACCCCGGCCGTGGGGGACAAGGCAGGGACACTGAGAGGCGGAGAACTGGACCAAAGGGCGACGGGGACCAGCCGGGCTAGGCCTTAGTTCGCTCCGCCTCGGATCGAGACCTGGGTTCAAATCCCCCTAGAACATCGACTGTGGGACCAGGTCGAAGTCACCTCACCTCTCCCTCCTGGAGAGCGAATTCCCAAGGCGTTAGCTCTGGAAATACCACTGAAGCGGGGGCTTTGGGAGCTAGGTGTCCGAACGGGGAGGGCTGGAGCTGGGTGAACTTTTCTTCATTCGACAAAATTCGTCGTGCCCAGTGGGCAAGGAAGGGCAAGTCTCTTCTGGCGCGGGGAAACAGACCCAGAGTCCTCCCCTCTGCTCCTCGTTTTACGGAAGGGGGAAACCGAGCACAGGGACCCGCTCGGGATTGGGAGCAAGCTCGGATGAGCACCCGGGGACCTCCCTACAGTTCTGCGGCTGCGCGGTTCCCTACATGTTCAGTGATAAGGAGAGCGCTGGCATTTATATAGGGTTAAGGTCTGCCAAGGGTTGTGCATGTCCTCTCTCGGACGAGCTCCTAAGTTTAAGCAGGACCAGGGCCGTCGCACTGGGGTGGGGGGAGGGGGGCAGGGAGGCTAGGCCATAGGGGCTACTTGGAGGACCGAGGCTCTTTGGGGCTGGAGGAGAGAAAACCAGGCCCGAGCAAGGGCCGCTCCAAGTATTGGAAGAGTCTTATTCGAAGAGCTAATGGGGAGGATGGGGCAGGGAGCAGACAGAGGCCCCAGCAGGGCTTCAGCCAAATACTTGGATGCCTGACTGGATGGCTGACTTGAGTGTGAGTGTGTGGTGTGTGGGGGGGGGTGCATGGATGGTGTGGCAGTGTATGGGGTGTGTGCATGTAGTGTGCATATGCATGATGTGGGGGTATATGGCATGTGTGTACATGTGTATGTAGTGTCTGAGTGTATGATGTGTGCATGGATGGTGGGGGGTGGGGAGGGTTGGGAAGTTATAGCATGGGCAGGCAATCATGTGGTAAAATGGATGGACCAATGTGTCCCTGGGGCCTCAGTTTCTCCAGGGGTCCTGAGCACCCCAACAGAGGTTCAGTTGCCTCCTGGAGAGCCAGGAAGGCTGCAGGCTCTTTCCTTCGAGGCTGCTGGTGGGAGAAAGTCTTTTCAAAGGGTCATTCATTGCTGCCAGGAGCCCAGAGCTGGGAGCTGAGCCTGCTGGCAGAGGCTGCCACCTGCCCAGGAGGGCAATGGGCTTCCTGCTCTTCCTGGCAAGCTTCCCAGCAGCCCAGGTACTTTCTGGGGCGTCCAGAGTCCAGAGGTCCCTCCCATTCTCCTGGGTGAAGGGAGCCTGGGTTCTCTGGCCCTTTCAGGTAGCTCTCAGGACAGCCGGGGATGGGGCTTGTCGAGGCTTTGGGCTGACACACTGTTCCCTGCTGCCTTCTCCCTCCTCTCCGAGTCCCATCTGTCTGTCCTTCAGGTGTAATGAGAGTGATATTTATACATGGCTTTTAGGCAACAAAAGTCATTCTTCTTGTGACAACCTGAACAAATGGGGGCAAAAAGTGGAATTCTTTCCATTTCACAAAAAAGGAAACTGAGGCTGAGAGGCCTCATCTTGTCCAGGTGCTGCGCTGTCTCCCCTAGGCCTTAATCCTTGCACAGTGACCACTCCCTCCTCAGTTTGGCCTGACTCAGGTTCTCCACCACCCTGTGAGGCTCAGAGGGCAGAGGGCAGGGGTCATTCGGAGCGCTCATTCCACGAGGGCACTTGGTCTGCTCCCTGCTTTGGTCCTATCTTATCTTGCATGGCGATAGTTACGCTCCCCCCTCCCCCCAGTTCCCACTGCTGCCCTCTCCCCCCGCATTAGACTGCAAACTCCTTCCTTCTGTGAGATCAAGGGAAGTGTCCACGGGGGCCAAGCACAGGGTGCCCCACCCAGCAGGTGCAATGTTGTCAGACTGAAGTAAGGAAACAGACCCAAAGACAGAGAGTGACCACGGCTGGAGCTGGCCTCAGACCTAGAAAAGGCCAGTGAACTTCATTCCACACTTCTCAAAAAGTCCTGGCCCCGGGAGGAGGGCTGATCTGGGGTTTGCTCCAGTTCCATGAGATGGGCACAAGTAGAGTATGAATACTTTTTGGCAAGGTGGCCCCTGGCAGAGTATCTGAAGCACTGGGCCTGGGGTCATGAAGACCTGAGTTCAGATGTGGCCCCAGATGCTTACTAGCTGTATGACCCTGGGTGAGTCACTTTGCCTCTGTTTGCCTCAGTTTCCTCATCTGTAGAGTGGGGATAATAGCAGCATCTACCTCTCAGGGTTGTTGTCAGCATCACATGAGATATTTGTTTTTAAAACAAGGCACTTAGCAAAGTGCCAGGCACACAGTAGGTACTATATAAATGCATAGCCCTTTGTCCTTGCCACTCTCTGGGCCTCAGCTTCCTCCTCAGCAAAGTGAGAGCAGTAGGCCAGACAGCCTCTGAGGTGCCCTCCACCACTCGCCAGGATGCTCCCATCCTCAGGCCACATCGTGGTGGACAGGACCCTGGCCAGATAAGCTGAGCCTGTACAAGCCCGTTCTGCCCAAGCGAAGCTGAGGCTCAGAAGGAGGGGAAGGCGCTTGTATAGGCTGGCACAAGAAGTAGGTAGCAGGGTCCGCATTTGTACTAGGGGCGACTGGTCCACAAACCTTAGGCTTGGAAGGGACATCAGAGGCTGTGTCGTCATCCCTGGGGCCTAGTGGAATAAAGGCCTGGGCTTGCTGCCCTCCCAAGAGGAGGCCAAGGACCCTCATCCTATTAGGAGCAAGGCTTTCCCCTCCCCACCCCACCTCTCTCCACTCCATCCCTCCAGTCTCTGCCCTTGGGTGGGGAAGGGGCTCATTTCTCTTCCACCAAACAGCTCTTCAGACACTTGATTCAGGCAGAGCTCTGCACTTGGAATCAAACTTGGCCTCAGACCCTTAGAAGCTAGGTGTCCCAGGGGCCAGAGAGCCCCCACTGGGCTGGGGAGCTTCTTGAGTTCAGATCCAGCCTCAGACATTTCCTAGCTGTGGGACCCTGGGCAAGTCACTTAACCCTGCTTGCCTCAGTTTCCTCATCTGTAAAATGAGCTAGAAAAGGAAATGGCCAATCACTCCAGTATCTTTGTCAAGAAAACCCCAAATGGGGCCATGGAGAGTCGGACAGGACTGAAAGGACTGAAGAACCACACTAGGAAGCTGTGTGACTCTGGCTGAGTCATCTGACCTGTCTAAGACTCTACTTCTACCTCTGGGGATGATAATAGCACCTCCTTCCAGCACTGGGGGGGGGGTCAAAGAAAGGAAGAACAGTGACTGGGCTGCTCCTCCCCATCTTTTCCAGGCTAACTACCCCCAGCTCTTCCCACCAAGCTTCCTAGGGCACAAGCACTCTCCAGTGTATCACTGGACTTCCTACAAGAGGGGACCAAGATCCTCCAGGCTGGAGCATGGTGGGAACATCGCCTCCCAACTACTAGGAATGGGTCCTGAGCACACATTACCCTCACTGCTGCAGGCACAGGAAGTGGAGGGTATGTGAGTGTGGGAATATGGGTATTGTACGTGTGGACATTATGTGAGCATGTATATGTATCTTGTGTGAGTGTCCATGTGTGTCCCCAGCTCTGTGTGTGTGAGGGGATATGTATGTGCGTGTGTCCATGTATTATGTGGCTCCATATATGTATGTTTGTATGTGAATGTGTGTGTTGGGTATGTGTATATATGTTTGTATGTGGGCATTGTGTGTGTGTGTGTGTATGCACTTGAGCGCATGTGTGTGCTCATGTGTTTATGAGCCCCCATGGCTTCATGGCTGTTCCTCAGACTGATCCAAGGAGCCTCAGTCTCATTTTCCGAGTTCTCCCTTCCCACATCCTCATCACCCTCTTTCCCTCTCCCTAGTCCAGACACTGATTAATAGAGAGGCCTAGGCTTTTTGGTTTTGTTTTGTTTTTGCTTAACTGACTGAGATCAGGGTGTGTAAATCTGGGGGGGGGGGGGCAGAGAGCACAGCATCAGCAGCCACGCTGGGCCCTGGACCCAGGGTGGACCTTAGGAGGGGAGGAGCAGAGGATAACCTTTATCCTCCCAGGACACTAAATGGTTGGGATGTTTGTCTCTTCAGAGTGGTCCAAACCCCCACTCCCTGCCTGGGGAGGCCTGAAGGGACTGGAAAAGGCAGACTTGCCAAGGCCAAAGCCTTCATTTTGGCCCTTCCAGGAAGGCCCACAGAAGACCAAGGACCCCAGCATCTGAGCAGGGCTGAGACTGGCCACCAGGAAGTTCTCTGGGGAGCTAAATCCAGAAGAAGGCAGGAGATGGAGAACAGGGGTCTCAGTTCTTAGGGGCTTGCTGTTGAGGTTGGGGGGGGACAAGGATGAGTGAGCAGAGCCAGGGGGTCTTAGGAATCTCCAAAAGGCTCTTCTTTGCTTTTCTTCCCAACCCCATCTTCCTTCAGAAATCACGATTCCTGAAACTGCTCCCCATTCTCCATCCCCCCCCCCCAGCTCCATCTGCCACAACCAGGGCCTAACCACACACAACCCTGCGCTGTTGTCATGGAAACATGCTGTCTGTCTGCTCTCAGCCCTGGTCCGGGAAATGGGAAATCTCTAAGCACTCTTACCCAGCTCCTGCCCTGTTATGGGCTGGGAGGGCCTTTCCTGCATCCTCCTCTTTCCACAGACTAGTAAACTGAGGCACAGGAAGAGAATTTCTCATAGAGAAGAAGCTAACCGGGCGGCAGCAGCAGGCCAGAGTCTCAGATAATGTCATTCCTCACCCCTATGCCTGCCCCTTCTCCCTGCATAGACACGGTTCTCCCTCTGGAGACACGATAGATGGCTAGGGCAGGATGCAATCTGAGCTGCACCACGCAGGAGGAGAGAGTCCCTAGCTTCGGCCCGCAGCACCAGAGCCAGAGCGGAACGAGAAGGCGCCCCCTTCCCCTCCTGGCTGAAGGGCTGAGGTCCGATGGGGAGAGACACGGGCTGAGCCGGGCCGAGACGAAGGTGCCCTCCGGCGCCAGGGTGGGGCAGGAGGCTCGAGCGAGCCCTCGGTGCGTGCGTGCCCGAGCCGAGGGGAATCCCTCCCGGCGGGGGGGCGCCCTTAGATCGGGCCCGCTTGGTAGGAACCCAGACCCAGGCCTGCCTCCCTCGTTCTTCCCTCATTCCCTCCCCACTCCCCTCCACGTGTGCCAGCCCGGCGGCTGGACTGAGGCGGGTCCCACGTCTGCCCGCCGATCTAGTGCAGTGCCCCCTCCCTAAGCAGGCCGCCCGGGACACGTGTGCGCGGGGCAGGCGAGCCGGGCACGCGCACGCGGCCCCGCGGATTACTGCGGGAGCATCAGGCGGGCGCGCCCTCCCCTCCTGCCCTCCGGCCGCAGCCCACACCCCTTTCTGGGGCCCCTCTCTGGCCCGGCCCAGGGCGCGGGACTCACCGGGCCGGAGCTCTCCCAGCTCAGGGTGGCGGTGGCTCCTGCCGCTGGCACCCGAGCTGCCCCGCCGCTCCGGTCTAGCCGCTGTGCCGCGTAGTGCCGGGCGGTGCGGTGTGGGGCCCGGCCCTCCCCTCCTGCTCCGCCCCCGGCCCCGCCCTGCTCCCCCGTGGGGACTTGGGGGCCACCCCCGGCCACCTCAGAGAGGGGCCCTCTACGGGGACCCGGGGCGTCCTGCCCTGGGGCCGGTCGGAGCAGCTTGAATGGGTCTATGTTGGGGGGCGGGGAGGATGGAGTATGTGTGGAAATCTAGCCGGGTGACGCGTGTGTGTTGAGCTCGAGGGTGGAGGGCGGATGGGCTCACAACCAGCTTTAAAGTCCACCTTCCACACCTCCCGGAAGGCCGGAGCTGCGCTAGGCAGGCCAGACAGGGGTCTGGGGACCACCTCAGGGCCAGCAGGGGCTCCAGGCTCCCCCTGGTGTCCAGTTGAGCTTAGTGCAGACCGGTGGAAGGGGCGAGGTTCTAGGAAGAGCCCAGCAGCAATTAACCTGGGTCAGAGATGACTGTTTCCTGAGGGCCCCCTAGGCCGCAGCAGGACCTCCAAGAGTTCTCCAGGGCAAGCGGGAGGCACTGCGGCCTGTCATTTCCTGAGACAGCCCGGACACACTGTCCTCTGAGCCCTCGTCAGCCCTGCAAGCCAAGTTAACCTGGATGCAGTTGCGGTCCTGCCCGGGGGCAAGCGCGGGGTGGGTCGGTCGGTCGGGGGGGGGATGGGGGATGGGGAAGAGGAATCTTTTGCGGCTCATTTTTCTGGCGAATCAGATCCGTACTCAGCCTGCCATCCAAGGCCCAACATCTGGCTCCCGTGAACTCTCTGACCCTATTGTTCTGGGGGAGGGCTCCTCCCAGGCAGCCGTTCTCAAGCCCTAGCCCTTACTTTCTTATGTCGGGCAGTTCCCTCTGCCAGGAGTGCCCCCTGCCCCCAACTCTGCTGCTCTGGCCGGATTCTCTTTCCATCCTCCTTTGCCCTCAGAACTCCATCTGCAACCCTGTCGCACTGAATCCCTGGCCAAGAGGCCCGGGGGCTTCTGGAGGACCCGGCCTATGACTCTGTCTCCCTGCAGGGTGACTGGCCACTGGGTCTGACAGGGATGTAGCTTCCTTTCTAACTTCCCTGCCCCACCCCGTGGGCACTGGTAACCTTGTGGCCTCCTGCTTGTTATTCTGTTGCTCCGGGCTATTCCTCACGTACAAGGTTTCTAGGAGGAAAGGCCCAGCTCCACTGAGGGTGGGGCCTGGGGAAGACTTAGAGCAGCTAGGCCTGGCACAGAAAGCCAGGGTCTAGGCCCCTTTCCTCATGTCTCAAGGGAACTGGAGGCCCTAGCCCAGCAGGGAGCACAAGCTGGGAGGGAGGAGTGTGCAGAGAGCCAGGTGTCAACAAATATTTATTAAGCACCTACTACGAGTCAGGCACTGAGCTAAATGCTGAGGATACAAAGGTAAAAGACAGCCCTGTCATCCCAGAGCTTCCTGTCTAAATAACTAAGTCCAAGATCCAGACAGGATAGAGGGCAGATAATCATCAAAGAGGGGGGATTTTAGCTGGCCCTTGGAGGAAGCCAGGGAAACCAGGAGGCAGAGATGAAAAGGGAGAGCATTCCAGGCCTGGGGGAAGAGCCAGAGGGAATGCCTGGAGGTCACTGATGCAGGGTCTCATTTGAGGAACAGCAAGGAGGAGGTCATGTCACTGGATTAAAGAGCATGGGTGGCACAGTGTAAAAGGAGTGGAAAAGGAAGAGGGGGCCAGATTTTTATGAAGGGCTTTGAACCAGAGGATTTGATATGTGGTCTTGGAGGTGATAAGCAGACACTGGAGTTTACTGAGTAGGAGTGGGGTGCCATGGTCAGGCCTGCACTTTAGGGAAGATCATTCTGACAACTGATGGCTAGACTGGAGGCAGGCAGGCCCAGAAGCTATTACAATAGTCCAGGTATGAGGAGATGAGGGTCTGTACCAAGGCAGGGGCAGGGTCAGAGAAGGGGATGTATTGGGGAGATAGTGCAGGGCTGAAATAGACAAGCCTTGGCACCATATTGGGTGTGGAGGGGAGGGGAGAGGGTTAGCCTAGGTGACCGGATGGTGACACCCTCTGTAGTAATAGGGAAGTGAGGAAGAAAGAGGGGATTTTTTGCGGGGAAGAGAATGAGTTCAGTTTTGGAAACCCCCTAGCCTATCCCTACTCCACATTCCCCAGTGATGCTGGCCTCCTTGACATTCCTCAAACAAGACACTGTCTTCCAACTCCAGGCATTTTCACTGGCTGACCTGCATGCCCGGGATGCCCTCCCTCGCCTTCTCCAGCTCCTGGTTTCCCCTAAGTCCTGCCTTCTACAAGAAGCTTTTCCCTACTCCCCCCCAATTATTTCCAATTTCTCCTTCCTATAACTTGTTTGTACATGGTTGTTTGCATGTGGTCTTCCCAGTCAGACTAGGAGCTCGGACTGGCTTTTGCTTCCCTTTGTGTCCCCAGAGCTTGGCATACTGCCTGGTACCTAATGGGCTGACAGAAGATATTTAGAGGCTGTCTTGTTTGAGATGTCCAACAAGTGAGTTGGAATTGTAAACTGGAGGTCAACAGAGAGGCTAAGGCTGGATAAACAGATCTGAGAATGAGAATCCTCACAGCAGAGGTGATCATTGAATCCAAGGCTGTTGAGATTGCTAAGTCCAGACTCTACATTCACAGAGGTTGGCAAAGCACCGGCCAGTTTGGCCTGCTGGCCACAGTTCTCCCTGGGCAGGCGAAGAGGATCAGGTGAGAACTCTGCGGGACACCCACAGCTAATGAAGAGCCAGAGAAAGAGACTGAGAAGAAGCCGTCAGATGTGAGGATGTGGGAGATATGGGCATGTTTGTAGATGGGAGGGAAGTGGCCAGGAGACTGGGAGAGATAAAAGATTAGTGAGAGTGTGGAATGACAAAAGGGCAATCTGCTGGATGGAATGGGATTGTTTGTCCATGTGCAAGAAGACATCTGGGTGATGTGAGAGGAGGAGGAGGAGGAGGATGAGAACAGGGAGCTCTCAGCAAATGGCCTCCATTTTTTCTGGAAGAGATGCCATGAGTTCTGGGATAGAAAAAGAGTGCCCGGGAGCAATGAAGGCCCCATCGAGATTGTATGACACACATTTTACAAGAATTTGTAGAGGCAGGAGGCTGGCCGTCAGAGGGGGTAATATCAGGGGGTCTCTGGCCGCAGCTCCCCATCCCCCCCCACAGATCCGGTTTGTTTACTGGGTAACCATTCTCCCACCAATACTGAGGAGCAGTAACAGCAGCCAGTAGGGTCCCTCTGTCCTGCCGTGTCCATTCAGGGCCTGAGTGAGTCTGGCAGAAGGGAGCCTCTCTCTGTCTTGTCCCTGCAGGCCTGGGGCAAAGCAGGAACTCTTTGGCGATCTCTGCTCCCTTCCGAAGCAGGTTCTGGGAGCCCTAGGCTCTGGCACTAGCAGACTCTGCCTCGGAGGCCAGGCCTGCTCGATGGATGGATGCTTGATATTTATTCCGGCCCAATTCCAGGATGGCCTGGATCTCTTCCACCACGTCCTGGCGATCACTCTGCTCCAAAGCTTCTAGCAGCTGCTGGATGCTGCCTGGCTGCCTGGCCTGGCGTTCAGCCCAGGAGAATAGCATGTGTCGGATCTGCCCATCCAGGTCATCCCTGTGGGGGCAGGGACATGAAGCCCCCACAGTTCTGGCTGTGACCCTTCCTGTTTCCTCCTCCCTCGACCCCAAGAGGCCAGGAAGCCACACTCGATGAAGGCCCCAGTAGGGGCCACCTCTTCCTGGAGCATGTAGGGGAAGAGGTGGTCCCTTGCTCTGGTCTCCCCAGGAGGGGGAGGTTTCCCTGCCCCTGGCTCCTCCCCCTTACCTGTATGAGTACTGGATCCGTTGCACCTCTGGGTAGGAGAGGCCCAGGTGCAGGGCCACACTTTGCCAGTCTGGACCAAGCCTACTGGCCACTGTCAGAAGGTTGCTCTGGGTCAGGAAACCACTCTCAGGATTGCCCAGGTTCAGGGAGGCCAGGGTCAGCCCATCCAGGGGACCCTGCCCTCCCCCCTGGGGTAGCCTCTGTCCAACACATAGGAAAGGGCAGACGTGACTCTCTTACCCTTAGCAGCTGCTTCTGGGCATCCCTGCCCAATAACTGATCCTTTCCCCTCCCCCACCTCCCATGAGGCCCCTTGGCAGCTAGAGCAGTGGACTTTCAAAGTCAAATCCAGCCTCAGACACTTAGCAGCTGTATGACTCTAGCCTCTAGACTTAACCTCATTTCCTTAACTGTACAGTGGGAGGCTCAAAGGAGATGTTTGTACAGCTCTTAGCACAGTGCCTGGCACACAGTAGGTGCTTAATAAATGCTTGTTTCCTTCCCTTCTTCCTTGACCCCTGGCTGCACCTCCTATCATGATGAATCTTGGGCCCTGCGCCCCTCCCCAGCCACCCCATGCTCACAGGCAGCTTGATGGGCAGTGTGGCAAGCCACAGGGCATCTGGGCCCTTCCGCCTCTGGACAGCCTCCTTAGGAACAGCCTCAGGCACTGCCCCTCGGTAAAAGGACACCTGAAGGGGGCAAGCCGATAATCAGCAATACTTCTGGTCCCAGCCTAGCCGCCCTAGAGGGGCAGCTGGAGATGGTTGTGAGGGGAATGTAGGCCGGCAGGTAGTGGAGGGATGTCAGCGCCCCCTCCTCTCTCCCTTCCCCCTGCCCCTGAGGTGGCCACGTGGGATAGCCAGGCCCCTGGTTCTGATCTGTCTGGGGAGGGAAGTGGAAGGGGTCTGAGTAACCTACCTGCCCCTTCACTGCCTGAGTCTTCCTGTCCACGGTGGATGTCACATAAATCTCCTTCATATTTTTTAGGCGGGAGTAGAAGACAAAGGCAATCCTTCCTTCCACACAGTCTGGGCGATCTGCAGGGATTGGCCAGAATAACCCAAAAGCTCACTCCCCGAATCTTCACAACAGTCTCATGAAAGGCCAGGGCAGGACAGGGGTCAGGAAGACCTCAGTTCGAGCCTGACCTCTGACCCTTAAACTATATGACCCCGGGCAAGGTGCTAGACTGATGTGGACCTGTTTTCTTCATCTGCCAACTAGGGATAACACTACTTGTCAGGAGGCCCAAACTAGACACTCCAGCAGGCTGTAGAGCCCTGACCTTGCAGCAAGGAAGATCTGAGTTCAGATCCTGCTTCTGACCCATTCTGGCTATGTGACCTTGGGTAAGTCACTAAATGATTCAACGTCCTGGGCAACTCTCAGTGCACCAGCACCAGGCAGCTCCCTCCCCACACCAGGCTGAAAACCTGGATGCTGCGCGCATTGCCTGAGCCCAGCTTCCAGGAGAGTGGATGGTTCTGGAGATCTGTGGCTCGGGCTCTTCCTCCTGCCTTGCCAAGATGTCTTCTGGCACGGGAGCCAGCAAGGGGAAGGTCACTGTGTGTGACCTGCACAGCAGTGCTCCGTGCTCACCGGCCGGCACCAGGGAAGACCCTTACCTATGTGCAGGGACTGAGATGGCTGCCCGAGGGGAGAAAGGAGCCCGGTGGGGGATGCACCAGGAGGTTCTCTCCTCCCAGGAATGAACAGAGGAAAACAAGGAATGGGATCTGGGGGAGTCAGAGGCACGCACTTAGGGTTAGGTGATTTGAAGAGGAAAGGGGACTCAGGAGGCCCATGAAACTCCCCGACACAGTGGAGAGCCTTCAGAGGGGCAGCAGACCAGAACATTCTCTGTTCCTGGGGGTTCCTGTGGGGACCACCAGAACTCCAGAAAACATGGCTAAACCAAAAAGAGAAACACACTTCTGATTATGGACACGTGGGGGCATTCCCCTCTCTCCCACACACTGGAAAGGGTAGGTGGTAATGACTGAGGCCAGGATTTGGGTTTCTGGGCCACAGCTTGAAAACCTAAGGCACAGAGTGCATCCCCCAAGGGTCAGGAAGGATCCACCGAGTCTTCAGTATCTAGGCAAGATGGCTTCAAGCTGAAAGGGACGGAAAAGAGAATGGTCCTCATGGTCCTGGCGAGCCTGGACAGTGGCAGCAGGGGAGAGGAGCGGGAATGATCAGGAACTGAGATCCAGAAAGGAGCAGGTAAAAAAACCTCTGGCCTCGAGCGTCTGCACGCAAACGGCACCAACTCTGAAGAAACTGGCCAAGCAACAGCAGCCGGAGGCCCGCTGGCCTCCGAGGGATGGCGCTCGCAGCCAGCATCGGGCTCTGGGAGTGTTGTCGTGTTTGTCCTTCGTTCTCCAAGAGGACCAGGATGTCAGGGAGGTTTGGTTCGAGGGAGGGAGGGCTGTGCGAGGTCCCCAGCCTGGCTTCTTCCCGCAGAGCCATCTGGGCCCACTGGCCAGATATCCCTCAGGACTGGAGATGGTTCAGCACTCGGGAAGTGCAGACCTCATTCAGAAGAAAGTAGGAAAGAGGAAACAGGCTGAGAGTGGCCGGGGGGGGGGATGGGGATGGGGGGACGGGACAGAGTCAAACCAAGGAGGAGGATGAGAGATGAGGCCCCAGTGTCGGAGGGTCTGCTTCACCTCGCCATAGTGGGCAGAGTGGAGACACTAATATGTGACTCGCCTCAAGGCTAACTTCATCTTCAAAAGGTGGGGGTACCAGCGACTCCCCCAGAGTGATCCTAGGCCCCCAGGAAGACCTGGCTGCTGAAGCCAGACTGGAAGGAACCCTGGAAAGAAGTGACGTCATCGTCACAGAGTCTGTGTCAGCACAATGGTCTCACCTGTCCCTAGAGCTCTGGAAAGGGTGCAGAAAAAGTGCAGGCTGGGAAGCCTATGGGCCCTTCTCTGATTGTGCCTCAGGCTTTATGAGTTGGACTGCAAGTCAGATAACAAGGACGATGTTAACAAATTAATCAGTGTGGACAATAATAACAATGATGATGCCAGGACCCATTTTGGGTCCCTTGAAGGCCTGGAAAGTGATTTCCTGAGCCTCAGACAGTCCTGAGACTGCACTGGCAGGTGTGGGCTCTCCCCACCAGAGCCTGGGTGCAGGAGGAAAGCCCAGGGTGATGGGGGAGGGCCCTTTAAGAGGGACTGGGGGAAAGGGGACGCCTACCCTCACGTAGTTGGGATGGTGACAACCCACATAAGCGGGTGTCTCCCTTGGGACTGCCAGGGCCTCCGATGGCCTGCAGAGAAGAGCAGAGGGGCCACAGGCCCCAGAGAAGCATGTGGCTTGTTCTGGCTTTCTAAAAAAAGGAAGAGGATGCCTGGTAGCTGTGAAGGAGAGGCTGGTGACCTCCCCTCAACTCCCAACACCATGTGGAAAGCAATGGGAAGGCCAGCCAGCAGCCAGGCTGAGGAGGGAGGCTGTCAGGGAAACACTAGTGCTTGCCCCACTATTTGAGCAAAGCATTTGAGGAGGCTTCCCAACAAGTTCTGTGGAGAGATGCAGGTCAGCCTCTGGGGCCTGCTGGCGGACCAGCTTGAGCAGTCAACAGCGGAAGGCCAGGCCAGTACCCCAGGGCCTGCCGTCAGCCTCGTCCTGTCCAGGACCTCCATCAGGGACATGGCGGAAGGCACAGAGGGCAGCCTCGTCAAACGGACGACAGGAGCAGGTCCTGCTGCCCTCCGCCCTGGTCGGATCCCATCAGAAGCAGTGCTCAGTTCTGGCGCCCCACAGGCTGGCCAATGTCTGGGGGAGGGACAGTGCGCCTTGAGGACCCTGGAGATGGCCACGGGGGGCCTGGCCGGCAGAAGCTCGGGTGGAAGAGGACCGGAAAGAGGATGGTCAGGCCTTGTTCTGCTGCAGGATCAGGGCTCCCCTCATGGCATCCATATGACTGAAGGGATGCTGGACGAGCTTTTAGAAAAGGAAGCAGTGCCTGCCAAAGGCTGCCTGGTCCCAGGTGTTGGGTCCCGAGATGGTAAGTCAGGGCAATGCTGGGCAGAAGAGTTGACCTATATCCTAGCAAAATGTTTTCTAAGTTGATACTATTATTCTTTCGGAAAAGACTGAAAGGCATGGATGGGGCTAGAGGTGTCAAAGCCTGGCTCCCCATAAGTGCGGCCCAAGTCAGAATTCACGTGTTATGGGGAAACGCTGAAGGAGATTAAAAAAAAAAACATGGAAACAGATGAGGTGAATGGTGGCTTTTCTCAGGCAAAGACCCACAGAGGAGTCATCACTGGGGGCTGGTATCTGAGTAAATCTGGGCTAATCAACGTTCAAGCTAGAGGGGAAACTGAGGCCCACAGAGAGGCAGAGACTTGCCCAATGTCACACCAGAAGGAAACCCAAGTCCTTGGATACCAAATTCAGTACAACTGCCACTACAAGTACCCCCAGCCCCCCTCTCAGCAGCCCTGGGATCAGGGGCCTGTTTGCTTATCCATCACAGGTGGAGCTGATGGAGAGCACAGAGGCAGAGACAATGGGTAGGAGGGAGGGGCAGGACCCGAGAGTGTGTGTGTGTGTGTGGGGGGGGTTGGGGGTTAGTGTGTATATATGTGCATATGTGTACACATGTGATGTGTGTGGGTGTGCATGTGAGTGGGTATGTATATGTGACTGTGATGTGTGCAAAGTATATACGTGTGTATGTGAGTGTATGCAGTGTGTGAATGTGAGTGTACATGGTACATGTATGTGCATGGGGATGCACATGTGTGAGCGTGTATGTATATGTGACTGTGATGTGTGTATGTGCGATATGTGTACGTGTGCAAAATATATATGTGTGTACCTGTGAGTGTATGTATACATGTGCGAATGTGATATATATGTATATGGCATATGCGAGTGTGTAAATATGTGAGTGTGTATGCATGTATATATGTGTGTGTGTTTGTGTATGAATGTGTCTATATATATGTGTGTGTGATTGTATATGTGTTTATATGTACATGTACATGTGTGTTACATATGTGGGTATATGCATACATGCATGACTGTGGCATGAGTGTATATGTGTGTGTACACATGTATGTACACACATGCTCGAATGTGTCTGCTTACTTGTGTATGAGTGTGCATGGCTGGGGGGGTGGGGGGTGGGGTGAACATCTGGCCTAATCCAATTGAATGTAAAGTAAGCAGCTGAAAGCCTGATGCATGTTGCTTGGGTCTCCAGCTCCAGGGGCTCTTGGTGGTGTCTGGGCCCTGGGTCCCTGGTGATCCTAAGTCAAGCACAGGTGGGTCCCCAGGCCCTGCCCCTGCCCCCTTCCTTGCCTTCGGGGCCCAGGGTCCAGGGGCAGGGCTGGTGCCCATCTTGGGGCTCCCCACCAATGGTCCGTACCAGCATCGATGTCGATCCCGCGTTCAAAGGCGGCAAAGAACTGCTCGCCCTCAAACAGCTCCACTGTGTCAGAGGGCTCGGGGCCGCGGTACCTCGGCTGCAGCCTCTTCAGGGTGGGCTCTACCTGGGGGGGGGGAACCAGGGTCAGGGAGCCCCTGCTGATGGCCAGGCCCTGCCCACTGCCTCTCCCCCGGCCCCTCCCTCACCTTCTTCCCAGGCAGGCATTGCAGCAGCACCTGCTCCGGGTCTCGTCGCCTCTGCAGGGCAATGAAGTTCACTCGGTATAGACGCAGGCGATCGTAGACCTTGCGGGCCAGGCCTTCCACGCAGCTCTTGGTAGTGTACCAGAGCCAGTACCTGAGGCCAAGGGGCTGGGCTCACAGCTGCCCCAGAGAGGCAGGAGCTGCCAGCAGAGGGCTGGTGAGAAGAAAGAGGGCCGCAGACAGAGCAGTGGGGGGGAGGAAGGATGGCAGACAGAGATTTCTCCTAGTGGGAGACAAGGCTGGAAGAGAAAGCCTGGGCTGCATACCCCACCTGCCCCCCATCCCAGACACCCCACACTAACCAGGAAAAGTGTGTGACCTGGAAACGGGCATAGAGGTGTGTGAGCTCCAGAGTTACGTGGGCTGTGATGTCATCCCAAGCCAGCACCTGAGGATCCCCATGCAGCAGATGCAAACAGGTCTGGTCCAAGCTCAGGCCTGGAGGGAAGGAAGGAAGAATGGAGAAGAAGGAAGATGTTCTGGCTGACCTCCTCCTTGCCCTACAGAGCCACACTTGGGACCTCGGCGCCTGAAGCCAGAACATGGGTGCCGTGAGCACAGGCCCCCCAGGGCCAAGGGCCCATGCTCAGTAACCAGGTCTCACCTGTGATGCCTGGAGGCAGGGGCAGCTGGACAGTGACTGGACAGAGGAAGTCGTGGGGGCTGTCCTGGGACAAGCAGAGCAGGGGGCTGACCGCAGCCTCACTATCTTCGCCCAGAGCCCAGCCTGACACCCTCACCACCTGGAGAAGAGAGGGGTGGAGAGCTGGGTGTGAGGAGCACAGGCTTTTTCCTCAGACTGTAGGCACCTGGCCCCTGCTTTCAGTATACCTGCATGCGGATGTGCCGAGGCTCAGCAGTGACCCCAGGTGGGAAGATGACCTTGATCCCGGGGTCACCCGAGGAGCAGAGAAGTGCCCCCTCCCGAGGCACAAAGCAGCTGTCCTCCACTGGACGGGCCACCACCAGGAACCAAGAGAAGTGAGGAACTCGGCAGCTGGCCCAGAGCCGCTGAAGGGGGGCAGGGGTCAGCCAGAGACTCGCCCAGGGGCCCTAAGCCTGGCCCCCTCCCCCCAGCTCCCCCCAACCTCCCCCGGGGCCCCAAGCCTGGCCCCCTTCCCCCCCAGCTCCCCCCAACCTTGGGCTTTGCTTTTTCCTCCAAGTGCGTCTCCAGGTCCTTCCAAGTTTGGCCACTCAGGGTCCTCACCACAACTTGGCAGCCATGCCAGGCACGAGGGGGCACAAAAGGCAGCCAGAGGCGTACTTCCTGTCACCACACACACCCCTCACTTGCTGGAGAGTTCTAGAGATGCTTAGGATGCCCCCTCCCCCCAGAAACACCCCCAGCCCCCAAACCTGTTGGAAGGGGGTCCCGTGGGGCTGCAGCTCCAGAACAGCGCTGAGCAGGGCATCATGGGGACCCAGCCAGACGAGGCGAGGTTCCGGGGGCAGCTGCTGGTAGCGGACGGTGGTAGGGGTGACGGTGGCACCCGGGGGAAACAGCATGCGCACCCCACAGGCCAGGGCCACGGAGCAGCCACGGGAGGTCACTGTGAAACTGTAGAGCCAGAGTCAGGAGACGCTGGACTTGAGGGGAGGGCGGGGCCCCTTCCCATGGCCCCCCTTCTCACCTGTCTGCATCTGAGGCCAGTAGGACCCTGCACACTTTGGGGGTGGGCTCTTCTCCTACACCAAGTAATGGGGCCTGTGAGTGAAGCAGTGCTGAGGGGTCTCCCCCGCCCCCCCGGGATCTGCCATCACCTGGGAGCACAGCAGGGATGGGCTCAGGCACCCCCAAAGGGTTCCCCTGCAGCCGCACAAAGGGGGCCTCCTGGATCTCGCGGGGCACGGCCCGAAGCCTATTGTCTCTCAGGTCGAGGCGGGTGAGGAGTGGGAGGTGGGCCAGGCCGGCAGGGATGGAGACCAGGAGATTGCTGGGCAGGAACAGCAGGCGCAGGGACTGGAGGCTGGCTGAGAGGGGGGGGGGGGCGGTCAGTGGGAACCTCCAGCCAGTGCATCTCCAAGACCCCCCCACAATGCTGTGGTGGCCAGGGGCCTTGGGGGCTCTGTCCCCTCCCCCAAAACTTCCTCCCCATCTGGAGGGATCAGAGAAGGGGCAGGTGACGGGGCTGACTCCCTGCCCCCGAGAGGGTGAGGAGGGAAGAATGCCCCAGGAAGTCTTCCTGCAGGGGGTGGCGGGGCAGGAGGGTGGGGGCATGGGAAGGAACGACCCCAACGGGTTCGTTTCCTCCCAGGTGCCCAGGAAGCTGGCTGATGGGGAAGGTGTACACACAGGCAGGGGGCGCCCTTGCTCTCACCCAGGGAGTCAGGCAGGCTCTGCAGGCGGTTGGAGGCCAGGTTGAGCTCAGTGAGGCTGCTCAGAGCCCCAATCTCTTCCGGCACCACCTCCAGGCAGTTCTCAGAAAGGTCCAGCCTCTGCAGGGCGGCCAGCCTGGCCATGCCCGGTGGTAATGCCTGCAGGCAGTTGCTGGAGGCTGAGAGGAAGGTGAGGGCCCGGAGGGCGCCCAGGCCCTCAGGTAGCCTCTCAAGCAGGTTGTGGCTGAGCAGGAGGGCATCCAGACTGGTCATCTGGGGGATACAGGCCGGCAGCACCCTAAGGCTGTTAAAGCTGAGATCCAGATGGACAAGATGGGCCAGGTCACTCAGGGAGGGGGGCAGCGTGGTCAGGGAGCCCCGAAGGCACGAACCCCGATCATCGCGGTGGTGCCCACCTGAGGGTGGGGAGCAGAACATGGGGGGCCAGGTCAGACCCTCTGCCTCATGGGGGGAGCACCAGGGTGCTTCAAGAGTCAGGCCAAGAGAGCCGGACAGACAGGACGGAGAGATGCCCACAAGGACAGAGACAGGGAGAGAGGGGCCAAGAGGCAGAAGGCCTTCAAGGGACAGACAAAAAGTCAAAGAGGAAGGTAGCAAGTGTGATGGAGGCAGAGACACAGCATTCTTAGTGAGAGGGTGAAAGGGCCTTGTAGAGACAGTGGCAGACGCCCACGGAGCCACAGCCTGCCTGCGCGCCCCGCCCTGCAGTACCCCCTCAGCTGGCCTCCCCCCAGCCTCCTCTGGGAGGCAGCCCCTGCCCGCCTGCCCTGCAGAACCCCCTCGACTGACCTCCCCCCAGCCTCTTCTGGGAGGCCGGCCTGAGTCAGAGGGGCTCCCAGCTCACCTCTGAGAACCAGTGAGCGGAGGGACTGGAGGCTGGGAAGGACGGCCAGGGCAGCCCCAACTTGCTCCTCATTGCAGTTCAGCCGAAGGAAGTGAATGTGCCGCAGGGGTGAGCTGGGCTCTCGGAGCAGGTGCAGCAGGAGACCACAGCCCCCAGGGTAAAGGTCCAGGTTTAGCCGGTCGCTGGCCAGAAGGGAGGCGGCTGAGTCTTCAGCATCCTCTTCTGCATCTTCTTTCTCCTCCTCCTCCCCCTGGGCCTCCATCTGATGCCTGGTGGCCCGGGCATGTCTCAGCGTGCCAGGAAGGCAGGCAGAGGCAAGGCTGGGGGTCTCCAGGGGGATGGCTGTTTGAAAAGAAAAAAAGTGAGAAAGACAAAGGCAGAGACAAAATAGAGATAGACAGGGACAAAGGAAGGAGAAGACAGAGACAGAGGAAGGAGACAGACAGGCAAAAACAGATATGGATGTCAAGAGAGCCAGGAAAAGAGTGCAAGGCAGAGACACAGTCTCTGTTTCTCTCCTTCTGTCTCTGTCTCTGCCTGTCCCTCTTTCTGTTTGAGAGACAGAGATGAAAATGAGGGCAGAGGGAGGGGAAAGAGTCAGAAAGAAGCAGAAAGGGATAGAGAAGAAAAAGAAAGAGAGAGACAGAAAAGGGGGGGAGAGGAGAGGGAGGAGAGGAGAGGGAAGAGAGACAGAGAGAAGGGGGAAGGGGAGGGGAGAGACAGAGAAGGGGAGAGGCAGGAAAGAGGAGACAGATGGAGAGATAGAAAGAGTAACAGTGACAAGAGAGGAGACAGGGAGGCAGGAAGACAAAGAGAAACAGAGACAGAAAGGAGAGACAGGTAGAGACAGAGCTACAGAGAGACTGAGAAAGAAGGGGATAGGAGAGAGGAAAGAGACTGAGAGAGACGAGAGAGAAAAAGACAGAAGCAGAAACAGAAAGGAGGCAGAGAGAAGACAGTGATGGAAACAGAGACGCACAGAGTAGAAGACGGAGACTCAGGAGGTATCAGAGACAGCGAGGGAAAGAAGAGACAGGAAAGAGAGCAGAAGGGCACAGTGGCCCCCATCAGCATTCAGCCCAAGAAGTGGAGGGGATGGGGGGAATCTTGAGGGTGGGATGGGGGGGGGTTCCAGTGCTGGCTCAGCCTCAGCGTCACTCCCAGAAGGGGGTGTCCTCGGCCTCAGGGCATCTCTAGCCTTGTATGGGTACAGGGGGTCTCTAGCCCCAGGCTCTCTCTGGGCCTCTGTGACTCTCAATGCCAGCCCAGGCCCTGAGGCCTCTCTGCAAACCAGGGGTGGGGTGGGGGGGAGCCACTAGATCATCCTGGCCATATCCCTGCATCCAACCAGGCCCAGCTTCTCTGTCAGTAGGAGGCAGGTATGTGTCCATGATTGGGAGGACTCCAGTAAAGCCCTGGGGGAGGCATGGGAGGAGCTCTGGATACAGCACTGTCCTTGGGTCAGGAAGACCTGAGTTCAAATTCTGCCTTAGATGCTTACTACCTGTGTGACGCTGGGTAAGTCCTTTGTTTTCTCTCAGTCTTAGTTTCCTAAAATGGGGCCAATCAAAGGCTCTACCTCACGGGGTGATTTTGAAGATCAAATGAGGTCAATTCTCTATCTAAAATGAGCTACACACAGCAGCTTTATCAATTCCCTGTCATCTTGGGCCAAGTAAGGCTCAGTTTTCTTCTAAGATGAGAATAAGGGGGCTGGCACTGCCCCAGGATGGGATGGGCCACAAGTTAGGGTCCTGGGGGGAGCGGTTGTGGGGGAGCGGGAGGACCAGCGAGGACACAATGCTGAACACTCATCTGGGTCACTCATGGAAGGGGGGGGGGCCTGCGTCCAGCGCTGGTCACCTGTGGGGGGTGGGGGCCTGTGTCCACTTCTGGTCACCCGTGGGGACTGGGGGGACCCCTGTCCAGTGCTGGTCACCCAGCTGGGCAGGGGGCGGGCAGCCTGAGGGAGGGTCCGCCCTGGCCCCCAGCCCCCGGAGCCGGCGGTGGGTACCTGGGGGTCGGGCAGCGGCTCTGGATCCGGGAGGGGACGGAACAGGACCAGGAAGGTCGCGTTAGGATCGGCTCCCGGGCTTCCTGCCCGAGGCCCCACCCCCAGGAAGACCCCGCCCCCTCCCCCGCGGGGGTGTCCCCAAAACGCCGCCCCCGCCCCCGGTTCTTGGGTCCCAGGCTCGCGTTCCCGCCACGACCACTCGGAGTCCGCCATACGGCGCCCGAATCCCCCGGGCCCAGAGTGCGCGTGCGCACGTATATCTGTATGTGCGGAGTGGCGGAGAGAAGCGTCCACTGGACCTCGAGGAGCCTCCAGGGGGCGCCTCTGTCCCCACGGGCCCTCCTACCTTAGTGCGCCTGCGCCAGACAATCTTTCCGGCTGGGGGCCCAACGAGCCACGTGCGCCCGGAGTAGGCAGACCAGCCCCGCGTGATTCCGGGCCCGGGGCATGCTGGGACGGAGAGTTCGCCGCGGTGCCAGGCATGCGCAGACAGGAGCGCGCCGGCGTTGGTGGGCGCTAAGGTGGGGGGAGAGTCACGGCGAGCTGCCCGCCCCTGGGAGCGCCTATTTCTCCTCCAGGCGCCGTCTCTGCCAGGTGTGGAGCAGCCAAAGGCTGGGCCCCGGCTCGGTCGGGACTTTCCGCCCTGACCTCCCTCCCCCGCGTCCCGAGGACGATGGTCCGGTCCCACCTCTCATTGGCCGATTTCCCAGAGACGTCAGCGCGCCCGGGCGGAAGAGGCGGGAGCGGCGGGCTTCCTCCCGGAGGCTCACGGGGCAGAGGTTTAATCCCCGCCCCTGCAGCCGCCTCTTCCTTTCCCAGACTTGACTGCGCCGAGGTTGGGCTGGCTGTCCCCGCGGCCGCTCTCGTCGTTTCTGCAGCGCTAGGCCGCGACCACCGGACAGGACCCGAGTAAAGCCCAGACCGCCGAGTGGGTACCGGGGCTGGGGGCCGGGGCTGGGAGAGGCGAGGGCGGCTGGGTCTAGGCCTGGAGAAGGAGTAGCGCGCGGTGCGGTCTGCCTCGTGCTGCCCGTGGAGGGTTTGGCGTCGGGCCCGGTGTAAGGCGCGGCGGGATCGGGCTCCAGAGCCGGCCGGCCTTCCTCAGGGAAGGCTCCCGAGGCCAGAAGGGAGAGTGTCCGACTAGAGGACCTGGCGCAGGGCCGCAGTCCGTCGGCTCTTAGGGGCCTTTTGGATCCTCTCTCTTTCAGTTCAGAGCCCGGGCGTCCCAGCGCGCCCGGGCACTTCCTTCGGCCACGGCGGGGGACTTCCTTGCGGAGTCGCTGAAGGGGTGCGAGAGAAGGGGGAGGGTCGGGGCGCTCGGGGGAGGGCGGAGCCAGTGCTCCTCCCCCTCCCGGGGTTCGCCCCCCGCGGCCCCCTGACCTTGGCTTACGGGGTCTCGCCGCCTCTCCCCCAGGATGCGCTACGTGGCAGCCTACCTCCTGGCCGTCCTCGGCGGCAACGATTCCCCCAACTCCAAGGACCTGAAAAAGATCTTGGACAGTGTTGGCATCGAGACGGACGAGGAGCGGCTGAAGAAGGTGAGGGGTTACCTTGGGGTAGAAAGCACGGGTGCGGTGCCTTCGGCTCTGCCCAGACCCCGTTAGTGGGCGGCTTCTCACCGCTGCTCTCCTCTCTTAGGTCATCAGCGAGCTGAGCGGCAAGAACATAGAAGATGTGATCGCCCAGGGTGAGACCTTGGCAGAAGGAGGGGGGGACATTTGTGCCGGGGGAGACCAAAAGTGAAGTGTGTAGACAGTGGTGAGGGCCACAAAACCGGAGTGTGGAGGGTCCCATTCTTCTTGTAAGTAAAATATAAGCTCAGAGCAGAAAGCGATTGATCTGCTGGGCATTGAGACAGCTGGTTCTGGAATACAGATGTTGGGAGCACTTAGCACAGTTTCTGGCCACGTCTGCTTTGTTTGTCCCATCCTGGCTTGTCCATCCTAATTCCTGCTGGTCGCAACAGTACCAGCCAGGTTTCGCTGGTGGACCAAAGTATAGCAGAAATCCTCTTTGGGAGCTGTGGGGCATCTGTGCCGTGGGCTCACAGCCAGCCTGGGGTCTCTAAACACAGAGTTAGATTTTGATAGTTAAGTAGATGGGGGGGGGGAATGAGTTGATTGGATGAGGTGATTTCAGATGCTGTAGTTTTCTGAAAGAAAGACGGGGGCACATTGGTTCAGCTTCCAGGCCTAAGTTATGCTCTGGAGGCGTTCCTGTCAGGCATAGTTTGAGTTCCCAGGCACTGTGTGGTAGCAGACTATTTGGGGACCTGGCAGCTCTCTTCGGATGGTCCCTCTGGTCCTTGGGGATCGTGCAGCTGCTACATGTCTGGGCAGATTTCAGACCCCCAGTAGCCACCTTTTGCTGCTGTTTGCTGATGGGTTTTCCTGGTGACACACCATGGAGTGTGGGCCATCTGTACAGGGACCAGCCTTCAGTGACGTTTAAGATCTAACCATCCCCCAAATGCAAACAATTGAAAACCAAACCAGGGAATCGGGGGTTTAAAGCTGGGTGCCTGTTAGATCATTGGTTCATGCGCTAGGACTTAGGGTAAAGGAGGTACCTTGTGTGGAGAACAGCAGGGTGTCTCTGGCCGGCCTTCCGTGGAACGGTAGAGCAGCTCCCCCTTTCCCGCACACCTTGCTCATACTGCCCTTTCCCCCTTCTGCAGGGAGCAGTAAGCTGGCCTCCATGCCTGCTGCTGGGGCTGTCGCTGTTGCTGCCAGTGCTGGCTCTGCTGCCCCCGCTGCTGGTGGCGCAGCCCCTGCTGCTGGTGAGTGGGCAGAGGGGCTGGCATGGGGAGGCAGGCTGTGGGAAGGGGAGATGGTCAGGCCCCCTCATTACTGACTCCTTTTGTCTCTATAGCAGAGGAGAAGAAGGAAGAGAAGAAAGAGGAGTCTGAGGAGTCTGATGATGACATGGGCTTTGGTCTCTTTGATTGAGTGCCCACCCTGATCCTAGAGCAAATAAACCTTTTATTTAAGAAGGCTTGGTGTCATTGTTGTGGATCTGGTGGGCCAAGGTCAGTGAGGGAGAAGTGGCCCCTTGGTGTCTTCTAGAGCTCTGAACTGTGCTGAGAAGCCAGGATTTGCATCTGGTGACGATGCCCCGAAACATGCCCGTCACAGGCACCAGAGGTCCTTCCTGCACCAGATTTCTTGAGTGATCCCCAGAGAGGGGCCTTCCTGCCTTGCAGATGTGGCCATGTACCAGGGTTACCATTCACCCCTCTTGCCCTCCCTCACTTCCACTCAGACTGCCTTGTCTCTGACCCGGAGCTTGTGGAAGGGACAGCCCCATGTGAGCCCAGGAATGTAAAAACAACAGCATTGGGCAAGACCTGAGGCAGGGACAGGGCTTGGGGCTGTGCCTGGGCTGTTCCATTGCCAGGGCAGATGGGAGGAGCGGCCTGAAGTCTGTGGGGTAGGAGGAGTGTGCATGTGTACCTCTAGGGTCCAGTGGGATAGAGGGCTGGCCACTGTTTGGGGACCTGGGGCCTTCCTCCACCTTAGACCACAGCCCAAGACCTTTTGCGTTGGCTCACTGGCTGAGGGAGGAGGACGTTGCTTGGGGTCCCGGCTTTTCAAGTCCTTCCTGGCAGGTGCAGACAATCTGCATTGGCTCCTGCTGACTTGTGCCCATCTTCACTAATGAATTTTTCCATTTTTAGCTAGACTTCGTCTAGTAGAGGGAAGACTCAAGTGAGAACATGGTCCCTGCCAAGGCCGGCCTAGGTTTTGGTGACTGTGTCCTCCCAAACTTCAGCTCTCCATCAGGGTGTGCTGAGAGGGCTTCACTCAGCTACCTAATGGTGTGGGCTTGGGAGGGCTCCTGACCGTGGCTTTGCTTCACCCGCTGGCTAACTGTTCCCACCTGCACAGGGTTTTGGGGAAGCTTAGGCCGCTTCTGCTTTTCTGTTCCTGGCCCCTCCGACCTTAACTCTTGTTGGAAAAGTACCTTCTTGGGCACAGTTATTAGGGAGGCTGAGGCAGGTGGCTGGAGAGGCTTCTGGTGGATCAGGGAGGGCTGAAGGTATAAGCATTTATGAAGCACCTACTATGTACCCAGCACTGTGCCTTCCAAATATCCATTTGATCTTCGACCTCAGACATTCTGGGGGAAGTGGTACACTTACATTCCTTTTATGGTTGAGGAAATGGAGGCAGCTAGAGAAGTGGCTTAAGTCAAGTTTGTCTATAGTCCTATGGGCCAGGCCTGTGCTTAGGGAAAGCTACCTCAGCATCTCCAGGGCCCTGGGAAGCAGTTCTAGGCAGTGGCCCACTGGGGGATTGGGCATTCCAAGAAGTGGAGCAAGGAGCAGACTGTACCGTTTATTCCTGGATATAGAGGGTGGGGTGAATGATGGGGGACTGAAAATGCATGGGTAGGGTGGAAATGAGGCCAGAGGCCCCAAATCCTCATGTCCTCTGGGTCAGCCCAGGTCCTGGCGGGGGCCCTTGCCCTCTGGCCCTGTTTAAGTAGGGGAGAGGAGCTGGCGCCCCAGTCCCTGGCTGGGCCTTCTGGGGACACAGCTTATTCTCCCATGCCCTGGCCATGTCCAGCTTCTTGGCCACAGACTCAAGACCTCTGATCAGCTGGTCATGGGGAGGGCTGTGAGGCTCTTGCTGGCACCAGTGGGTTTGGGGGCAGGGGCTGTACTTCTGAACTGGCTGGCTGCCTGGAAGTAGCAGTGACCTGGGACAGCAACACAGCTTCAAGGCAGTGGCTTTTGCCTCATCTCCGCTATCCTGGTCTTCCCTATCCCTTCAGTTTGACTACATAGAGCCAGCAGGCCCTATCCTGCCTGACAAGCACACTCCTCCCAGGGTAGAAGAGGGCTCTTGGGCTGTCCTCCCATCTGTCTTGGGGAGGCCCCTGGGTCCCTTGGAGGCTGGATGACGGCATCCTTCCTGCTCAGCAGGACAGTTGCCCTGCCTGGGTCATGGGGAGGGAATCAAAGTTGGGTGCCAATGTGAATGGGTAGAGAGGTAGAGGGACAAGCAGGAAGACTCGGGAGTCAGGTAGATGGGCAGCTCGAAGAGCCCTCTCTCTCCTCCATCAGCTGGAGCAGGCTCAGCGCCTAGACTACTAGGGTTAGTGGGCCTTGGGTCCAAGAGCCTGTGACCTCAGACCGAAGTGCCGACACAGTGTTAAGGAGGGTGATGTCAGCGGGGGTGCGGCAGAGGTGCAAGGGGTAATTGGGGGTGGGGCTGGGGAGTCGGAAGACCTCTGATTGGCCAGAAGTCACTGCCTTGGCCTCACTCAGGGCCCAAACAGAACCTGGTGACCCAGGCAACAAAGCTGGCCTCAGGCCTAGAGCCAGCCTAGGTTCAGGTGTGGGGAGCCAGCGTGTGCCGGGTGATCAGGAGGTGGGGGAGGCCTCTGGGTGTCTGCTGGCCTATTCCCGGTGGGAAGTGGGGGGCAGCAGTGTCTGGAGGCCTCTGGGTGTCTTGTCATGAGAGGCAGGATCCAGGGCTGTTCCATGTGTCCTGAAACAAGCCCATCCTTGAGCGTCTGTCTCTATGAAAGTCCGTGCACACGTGTGTGTGTGTGTGTGTGTGTGTGTGTGTGTGTGTGTGCGTGTGTCCCCGGGGCCGGCGGGCTGAGGGGCTCCCCCAGGGACACTTGGAGGGCAGCGGCCGCTTCCCAGAAGCGCTCCTCCTGAAGGGGCGGTGGGGCCACAGCAGGCTGGCCATTGGGTCCCCCGGCGCTTGGGACTCCGCCCCCAGGCCTGGGCTCTGAGCCGTTAGGGAGAGGCGGAACCTGGGGGGAGGGACACTCAGCCCAGGCCCGCCTCTCGGCCCACTCTCATAACACCGCCTCCTCCGCGCAGCAGGCACTGCTGTATCCGCCTCCCCGGGAGCAGAGCAGAGCAGAGCGAGCCCACTGAGCTGGCCAGCGTCGCAAGCCGGCCTTCAGCAGCCACCCCGGCACCTGTACCCCAGCCCCGCGCCCCTGTACCCCCTTGGGTCCCCGGCCGCTGAGCCCCCGGAGACCCGCGGCCGGCCGGCCGGCCGCGCGATGTTCCCCAAGGAGACGGCGTGGAACATCTCGTTCGCCGGCTGCGGCTTCCTGGGCGTCTACCACATCGGCGTGGCCAGCTGCCTTCGCGAGCACGCACCCTTCCTGGTGGCCAATGCCCGCCGCATCTACGGCGCGTCCGCGGGCGCGCTTACCGCCACCGCGTTGGTCACCGACGCCTGTCTGGGTGAGTGTAGCCAGGCTGTGACAACGCGATGGTGGAGGGGGAGGCCGCCCCGGCTCCCAGACGGTGTCCCAGGGGACGCCCGAGCCCGGGATGTCGGACGTCCGGGCGCCCCTCCGGGCCCAGACGCGAGCTTCAGCCCTGACGGGACGCCCTGTCCCAGAGCCCGGCTCTGCGAATTGCCCGGCGCGCGGAGGGGCGGGGCCCAGGCTTGTTTTCCTCGGCAGGTGCGGGCGGAGCCTGCTTGGGACCGGCCTGTTGGGGGTGGGGGCAGGAGAGAAGCGCCGGGTGGGGGGAGAAGAGTCATGTCTACTAGAAACAGTCAAACTGCCGAGACTGACCTCGGCCCCAAGAACATCGGAGCCCTCCATGGGTGGCTGGGGGGTGGGGGTGGGGTCAGAGGGGTGCCCGGGACCCGCCCAGCCTCTGGGTCCTCCCTGGGCCACTCCGTCACATCTCCCTCTCTCCCCCATCAACCTTCTTGGGGCTCGGGTTCCACCCTCCAGCGCAAAGGGGCCACTGAGCCCCACTTCGGAAGCCCCTACCAGCTCCCCACCCCACCCCCATCTCAGTGCCTCATTCTGGGCTATTTGGGGGCTGTCCTAGGATGCCTTCCGAGGCAGAGGAAGATGGTGCTACAGCCTCTGGTAAACACCCCTGGTCTTGCTCATGGGCTCCAGCCTGTGGGACAGAAAGACTTCCAGAAGTTCTTGAGTTTGGGTCCTTGCCTCAGTTTCCCCTATGAAACCCAAGCAGGAAGTTCTTGACCCCAGGCAGGGTCTGCCCCTTCTGGCTGGCCTGGCTGGGCCCCATTCATTCAAGGCTCTGCCTTTGTTGGCATGGCTTGGACCACCTCTGTCCCAGCACACAGACCTCCCTCCTTTGGAGAAGAGTCAATCTCACTGGTGCTGATGAGCTCAGCTTCTGCACTGGGCCTCGGAACTGCCCACGAAGTCCTTCCTTTCGGGCACAACCAGTGGGAGCTTGGCCCTGGGTCACAGGCACAGGAGGCCTAATGTGATGGTACTTCCTCTCACAGTCAGGGAAACTGAGTCAGGGCCGGGATGACTCACTCTTGGATTCTCAGGCTGATGCCAGATGGAAAGGCAGAAACAGCAGGCACCCTCCCCCCCATTTCTGTCCCCATTTGCCGCCTTGTAACCCCTGCAGCTGGCTAGGGTGATGTTGGAATTTGTAGGGGGCTCAGGCTGACTACCTCCTTATTCCCGGGGCTCCATGGGCCCCTCTGGCTTTAGGAGGCCTTTAGGAAGTCTGACAGCCTCTGTCCTCTGTCCTAGTCCCTGAGGGCTAGGGGCCAAGGGATCCTAGGATGCACGGGGTACCTCTGCCACGGCTCTTGTCAGGACAGGGGGCCTGAGGCCTATCCTGGGCGCCGCCCCTCCCCCCCAGGACTCATCAGGTCCAGCCAAACTGCTGCTTCCCCTTCTCCCAGATGTAGAGGGGTCCAGGACCTGCTTGACTGAAGGGTGGGGCTGCCTTCCCCATAGGCCCCAGCTGCTCCGGCCACCTCTGTTCTCAAGAGGTGACCTTTGCCTCTGCCCAGCTCAGTTCCGGAGTCTTGGAGATGGGGAGCCTTCCCTACGTCTGACTTTCCTGTCCCACAGAGGGCGCCCTCAGCTCGGTGGGGGGGAGGTTGGCAGACGGAGAGGAGGGAAGCCCTGGGTGAGGGGGCTCATGTGGTTGTTCAGCCCAATTTCAGCCTTTCCAGGGGCTCTATCCTGAAGCCTCCCTTTATGAGCTTGGGCAAGGCCTTCTCTTGTCAGCCTCAGTTTTTTCATTTGCAAAATGGGGCTGATACTGGCATTCAGAAATAGGACTTGGGGTATAGTAGGAACCCCCCCCCCCGTCAGGTTGGGAGGCCAAGGCCAACAGGTTGAATAGAGCTTAGGCTCAGCCCTGCCCATTCAGGGTGAGAGGGCACTCACTTTACACAGCATGCATGGTGGGGTTTTTTTTTGGGGGGGGGCAGGTTAGATGACTTGTCCAGGGTTACACAGCTAGCATGTGTCTGAGGCTGGATTTGAACTCAGGTCCTTCTGACTCCAGGGCCAGTGCTGTATCCACAGTGACCTGAGACTCTGTTTCCTAGCCCTCTTAGGTGGGAGGAGACATGCTCTCACCCTCAGGCCAGTTGTCCTTCCCCAATTCCTCCTCTCTGTTGCTTGTTGTGTGTGTGTGTGTGGGGGGGTGCTTGTGTAAAGTGATGCCACCCCCAATTTCTCCAGTACTAGGGAGGGGTGATGGTTCTGAAAGCAGAAGGCCAGGTCCTGGCTGGTTTGTACCAGGGCCCCAGGGAAGATACTCTTGAGGCTCATCTTTGATGCCGCCCCCCCCCCCGCCCACCTGGGAAAGAGGATGCAGACTGGAGCCCTCTCCTGCTCCTTCCCCTGGATCCCTTTAGGTCCTGCCCAGGAGAACCCCAGCCATGATTCCGGCTGAGACGGAAAGCCTGAAGTGGCTTTGGAGGGATCTTGTGGAACCCTCCCCTTTTAGAGATGGGTGAAGTGAGGCCAGAATGGGCTGGGAAAGGACCAGATGGCTGGCTGCTAATCAGATCTCACTCTCAGATGGGAGAGGGACCATCCCTGAGATTTCATTGATTGAGAAATCCCAGAGGTGGAAAGTCCCTTTGCCAGTGCCAGTGGCCACCTTCTCTGGCCCTCGTGGCTTCCGTGTCAAACAGCTGCCAAGCCCCAAGGACGAAGTTAGGGGTAGAGCCATCCAGATGAGAGCTCAGATCACCCTGGCCCTAGGGGCCATCTCCTGCTCAGATGGCATAGGAAACACTGCCCATGTGTGAGCCAGGACAAACAAGGTCACTGCTTGCAGAGCCTCTGAAAGCAGTTCAGAGCTCTGTCCTTAACCAGCTTTGGTGAAGGGGGGCATGGAGAGAGAAGGGAGGAGGGGGAGGGAGGAGGAGAGGAGAAAGAAAGAGGGAGAGAGAGGGAGAGAGAGACGGATACAGAAATGGGGGGGGAGTGATTGAGAGTGAGTTTCATTTTTCCAGTCTCATCTTCAGGGAAAGTGCCCAAGGTCACCAACTTGAGTAGTGAGTAGCAGGCCCTAGATGGCATGTAATGCCCACAGCCTGGCTCTGTTCCAGGCATGTGATGGGTGGATGGGGCCTCCTGGCCCCAGCTCCAGGGGAGAACCCTGGCCCTTGGGTCCTGTGTGGCTGAGCAGAAGTTAGTTGGGGCTTCTTGCCCCCCTCCCCAGAGTTTCTGCTGGCAGATGCCTCACCCCCATTCCAGGTATCTGCATTGGCCTGATATCCCCCTCCCTCTGCTCCCGCAATGCCAGGGCTAGGGCTTCTTGAACCAGATCCTGTGAAAGCCCTAGAACAGACCAGGACCAGCCTCTGCCCCTGGGGCCTCCTGCATATGTGCTTGGGAGGGGTCAGCTCAGGCAGGAGCAGGCACACAATCTCTCATCCTCCTGCCTTAGGCTGGGGTGTGTGTGTGGGGGGGTGCTCTTCTCAGGCCTCTCTCTCACCAGGAAAGGAGTCAGACCTCCTGCAGCTGAGACCCTTTAGCCAGCCCGTCATGCATGAAAGTACCCAAAGAGAATCACGGGTAGCGTTCCCCTCATTTTGGAGGTTAGGGAGCTGAGGCCCAGAGATTGGCAGAATGTGAGGTGAGGGTGCATTTGTGGACCCCAGGATCAAGGCCTTAGGTATCGCCCTCTGACCTCTTCATCTCACCCCAGGTGAGGCTGGTGCCAACATCATCGAGGTGTCCAAGGAGGCAAGAAAGCGCTTCCTGGGGCCCCTACACCCCTCCTTCAACCTGGTGAAGATTATTCGTGGGTGCCTCCTGAAGACTCTGCCAGCTGATGCCCATGAGCATGCCAATGGGCGCTTAGGCATCTCCCTGACCCGGGTGTCGGATGGCGAGAACGTGCTCCTATCCCATTTCAGTTCTAGGGAGGAGCTTGTCCAGGTGTGTGTGTGTGAATGTGTATATGTGTGTGAATGTGAGTATGTGTGAGCATGTGTGTGTGAGTAAGTATATGAGTGTGTGTGTGTATGTGTGAGTATATGTGTGAGCACATGTGTGAGTATGAATATATGTGTGTGTGTGTGTGTGTGTGTGTGTGTGTACACACATGAGACAGCACCAGGGTTGGGGGGGCACGTATGTCTCCTCTAGGTGGGGGGGTTTGCCCACGTGTATGCCCATGCACATGCATGGGGCACACACACACACACACACAGGGCACACTGTGGGTGGGCTTGGCCTGTTTCAGGCCCTCATTCCTGTCTCTGTCTTGTAGGCCAACGTCTGCAGTACCTTTATCCCAGTGTACTGTGGGCTCATCCCACCGACCCTGCAGGGTGTGGTGAGTGCCACCCCGTCCTGGCTTCCTCTCTACTTGGCAGGGCAAGGGTAGGGGGTAGGAGCACGCATTGAATACCACGGACCTCCCTGGGCTGGGGAAGAAGGCTCCTGGGAGCTACTGCCTTCCACGAGTTACACAATTGTGAGGCCTCCTTTGGGGAAGTTCTGGGGCCAGGCCCGTCTGTCCTCAGCAGCAGCTGCGGATGGCGTGCCCAAGCCAGGGGAGGGGGGGCAGAGGGTCTGATCTGGCCCAGTGGGTAAAAGGCCACAGCATGGAGCTGGCATCAGGCAGAAGTGGTTAATAATAGCCCTGGAGAGGCCAGAAAGAGACGGAGTGGTTCCATGAAGTAGGTGCCAAAGTAGCCTTGCCACGCCACCCCCACCCCCTGAGCCAGCCTCTCCTGGCCTTTAAGGGGGACATGGGCGCTGGAGGATGGGCAGGCCTTTGGGCTGGGGGTGCTGGGGGATGGGAAGGCCTTTGGGCTGTGGGTGCTGGGGGATGGGCAGGCCTTTGGGCTGTGGGTACTGGCGGATGGGCAGGCCTGGGCTGTGGGAGGGGGGCAGTTGGAAGACTAATTAACGGCCCTTCTGCTGGTGGCCCACAGCGTTACGTGGATGGTGGCATTTCGGACAACCTGCCCCTCTATGAACTGAAGAACACGATCACTGTGTCCCCATTCTCAGGGGAGAGCGACATCTGCCCCCAGGACAGCTCTACCAACATCCACGAGCTCCGGGTCACCAACACCAGCATCCAGTTCAACCTTCGAAACCTCTACCGGCTCTCCAAGGCTCTCTTCCCCCCAGAGCCCCTGGTAAGGGCCACACACATTGATGGCACACCTGCTGCAGGCCAGGCCTGGGCCTGAGTGCTTTCGAGTTCTGATCTCACAGCCATGCTAAGGCAGGACGTGTTGTTATTATTCCCATATTGCAGATGAGGAAACAGGCAAAGAGAAGGGAAGTGACTTTCCCAGGGTCACACAGCTAGGAAGTGGCGTCTTCCAGATGCCCAGCCCAGTGGCACCATCTAGCCTTCATTAGGAGATTGTATCAGAGCTGATCCTAGAGGGAGCTTAGAGTCAGGGAGGCCAAGAGGAGGAGGGAGGCATTGTTATTGGCCCAGGAGCAAAGTCCACAGCGGGCTCAGGCAGAGAGGGCAGGCTGAGTCCAAGGAGCTTCGGGTCAGCGTCTGGCTGGGATGGGCTGCGCTGTTCTTGAGGCAGAGCAGTCGGCCAGGAGCCTGGAGAGGCGGGCTTGAGGCTGTGGCTGCTGTGCTGGCCGGCTTTGCCTTCCAGATGGAATGCGGAGGCAGCTCCGGGGGTGCAGAGATGGAGACACGAAGGAGAGGCTCAGTGGACTTAGCAGCTGCCAGGATGGAGGGCGAGAGTGGCCAGCCTGGGGAGTTCCTTCCGTGCTCATGGGATGGGGAGGCTGATCTTGGAGTCTGGGGGAGAGACGTTTTGGACAGGTGGAGTGTGAGAGGGGGAAACTGTCCAGCAGGTCAGGCTGTGGGGCTTTGGCTGCATGTGCTTATGGAGCAGAGATGAGCCTGATGCCCGTGGATGCTGAGCTCACTGAGGGAGAGAGAGGGGCACAGAGCCCTGGGGAGCCCCATGCCCTACTCTGATATTCAGGGCCAGCAAGGGAGGCTAAGAGGGGTCAGCCATGGCAAAGGAACCAGCAGGGAGGTTTACAGGGGCCCAAAAGGAAAGGATCCAGGGGAGAGGGGGAGCAGTGGCACCAAGGAAGGCCAAGAACGGGCCATCACACTTGCCCGGTGCCCGGCGCCCAGCGGTGTCCAGCACAGGCAGGGGTTTTTATAAGGAGATCCAAGCAGGGACGCAGAAGGGGCTTGGGAGCTCCCCCTGAAATCCCAGAGTTGGCTGGCCTGCCTGAGGGTGGATGGGATGGCCCTTTCCCAGAGGCCTCCAGGCCTGGGGTGCCATGGTCTGTTGGTCCAGCTTGGATGCCCTGACCTGGGGAAGCAGGGCCTCTCCTGGAGTCGGGAGCCTTCCCCTCCGTTCTGAGGCCAGCCTTGGGGGCCTGAGAGATACCTTCCAGGCAGGGGGGGAACCTGTCTTCCCTTGGTTTTTCTCACATCAAAGCCCACAGTGATGGAGTTTGGGGGGAGGGCTCACCAAAAGGGCACAGCCAGATTCCAGAACTCCCCTCTATCCCTCCCCAACCTGTTCATCCCCCTGTCTCAGGTGCTGAGGGAGATGTGCAAACAGGGATATAGGGATGGCCTTCGCTTTCTGCGGCGGAATGGTGAGTGGGGGCCCCAGACCCCTGAGAGGGGAGGCCTGAGCCCAAGTGGCAGCAGGGGGCCCCCAGCTCTAAAAAAATGCTTTTTTCATCTTTGGAAGGGAAAGAAGGGGGTGGTGGAAGGCAGTGGGCGGTGTGGGGGGAACTGGTCCCCATGTTGCATTAGACTGAGGCCTCTGCTGCCCCCTGCTGGGAAAATGGAGAGGTGCACCCCTCTGCACCACCCTCCACCCCACCCCAAGCTGATCTTGTCTTAACTGCCCAGGTCTCCTGAACCGTCCCAACCCACTGCTGGCACTGCCCCCTTCTGGGAAGGCCCCAACCCCAGAGGAGGAGAAGGAGGAAGATGATGGGGAAAAGGAGCAGCCAGTGGTGGCTGAGATGGCAGTGGTCCGAGCCCAGGCCAGGCAGGGCAAGCTGCCCCAGGGGAATAGAGACCCTACTGAAGACCATATCCTGGAGCACCTCCCAGCAAGGCTCAATGAAGGTACCCCTGCTTGAGGATCTAGGGGAGGGGCCAGGATCCTGGGCCCCGGGTTTAGGAGAGGGAGGCCGTGGGTGAAGGCTTTTCAGGGCAGAGGCCAGTCTCCCGAGAGGTGATTCACCTCCAGACAAGGGTCCAGGAGGGATTTGAGCACAGGTCTCTGCTGACTCCAGGGTCAGCTCTCTGGCCGCTAACTGCCACTGAAGAGAGGCCACTGAAGGCCAGTTAGGCTGAAAAAACCTCCTCCCAGGGAGAGCTGCTTGGGTCCTTCAGGCTGGATCACCGTAGGTTAGGGAAGACATAGTGGAGATCCCTTTGGTGTGGGGTTTGGGGCCGTCTTCCAGCCTGTGACTCTGTGACATGAGAACTCTATACAAGGAAAAGGTTATTCTGCAGAACAGGGATTGAGGAGCACACAGACTGAGGCTGGATGTCAGGAAGAGCTTTGAAGCAATGAGAGCTGGTGGCAGATAGCAGATTCCTCTAGGGGTAGGGGGGCATGGGTACAATTCTGACGAGGAATGGCTAGAACCAGAGGCCAGCCAATGGTGTGGGGCCGGGCAGATGAGAGGAACCCAGACTGTGTTAGACCTGAGGCGCGGGTCAATCAGCAAACATTAATTAAGCAGGCACTGTGCTAACTAAGGACTGGGGGGAAAAGCAGACCCTGTTCTCAAAGAGCTTATAGTCTAATGAGGAAGAAAATGCACAAGATGAAATGAACAGACCCTCAGCCCCAGCCTCAGAAGAGGGAGTGAAGAGTATAGGAGGGCTCCTAGGCTATGAGCCTGGTGACTGGGAGGACATCAGGGCCCTGATAGTCATTGATAGGGGAGCTTGGAAGAGGAGGAGAGATCATGAGCTCAGTTTTGGTCATGGTAAGTTCAAGATGTCTGTGGTTCATCCTGTTAGAGATGTCAAATATATAGCTAGAGATGTAAGGAGAGAAGTGAGGGCTAGATACATAGATATGAGATTCCTTGGCATAGAGATGGCCGTTGAATCCATGGGAGCTGAGATCACCAGGTGAATCAGTAGAGAGAGAGCAGAGGGCCCAGGACAGACTCCTGAGGGACACCCATGGTTAGAGGGCATGACGTGGAGGAAGAGCCAGTGAAGGAGATAGAGGAGCACCAGAGAGGGAGGAGGACAACTGGGAGAGTGTGGGGGGCTTGAAAACCTAGAGAGAAGAGAGGACCCAGGAGGAGAGAGCAACCAGCAGCATTCAAGACTGCAGAGAGGTTGAGGAGAAGGATGGAGAAAAGGCCACTAATGAGGATGGGTTTGGCCATGAAGAGGTCGTGGGTGACTTCAGTGGAATGGTGAGGTCAAAAGCCAGACTGTGGAATTAAGAGAGGAAGCGCAGGCATTGCGCGGGGGCGGCTTCAAGGTTGGCCACAGAAGGGAGGAGAGCCAGGGGATGAATGGCTTGAGGGAGGGCTCTTTGAGGATGTGGGAGCCTCTTGTTTGTAGACAGCAGACAGCATCCAGGGCTCAGGGTGGCAGAGGGGGCGGTCTGCTGGAGGAGCTGGGGTGGGAGGGCACCACTTGAGCAGGAAGCCACCTCATCGTGTGAGACTGCAGTGAAGGACAGAGGGGCAGAAGGCATCTGATGATGGGAAGTGAGGAGAGGAGGGGGGGGGGGAAGGAACAAGCATTTATTTTATTTAAAAAATGTTGATATTTCATTTTTTTCCAATTACATGTAAAAACAATTTTTAACATCCATATAAAAATTTTTTTGAGTTTCAAATTCCCTCCCTCCTTGAGAAGGCAAGCAATTTGATATAGATGACATATGTGCAGGCATGCAAAACATTGCCATATTATCTATGTTGAAAAAGAAAATGCAGCCCAACCCCCCCCCGAAAGTAAAAAGAAAAAACGTACGCTTCAGTCTGCACTCAGACGCCATCAGTTCTTTCTGTGGAGATGGATGGCATTTTTCATCACGAGTACTTTGGAATTGTCTTGAGAACAGCGAAGTCGTTCCCAGTTGATCATTGTTACAGCGTGGCAGCTATTGTGTACAATGTTCTCCTCGATCTACTCGCTCCCCTCAGCCTCAGACCATACAGGTCTTCCCAGGTCTTTCTGAGGTCCGCCCGCCCATCAGTTCTTACAGCACAAATGGTGTTCCATCACAATCACAGGCGGACTTCATACTGCTCTGTGTGCGTTGTACTAAGTGCTTCACAAATACAATTTCATTTGATCCCCGAGATAGCCCTGCAGAGTAGGTGCTATTATTGCCCCCATTTTACAGTTGAAGAAACTGAGGCAGACAGAGGTTAATTGATTTGCCCAGGGACTCACAGCTAGTAAGTGCGTTTGAGCTCCACTCTTCCTGACTCCAGGACCAGTGCTCACCACAAGCTCTCGGTGAACGGCCACAGGTTTTTGGCCACAATAGGATGCAGAGATGTCAGCTGAGAAGGTGGAAGAGTCTCTGGGACAGGTGGGAGAGTGAGCTGAGGAGACAGTGTAGCAGGGTTGCCTGGCAGCAGTACGGGTCTGGTGGAGGCCGTGTCCCCTCTATCTGGAATGTACTCAATCAGTGATTTTCTCCAGCTCTGTTCAGCAGCAGGTGTGTGTGTGTGTGTGTGTGTGTGTGTGTGTGTGTGTGTGAGAGAGAGAGAGAGAGAGAGAGAGAGAGAGAGAGAGAGAGAGAAGGTGACTCATGGGGGAGATCTCTGGCTGAGGCTTGGCTGGCCAAGATCAGCCATACAACCAGGGGGTCAAGATGGGGAAAGGAGGGGAGAGTGGCTGGTGCAGGGGAGATGGGCTGGAGGTCACAGTATGGGTAGATGACAGGGCTCGGGGTTGTAAGGCAGAGGGACAGATTGTGACCAGGTGATGGGATTTCAGAGTTTGTGAATGTGGAGGTGGTTGCTTTGCGGCTGGTGGCCCTGACCTTCTCTCTGTGTGTCTGAGGTGGGGGGGAGGAACAGGAGGAGAGCAGCCATTGGTCAGGAAGCTGCCTCAGGCCCCGGGCTGAGTCGCCATGGATGAGCCTACCTTCCTTTGCCCGGCTTAGAGAGCGGGTGTGGACACGCGCGCCCTTCCCTCTTGCAGCCCTGCTGGAAGCCTGTGTGGAACCCAAGGACTTCATGAGCACCCTCTCCAATACGCTCCCTGTCCGACTAGCCACTGCCATGATGGTACCCTACACCCTGCCCCTGGAGAGCGCAGTGTCCTTCACCATTCGGTGAGTGAACCCAGCCAGCTGTGGCTCAGTCCGTGGTGTGGCTGGTAAGGATGGTAAGGACAGACGGGGACAGGAGGGAGCCCAGGCCTTGACACTCCACCAGTCCCACCTTGCCCAGGGAGAAAACAGGCCTACAGCACCCCAGCTCACGGCAAAATGGCACACATTCCGGGGGGAGGGTTGGTGATCTGGGAAGCTCAGCTTCCTGGAGGAGGTGGCTGTGAAGGTTTGGAAGGGATGGCACTGGGGAGCAGGGAAGGGAGATTTGTAATCCAGACTGGGGAGGTGGGAAGAGACCAATGTGTGTGTGTGTGTGTGTGTGTGTGTGTATGCCTGTGAATGTGTGCACACATGTGAATGAAGGGAGAGAAGACTGGAGGATGGTGTTGAGGGAGGGGAGTGAAGGGGTCAGGGTTCTATTGGAGGACTATTAGTTTGGCCTCTGTGTTATGGATGGTACCCTGGGGACAGGAGGCCACTGACCCCTGTAAGAAGCTTTTTTTTTTTGCTAGGTAATGGGGTTAAGTGACTTGCCCAGGGTCACACAGCTAGTGAGTGTGTCAAGTGTCTGAGGCTGGATTTGAACTCAGGGCCTCCTGACTCCAGGGCTGGTGCTCTATCCACTGCATCACCTAGCTGCCCTTGTAGAAAGCTTTTTGTCATAGTCCAGGAGAGAGTCTGAGGGTGGGATAAGAGTGGATATATTATGGAGACAAATTACAGACCCAGAATTGGTTGGAAATAGCATCCTATTGGGGAGCAGGGTGGTATAGCGAGGGGAGAGATTCCAGGATGATTCCTTGGTTGGGAACCTGGGTGGCTTCAGCAGGAATGGGCCCCTGGGGGGTGGGGTGAGGGGGATGGGGTTCAGTAAGGCCTCTATGTCGCCTGGAGTTCAGGGTCGGGGGTGCGGAGTCATCTGGGCAGAACAGGGGAAGGTGGGAGCCACAGAAGTAGTTGGGCTCATGACTGAGGAAGAGAATGTCAGAAGAGGCTGAGGGCTAAGGACCCTTGTGGCTACAGGAGGGGAGAGGGAGCCAGGGAGCCAGCTGGAGGGGGGCGTCCAGGAGAGGCTCTGGGGACTTGGACACATCCAGTGGGGCAGGGGCAGGGAAGCCCCAAGTGTGCAAGGGAAGGGGGTCCAGAGGGGGACTGTGGAGGCCAGGCGGCCGCTGGAGGGGGCCCACCTTGGCCTGCCTTCTCACCATCCCCCTACCCCATGTGCAGCCTGCTGGAGTGGCTCCCCGACGTCCCAGAGGACATTCGGTGGTTGAAAGAGCAGACAGGAAGCATCTGCCAGTACCTGGTGATGAGAGCCAAGAGGAAGCTGGGCAGCCATCTTTGTACCAGGTACCTGTGAGCTGGGGTCTCTGCTGGATCTCTGCCTCTGGCTGGCTCAGAGAGACCCAAGGCGCAGCTCCAGCCTCCTCCCCCCAGGGTCAGGGGGGCAGCCTCTTTCTTTTCCTCTGCCCCCATGACACTTCCTTGACCTTGCCTTCCAGGTTCACTGACCCCCTGGAGCTGCGTCGGACACAGTCTCTGCCCTCAGTGCCCACGACCTTTTACAGAGGCGCCTTGCCCCGCTGGATGCGAAACAATTTGTCGCTGGCTGACGCGGTGGCCAAATGGGAGGAGTGCCAGCGGCAGCTCCTGCTGGGTCTGTTTTGTACCAACGTCGCCTTTCCCCCAGATGCCCTCCGAATGAAGCCCCCCCCCTTGGGGCCCCCTGCCCTCCCCCACCACTGAGAGCCCTGAGGCTCCCCCCCAGCACTCCCTCCCCCCCTGGACTCAGTACCAGGCTTCCCCCTTTGCCCGGGGCCTGGGTCTGTCCTAGGGAGGGAGGGAGGGAGGGAGACTAAGTCTCCCTCAGATAGTAATTAGGCGTCCTAGGTCCCAGGCTTGGTGCTTCTAGATGGGAAGGGGCTGCAGGGCCGAGGGGATTGGGGGTTGATGAGCAGAGTAGACTTGGCTGAACACACACATCTGCTGCGCCCCCTCTGGGAGCACATTCCATCGGTGCCCCTCCCTGTCTCTCTGACTTCTTGGGGGAGGGGCCTGCCGCCTCAGCTCTGTCCCAGGAGCATTGCCTACCCAGAGCGAGCTGAGTCCAGGGGCTTCCTGAGTCCTGGAGGGCTGCTGTTTGGGGGCAGGAACCACAAGGTGGGGGCTGTGCCTCATTTTCCCTGCCTTTACCCCCTGGCCTCAGCCAGCTTTTTGGAGCTTTAGGCCCTCTGAGTAAGCAGAAGCAAGAATGCCTGGTGTCTGTCCCTGCCTGGGGAGTGGTGTCTGGACCTCGGGAGGAATGGTCAGACCGGGTTGTGGGCTGGGGTGAATATATGCCCACCCCTCCAGGAGCAGTATTACCGCCTGCTTGTGCCTACTCCCCGAATTTGACTGAAGAATGTATGCAGAATTATTTATTTCGGTGACAACAGGTGTAACAATAAAGGCTGGAGCTCAGGCCTGCTGCCTTGTTCCTGGGTCTAGGGCAGGACCTGGTTTCAAATCCTGCCCTTGGCTCCTTCCTAGTTACCGGCCCTTGGGCAAAAAAGTCCCACACAGTGTCAGGCTGGGAGGTATTGCAGGCCTGGAATCCAACTTGCAGCTGCCTCAGAATCCTCCGGAGACCCGGCCTGGGAGCTTTGCAGCCCCGGATCATGCCCAGTACCCCCACCTTCCCCCTTCCCCCATTGCTCCTAGCTCTGGAGTCAGTGCAGTAAACATTAAACACTGACCAACTTCCAAAGAAAAGCAACGAGCCCTCCCTGCCCTCGTGGAGCATCCATTCATTCTCAGGCTGGGGAGCCCCTGGTCCAAGGAAACAGTGTTATGCCCAGTAGGGCTGGTTAGGGCCAGCAGAGGTGAAGGGGGAGGCCGTGTTTGAGCCCGAAGGGAAGGGCCAGGAGACAGGCCAGGGATGGGAGAGACAGGCTCCAAATGCCGGACAGATTACCCTAGAAGCAACGGGCAGCCCATGCTCAGACCCGTGCTTTAGGAAGGTTGGCTTCCTGGGGAGAATAGAGCAAGAAAAGAGAATCCCTGGCCTCAAGGAACTCCCAAGAGGGGGTAGAGGTGGTCCAAGTGGCTGGCAGTAGAGATGCCCAGGCCATTTGGCCAAACATGGCCTGTCAGAGTCCAGGGCTGGGTCGGGCAGAGTTCCAGTCTCAGGTAGGGGAGTCATGGGTGGCCTGAGTAAAGTGAAAGGTTGTCTGGGAAGGGAAGGATAAGAGAAGGAAGAGGCCACTGCTTGGGAGCAAGGTGGGAGTGTCAGCAGAGAGAAGGGGAGAGTGGTGAGGCACTGGCCATGGAGGAGGAGGGTGAAGGAAGACTCCAGGCACCCTCGTGACAGACATAGCAGGGCCCTCCCCAGAAGTGGAGAGCATTGGAGGAAAGACGCTGACTTTTCTCGGGGATGTGATGAGTTGGAGATGCCACCTCCAAGTGCCCAGCAGACATCGGGCGATCTCTTGGACTCAGGAGAGAGGAGACATCTGGGTCAGACAATGATGGTCACCCAGGAGAGGCCCACGGCAGAGCCGAAGGCGAGTGCCCAAATTTGGGTGTGGGTGCTGAACTGAGAGCCCAGGAAGGAGGAAGAGCTCGCCAGGTGGGGGCCAGTCAGTCTGAAGGCAGAGTGCCCAGTTTGAGCAAGTCTCCCTGATGCCCTGGAGAAGAGGACTCAAGAGGAATATGAGGGGAAAGGAGGAAATGCCTTCTGCAAGAAGAGAGAGAACTGTCCACCACTCCCTACTTCAGCCCCAGTACATCTGTCATGGCTTCTTCGGCCCTCACCAGCTCAGAGACCTGTCTGGCATCCAGTGCTGGGCGGGGAGAGGCCCAGATGTCCTGGAGAAACGAGTCAAGGCGGCTCCTCAGAGAGCTCCTTCGTTGACTCTAGTGGGTCCAGGCTGACTTTGTGGACTTCTCTGGGCCTCGGTTTCCTCATCTGTAAGATGAAGGAGCCAGACACAGTGTATCTTGTGAATGGTCCTCCCAGAAGCTTGGTGACCTCCCCTCCCAGCAGAGGCAGTCAGGGGGGAGCTGGTGGGCAAGAATCTTACCCCATGCTCCCCAGGGTGGCCTCAAGTAAGGACAATGAGGGCAGATCTACCTTACTCCACCCCCTTCTGGGAATAGTAGAGGCGGGAGAAACGAAGCTGAGCCACCCTAGCTCAGAGGGAGGGTGCTTTGTTTTCCTGGGTCAGCCCAGAGCTCAGCCCCCCACCCCCATCCCAGAACTCCTGAAGAGAAGAGGGCTGTATCTGGTGGGGGGGGGGACTTCAGCCTACCCTCATCCACAGGGGTTATCTGAAGCAGCTGGAGCCCCCCCCCTCCCCCCGGGCCTCAGGCCCTTGGAGGGTTTCCTACAATAACGGTGTCAGAGACAGTAGACTGGGAGAGCCTGCTGGGCCAGTCCCAGCCTCCTTGTGTGTGTCCCTAGAGGCGGGTGCCTGTGGGGCAAGGGGCCAAACCTGGCCACACTGGCCCTTTCTGGTTCAACCTGATTCATCCCTCCCCATACATACACTCCAGATCAGACCTGGGCCAGTCTGGAGAGAATCAGGCTGGAGGACAGCTCCTCTGGATCAGCCCCTGGTGTTCCCGGCCTGCAGGTGGGGACACTGTAGTAGGGGTGGGAGGGGTGGACAGTCTGGGTAGGAGCCTGTGCTTGGAGCAGACCAGTTCCTGGTGGGTTCAGCCTGCCCCAGCTCTTCCACTGTCCAGGATGACTCCTGGGGCCTCCAGAGAGACCTGGGCCTGGGGCGTACTAGGGCCAAGGAATAAAAGGGGGAACCCTCAGGCTGGGCCCCTCCTCTGCTCTTCTCCTTTCCCTTTAGGCGACTGTGGCTTTGGTGAGCCTCCAGAGACTTAACACTCCTGGACTTCTGGGTTTGGGGGATAGCCCAGGTGGGGTCAGGACCCTATACTGTCTCCTCAGGACACCACCCCAAGCCAGACTGAGCCAGTCAGAAAAGGCCACCCTTAGCAAAGCCCAGGAATCTAGGCTTCTAACTGAAGCCTCAAAGAGACGCCAAGAGAAGGGTGGGCACATTCTCATACACAGGGCACACACAGACGTGTCCACACACACGTCCGTGCCAATGGTCCAGGACCTTCCCAGCTCTAAGTCCTCATGAAGGTGTGTATGTGTTATGGAGAGGCACATGATTTGCTCCCACAGACACACATAGGAGCCCCCCCCTCCTTCACTTTTACTAACTGCCTCTGCCCTGCCCCCCAGGGAGCACAGAGCTGGGCTTGGACGGCACCCACAATGACAAGAGCTGCTCTTGAGCGAGGCAGCCAGAGGGCCAGGGTCTGGGGCCATGCCCCTCTCGCTTTTGGGGGGATGCTTGTCTCTCCCAGAGACAGCTGAGTGTCCCCAGCAAGCTGTCTGCCCCTCAGACATCCCAACGGCAGAACACCTGGGTGGGGGGACCAGGATCTCCGTGACTCTGTCTTCCTCCTCCGGGTCTCTGCCGGCTCCCTGTCTTTCTTTCATTATACTGCTGCGGTTTTTCGGTCTCAGTCCAGGGTTCCCGGGCCGATCTGCCCTCAGTCCCAGGCCGGTGGCCTGGCGGGAAAGGGGTTATGGGGCTGGGCCCGGCCCCTCTCTGCCCCCTCCCCCTTTCCGGGAGGAGCCGCAGCTGCTGCCGGCCCTCCCCTCCCGGTTCGGGGCCCCCGGGCAGCCCGCCGCAGGTGCGGACGCGGCTCCCAGGTAAGACCCGAGGCGGGCAGCGGGGCTCCTCTCCTAGGGTGGCGGGGTGGGGGGGGGACCCCTCAGCCTTTGGGAGCTCCGCCCCCTCTACGGCGCTGTCCTTCCCCCCACCCCGCCCAATCTCTGCCGGCCTCCTGGTCCCTGGCCTCCGGGCCGAGCTCCCGGCTCCTGCCGAGCCCCACTCCCGCCACCACTTGGGCTTCGGCCCCAGGAGTGGAGACGGAGCTCAGAGAAGGACCCGACGGCAGGCACCTAAATGCCGGACTCACCAGGAGGACACGGGGCGGCAGGCCCGGAGAGGGGCACAGGAAGGGAGGTAGGACGCAGGGCGGAGAAGTGGTGGCAGACACCGACTCCCTCCACACACACCCTGCCCTCACCCCCCACCCCGAGTTGGGGCAGATCCTCATTCCGGAGCGTCCGGGCAGGGGCCAGGCTGGAGATCTCTAGCTGGGCTGAGGTGCCTCACCAGGCTAACCGGCTTTGGGTTCCATTGCTGCCCACCCAGGCCTGTCACTTCCCTCCAGTTGGACAGATGGCAGTGACTTCTGGTGACCTCCAGCCCTACCTCTTCTCTCCCCCCACCCAGTCCATCCAAACAGAGGGGATAGCGGCTGAGGCTAGGCAGCAGCCAGTAGACAGAACACCTGAAATCTCATCCCTGCCTCAGTTTCCCCCTTTTGAATTCCTGCCCTTCCCTGGGGCCTGGCTGCCTGGCCAGGGCCTCTGCCCCTCCCCCCTTGTGGAATGCAAGCAAGGAGATCCCTCTCCTTCCTCTCTTTGCCCCCTCTCCCCTCCCACATGCAGTGACAGGTGCAGACTGAGGCCCTAGGGTGGGGCCGAAAAGGCACCTGAGGTGTCCTGCCTGTGGGGAGAGGAAGAGGTAGATACCTGCTCCAGGGACCCCTCACTTGCTCTGAGGGAAACTTGGAAGGCGGATGGAAATGGAGTCACCAACTGGGGTCACACCTTGGCCTTGGCAGGATTGGGGAGGGGAGTCAAAGGCTTAGGGGCCTGGTCTGGAAGGCTGAGGCTGGCAGTGCCAGGGGCCAGACCCCTCAGTTCCCCCCCCCACCTCCTCCTCCCTCAGCACAGGCTCTGGGCCTGTAGGCTGAGATTTGTGCTGGGGAAGGAGGCTGGAGGTGAGTCACGGGGGCCCTTCCCCCCACCCCGGACCCAGAATGGGGGAGGCCAGAGGGAATGGCCAGATAGAATTACTACTGGCCTGCCTGCCTGCCGGATTGGGGCCCCCTCTTTGCCTTGCAAATGGCTCCAGCACTACCAGCATGGGGGTGAGGGGAGAAGACTGAGGGATGCTAGAGGTGCTAGGGAGCCGAGTACAGGTGCCCACAGGGGTGGGGGTGGGGGCTGGCACATGCTTTCCCCCAGGGCAGGGCCCAGTGTTCTCTGTCCTCAGGGAGGTCCTGGTACTAAAGAGATTAGCTCACCATGTGAACAGCCCCTCCCTGTTGGCCCAAGGTGCCCTGGCCAGGCTCCTTAACCCTTTCCTCACTTTGTGTGTGTGGGGGAGATGGGGATTCTGCAGCACTGACAGACATCCTTGGCCAGCTTACCAGGTCGGTGGGCCTGGGAGCTGGAACATCTGGGTTCCTGAGGCCTGGTGTGGCCTTGAGGGAGGGTCTGAGAGTAGTTTCAGGCCTTCCCAGCCAATGGAATGGGAGGCTGTGCTCCAACCCTGCCAGCAGAGCCTGTGGGTCAGTCAGTCAGTCAATCAATTAGGGTTTCTGGAGCACATGTTAAGTGCTCCTGTCTTTGCTGTGGGAAGAGAAGCAGACTCCAAGGGCCCCAGGGAAGGCCAGCTCCTGGGCTGTTTCCTTGACCATGTTCAGTGGAAGGGTCCAGCCCTCTCTCCCTTCATTCCTTCCACCCTTCCTCCTCTCTGCCTCTCCCCTTCCCTCTCTCCACTTTCCTCCTCCCCTTTTCTCCATTCTTTCTCCTCCCCTTCCTCCCCTGTCTACTTCCATTTTCTCGTTTCCCCTCCTCTCCCTCTCTCCCCCTTTCCTCCATTACATATTTACTGATCCCTGCTGCATGCAGGGCCCTACACTCTTGCTGAGAGGGTACCAAAGATGAAGGAAGACAGTTGTGTGGCAGGTGCCTTCACAGAGTTCACAGTCAGTCCACAGATGGATGTTGCTTCCAAGCAGCAGCCGTGTCCTGGCCTTCCCAGACCAAGTGCAGCTCATCTTCCTCCTTCCTGTCTCTGACTAAGCACGGGGGGCCTCCCAGGCACCACGGCCAGCGTGCTTGGGTTCCTCTCAGACTCCGCCCTCTGACTTTGCTTCTTTGCCCCCGACATTCTATCAGTTTAGTTCGAGATTCTTCACTTCCTGCCTGGACTGTTGTGAGAGTCTTCTGAGGGTCTCCTTGCCTCCAGCCTCTCCCCTCCCACAACTGCCAAGCCCAGCTCTCACCACATCAGTCCTTAATTGAAGAACCTTCGAAGGCTCTCTCTATTACTTAGAGGGGCAGAATGAAAACTGAAGACTCTTCTCTGTCTTAGTTCCACTCTTCTGTTTCATGGATCTTGTCCCTCACCCTCTCAGACTGCCACTCCCCCCTCTCTGTTTCTCCAATTTCACTGGCTCCTGTTCAAGGCCCATCCCCAACCCCCCAGCCGGCCTGGACTGACCCAGTCCTCTGGTCTCTGCCTCCTTCACAGATCTGATGCCTCTAATGTGACCTGTGACCTCCCCAACTCCAGCGACAAAGGAACTGAGAGGAGGGAAACTGGGAATGTCCAGGGGGCTGGGAGCAGGGGGTGGGTGGGCTTTGATCCGGGCTGGGATGGGCAGAGAGGAGAGGAGGAGGGGAGGAGGATGAGAACAGGGTGAGGCTTGAACAGACTATCCTTTGCCATCTAGGACTTTGATACGTGTGTGTGTGATCGTGTGTGCAGTGAGAGTGTAAGTGAAGGTGTGTACAGTTTCATGGGGGTGGGGGGGAGCAGCACTGACTTGTCTCTGATCTGAACAGCAGGGGACAGCTGAGTCCCAGCATGGCCAGCCCTGGGGAGCCCACCAGGGCTGGGCCTGAGGAAGAGGAGGAGGAGGAGGAGGAGGAGGAAGGGGGACGTGTCCAGGGAGGCTCCCAATCCCTCAGGTGTGGCTGGGGACATTGAGACCATGGCAGATTCCAGGGAAATGCTGGAGAAGGCCCGTGAGCTCTTCTTCCTCTGTGATAAGGAGGCCAAGGGTTTCATCACCAAAATGGACCTGCAGGTGAGGGTTAGGACCCCCAGTCTGGCCCTGGGCCCAGCTCTCCAAGCCTTGCAGCCCCTCCTGGCCTTCTTACCCCACCGTGCTGGCCTCTCCTCTCTAGAGGCTGCAAAATGAGCTCCCGCTGACCCCTGAGCAGCTAGAATCTGTATTTGAAAGTCTAGATCAAGGACACACAGGCTTCTTGACACCCCGAGAATTCAGCGTGGGCTTGGGTGAGTAAAGTGCATGTGTACGCACATGTACATGCACACATGTGCACATGGCCAGGCATCTGTGTGGAGGACAGCCATGTGTTACTCATGGCATGTGCAGGGCAGCCCCTTGGCGTCCTCTCCAGAGCAGGGCAAGCCTGTGCCTTGTTCAGTCTCTGTGAGCCTGGGGAAACATCTTCCTGCCGAGCAGATGGGGGTGGAAACTGGGCTGTAAACTGGGAGCCTGGAAGCACTGAGCGCCCCAAACCTGACTCAGGGCCTGGGCTTTGGGCAGCTCTGAGGCCCCTAAGGGAAAGATGAAGCGTCTCTCAGTTCCTGACTCTGAGGAAGAGACAGGCAAACAGTCTGTGCCGCTCAGGTGACCAGTCAAACTCCACTTCTGTGCCGGGCGCTCCTCACTGGTCAGGCCCTCCCCCGGGGACCCAGGGTGAAGGGCCTGACTTCCTCCTATTCCCAGAAGTTTAGCTGGAGGATAGGGCAGAGAAACAGGAAACTTGGGTGGGGGAGCAGAATGTGAGGAGGCAGCAGGAATGGTGGCGTCTGAGCTGGTATTAGGAACCTGGGAAGGCTGTCTGTTGGAGAGTGGGACTCAGTGAGACTAGCGGGTCCCCAGCCCCAGGGTCAAACCTCAGACCCTGTCTCTGCAGGAGCATTTGTGGGAGTAGACATGCCCGGGGGCTCCCCCTCTGTGGAGCCTGAGGAGGAGACCTTTCAGTCTGGCTGGCCTGATAGTTCAGGGCCCAAAGCATCAGAGGAAGAAGAGGCTGCAGTGGAGGAAGACCGTTTCTGGGCCACCATGGAGCAGCTGGGGGCCGCCCATGTCCTGGGGGAGTGAGTCTACGGAGGGGGAGGGACTGGCCCTCTTCCAGCCTGTGTCTGTGTGTGCCTGGCATTTCAGGGGCATGCGCGTGGGGCGTGTGGTTGGAGCTGAGTGACTGTGGCCGCGAGGCTATGCCCGTGTGCTCTCCACCGGTCCAGGCCCCAAGAGAGTTCCCTTCCATTCTGTGTGTGTGCACATGCGTGTGCGTGCTAACATGTTTGCTCACTCAGGCGATGCCTGTGGTTTCTGCAGAAGTGCTCGGGAGAGGGCAGCTAGGTGATACAGTGGATAGAGCACTGGCCCTGGAGTCAGGAGTTCAAATCCAGCCTCAGACACATAATACCCTCTAGCTGTGTGACCCTGGGCAAGTCACTTAAGCCCAATTGTCTCCAAAAAAAGAAAAAAGCGCCCAGGAATGATTTTCCACAAATTTTCCTTCACACAGGCCAGCCGGGCCTTAGGCCCAAATTGCAGGCACACAGAAAGCACCATGCACAGGTTGCCATGCTCATACACACGTGCGCATACACATACATGCATGTACAGGCGGGAGGGTCCAGAGCCCTGGCTTTGCCTCAGTTTCCCCTTCCCAAGCCCTGTGGGGAGATGGAGCTGGACAGGAGGCTTGCTTGATGGTGTGATGGAGGCGAAGGCTCTAGGCAGAGAGATGTGGGCTGGGTGAGGCTGCTCGAGTGACCAGCCTCCAGAGTCAGTCTGTTGATGTCAGTTAGGGAAGAGGTCTTCAGTGGAGTGCCCCAGGGATCTGGGCTGGGCCCTGAGCTGTGTGCCTTGGGTGAAGGCTGTGATGTCCTGCTTACCAAATTGGCGTATGAAAGAAAGCTGGGAAGGAGAGGTGACCAGGTGGGTGACAGGGTCCAGAATCTAAAATGGTCTTGGCAAGCCAGAGTATTGAGCCGAAAGAAGAAGCTGCCCTTACCTTCACTAGATCACTTTCACAAACATGAGATGAGGGGACTTGGTTAAAGAGTGTGGCTTAGCCTGTAACAATGATCTGGGGGTCTTAGTGGCCCCTAAGCTCAGCAGAAGTCAGCAGGGTGGCAGGGATTGGAGGAGGGTACATAGGGCAGAGATGATTCTAGGCGGCCTTTGGGGGGCCACCTTCCAGGGTCCCTCTCTGTTCTGCTGATCGAGCCCACAAAGGGCTGGGTGTGGCCTCTCAGGGAGGCTGCAGACGCTTGAGATCATGCTCAGAAGAGGGAACAGAATGGGGAAAGGGCTGGAGATCCGGGGAGTGGCTGTTCCAGGCAAAGAGGGTCTCTCAGAGTTACGGAGCTCTAGGTACCACGCCTCTCTCTGATGCATGGTCCTGCCCGTGTGCCTGATCCATGCCTTCTCCCCAAGGTAGTGTTCCAAGGTAGATGACTAGCACAGCCTGATTATAAACAGGATGCTTCACCTGCAGGGTTTCCAGCCCTAAATCCTAGGACTTCTTCCTAGGGCAGGGAAGAGGAATGTCTGGGAGCCCTGGGAGGGTATTCTTCATAACCCCTGCCCCTCATCTCTACAGGCAGTGTGAGGTGCGGGCCCTGTGGGCCCAGCTGCGGAGAGAGCGCCCAGAGCTCCTGGGCAGCTTTGAGGAGGTCCTGGTACAAGTGTCCTCCTGCCTGGGGGAGGCAGTGCAGGCGAGGGAGACGGTGGAGCTGGCCCTGTGGAGGTGAGAGGTGGGGCTGGGTGCCCAGTGCATGGGCATGAGGTGTGGGCATGTGTGCGGTGGTGGGGGGAGGGATGAGCTCTAGGAACCCTCAGGGCTGAGCACAACAAAGGGACATTGGGTTGATGCCTCTGGATGTGACCAAGGCCAGCAGGTCAGGTTGTGGGGTCTAATGAGCTGCTGGGGTTAAGTGGCCTGACCCAAGACTCTCCCCCAGGAGAGAGAGTGAGCATGAGAAGGAAGTTCGGTGTTTATATGAGGAAATGGAGCAGCAGATCTGTGCGGAACGTGAGCGGCTGCAGAACCAGGTCTGCAGATGTTCTACAGGGCTCCCCCTCCCCTGCGAGCCTTCTGCTTGGCACCCAGTCATGGGAGCTGGGAGGCGGGTATAGGGGCAGGCTGGCACCACCAAATAACCTACCACCTCACACACATCAGGGACTCTTCCCTGGAGCTGGCCAGGGTGACTGGAAGACGGAGGGAGGGGTTAACTCCTTCTTTGGGAAATGGGCTCGAGCCTGTGCTGGCTTTGAGGGGTTGTGACATTTCCCCCTGCCCCTGCAGGACTCCTCCCGTCAAGACCGGGTCAGTCACATCCTGCAAGAATTGCAGAATCGGGACCAAGAGCTAGACCGGGCCAGCTGGCAGCAGAAAGAGGTGATGGGGCTGGAGATACGGGTGGCTGCGGGGAGGGGGACCTCCCCAGGGCTCCTAAGGCTCCCTGTCATGACCTTGTACCTGGGGCCAGGACAGCTCCCCAGGGTGGGGTCAGGAGGGCTTCTAGCTTCCCCCCCGCCACGGACATGTCCATCTGTACCTCTAGGTCACCCTGTGACCCCCTCCCACCTCTCCTGGGCTTTAGTGGAGCCGTGGCATTCTTGCCCTGCCCACATCCTTCCCACCATAGCACTGTTAGACAGCATTTCCTTGGAAGATTCCAAAGGAAAATGGCATTTGTGCTGAAAGACTGCCTTCCTCCGGGCACTGGGGAGGTCATGACAAAGAGAGGGTAATGTCCGCCTCAGGGGCTGCCTCCTTTTCCTCAGCCCCCCTTTCAGTCTAGGGATTGCTCTGCTCCTGTCACTGCTGGTACTGCTCATCTCCCTTCCTTCGTGGCCTCCACCCCCACACTGGGGGCCCAGAAGAGCCTTCCCTCAGGGCACCTGGCCCAGGGCCTGCTCAGCTCAGGCCCCCCTCCTCTAAGACCAGGTTAGGCTCAAGGAGACCAGCTCCCCCTTATCTGTAGCCCTGGAAGTTTTCCAAGATGCTTCTTTACAGTAGCCACCAATGAGGCAGATTATGCAAGGGCTGTTATCCCCACTTTGCAGAGGAGAAGACTGAGGTTTAGAGAGCTAAGGGGACTGGCCCAGTGTCACCCACTGCTGAATACTGGAGCCAGGGCTCGAACCCAGGCCTTTTGACTCCAGATGTTCTCTCCTTTTTGTGATGGGGGGGCAGGAAGAATCAGGAGACCTGTGCTCAGCTGGCCACCTCAGTCCCTCCCTCCAGGGCTCTGGGGCAGTCTTCCCCAGGAAGGCAGAGCCAGACACCGCAAAGTATCAAAAACCAAAGCAGGGAGTGATACAAAGTTACAAGTATCACTTCCTGCTGTCCAGGGGAGCCATTTGTTCAAGGCCTGTAGGGGGCGTGGCAGGGGAGGGGGACAGGCCTCATACCCAGCCCGCTGGGCAGAGCCTACGGCAGCTCTGGGGGTGGGCTCTCACTTCTGGAAGAGGGGGCACCTGAGCAGGGCCTTGAAAGGTGAGCCGGAGTCCAGCATGTGGAGAGAAGGCCATTGTCTGGGCAAAGGTGCAGAGGTGGTAAACCAGGGTAGGGACACTGAGCAGTCCTGTAAGGTGGAGACAGACAGTGTAGAGGGAGACAAGTGGGGCTATTGTGTCTACCCTGAGTCTTCTCCAGCTGACCATGCTCAGTTCCCTTAACCCATCTTGTGACTCGGGATCTAGGCCCTTCCGCATCCTGGTAACCTCCTCTGCAGCACATCAGTGTCCTTCCTTACCTGGGGGGCACAGAGCGAGGCACAGTCCTCCAGAGGAGTCTCAGTCAGCAAGAGTGTCCTGTCCCTGGTCCTGGAAGCTCTGCCCCCTTCACGTAGCCTGAGTTGGCATTTACGTTCTTGGCCCTATTGACTTGGATTGGACTTGGTCTGCACTCACCCCCCCTCCTTTTTGAGACAAACTTCTGTTTAGTTATGCCCCACCATCTTCTCCCACCACACAGTGTCCTTGGGGGGCGAGGGGACCGATGAAGGCTCTTTCTGGACAATTTACTTTTGGATCCTGACTGCCCTCCTCTGGGGTACCCCTGCTTTCCTCCGAAGGTTAGACAAGTGTGCTTCTGATACAAGCATAGGCCAAACACCCTTTGTTCTCTGGTGCCCTCCCTTGGAGATGACCTTCTACAATGGCATGGAATCATTAGGGCTTTCTCCTTGGATCTGGCCACGTGCCCACTTCCTGGATTCACATAATGGTGCCATTGTCTCATCACATCCCTTCCACTCTCTCCCCACAGTGTCATGAGAAATGGTAACGTGCTTTGTTGGACTCCAGGTAGACTCTGTCAACAGCATTGTTTCCTTTACTATTTGGATGACCCCATTTATTCTGGCATGACCCCGCCTCCGTGAAGCCATCCTGGGTACCTCTTGGTGATTGTTGCTTCCTTCTTGAAATGTCCACTAACCATCCTTTTTAATAACACATTCTAGCATCTTGCCAGGATTCCAAGTCAAGCTCTCCATCCTGACCTTTGTAGATGTCAACCTTTCCCCCTTTTCGAACATCAGGACCATATTTGTTCTTCTCCAGTCCAGTGATACTTCTCCCACTGTCCCTGGGAGGGGGGAGGGAGAGGCCCAGTCCTCTCACTGGCCACTTCTTTCAATGCTTTGAGCTGGGTCCAGTCATTTGGATCTATCCAAGGCACTAGGCGTTCTCTTAATTCTCCTCTCCTCACTTGCTGACCACCACATCCCTAACAACCACATTTATTTTGTCTGGTCTAGTCTGAGGAACATTCTCTTTGGCAGAGAAAAGAGGAGCCAGAAAAGAATGGAAAAGTTTGGCTGTTCCTTGGTCATCAAGGGTCGTGGTCCCCCTCACCCTAAGGAGGAATCCTGGCCTTTTATCACCCTCCTCTTTCTCTGTGGGCAGTGGGGTTAAGAGCCCTACCCCTCTGGTTGCCCTCAGTCCTCCTCCCACAGAGAAGTGCCTGGGGAAACCAGACCCAGCCTCCCAGCTCATTCTGCAGGATGAGGGCTGGGGGGTGGGACACGTTACTAAGCTCTTCCATGTTCTTCTTCTTCTCTTATCCCACACTCTTGTGTCCTGTAGCTCTGAACTGAATCAAGTGCCTTTCCTCCTCTCACCTTTTCATCATCTTTAAACGTGATTCAGGTGCTGAGTGCCCCATTGGCATATCCATATTGGTGTCTTCTTCCCTCTTCTCCTTCCTTCTTTAAAAAAAAAGGTCATTCCTGGATGTAGCCTCCCCCCACCCAGCGAAAAAGCATTAAGCACAAACCTGTGACCCACTGTATTGGCCAATGTGGACAACCTGCCCCTCCCTCCAGACTCGCCCTCTCTGCAGAGAGGAGAGCATGCATAATCACCTCTTCTCAGGGCTGGAGCCTGGTTGTTACAGCCGCTCAGAGGGGCCTCTTCGGAGGGCTCTTTCCGTCCATGTCTTTGGGATGTGTATTGTTCTTTTGCTTCTGCGGAGCGTGTGTGCATCTTGGGAACTTTCTCTGAGTTCTTCATGGCTACCGTTGGTTTCTGCACAATATCCTGAGGTCGTGTGGTCATTCCTTCAGGGCTAGGCACCCCCTCTGTTGCGACTTATTTGCTACCACAAAAAGGGCTGCTGTGACTAATACATGTGCTGGCCCTGTCTTGCCTGGGCTGGACCTTTTTGGAGCATACGCTATGTGTTTATTTTCTTTATGTTGATTCTCTGTATTTATATATGTCCTTGTGGCACCCAGCATGGGGCCTCACACAGTAGAAGGCATTAAATCCCTTGCTGATCATGAAGGAAAAAGTTATCATTAAGGCAAATCAAGAGATAATCATTTGCTCTGCCAGGTGCCCAGATGACTGAAGGTCTGTCTCCCCTCTACTGCAGGCCCTTGGTCCAGGCAGGAGGTCCCTTTGCCCAGGCTCCTCGTCCATTGCCTCTTTCCGTCTTAGTGGACCCTAGCGAATTCTACCAACCATCCTTTTTTTGTTTCTGTCCAACACTCTCTGCTTCCTGCATCTCCTCACTGGAAAGCTCTCCTCACCCCCATTCCACCCCCCCTTCCCCTGCAAGGCTCTGTGAAGCAGGACAGGCACTCCCAGCTGTCCCAGTTCTCCTGGGGGCAGGGTACTATCCTAGGATGAGGCAGGACTGTCTCTGCCCTCAAGGGCCTTACATTCACCTGGGCTGAGGCACAGGCCTTGGGGGCAGATGTCTTGGCTATCTCAGGAAGCTGGCTGTTTCTAGTTTGCTGCATCCTCTTGAAAGAGGTGTGCTGAAGGGTAAAGATGGTGAACCTTGGCATTGGGAAGACTGCTGCAGAAATCCTGATTCCAGCAGGCAGGCAGACACTCCCTGGTGTGTCAGCCTTAGGCTGCCCATCTGTAAAATGGGGATAGGAATGGCAGGACTGGGACTGGGAGGCCTCGCATGCTGGCTAAGCAGAGATGTTGCCTCCTTTCTCCTTTCCCTGGTGTGGCCCCCTCCTGTCCACCGGGCTGCTGAGGGAGCCCCCAGGCCTGTCTCTCCTCCTTCCTCCCACCTGCCTCCTCCCAGTTAGAGCAGCAGCTGCAGCAGCGGACCGTGGAGCAGCTGGAGATGCAGGTGCAGAATGCCCAGCTCTGGCTGGCGAATGAGGAGCTTCAGATGCAGCTGGAGCAGAGCCGGGCCCAGCTGGAAGCAGCTCGGGAGCAGCTGCAGCGGCTGCAAGCGCAGGCTCAGGCTGAGAAGGAGCAGAAGCACAGGTCCTGTGGCAGGGGGCTGCCCACTCTGGCTCTGTGGGTTGTGGGGGGGAGCCTGGGCTATAGCCCCTGGGGTGCTGGCTCCCCCTTTGAGAGCAGGCTTGCTACCTCAGTTTCCCTTTTCTTTTCTCTGTCTTATTGCCCTGGAAAGAAGCCAGGTAGGGCCTAGAACCATCTCCACCTCTGGATGTGAGGGAGACTGGAGCTGACCAGCTGTATGGGGACCCCCAAGGCTTGAGGGGCACGAGTCACAGGGCACTGGGGAGGGTGTCAGGAACATTTGAGTCATCTCCCCACCCTGGCCCACAGGGATGTGGTCCTTGTGTCCAGGAACATGCAGAAGGAGAAACACAGCCTCCTCCGGCAATTGGAGCTGCTGAGGTCAGTCTGGGGCAGGAGCTGGGCCAGGCCCTGTCTCCTCCTCTGTGCTCAGACCCTCACTTGACCAGACTGAGCTCAGGGCATGTCCCAAATTTTGAAACATTCTCTACCTCTGCTTCCTAGTGCCCCTCCCTCTTTAGCCTCAATGGCTCCCATTCCCCCCTTGACCCATATCTATCTGAAGAACAGCCCCCATCAGGACATTCTTTTATTCTTTGGCACTTTGCTCACACTCTGAGGTCATTGTGGCCCCCTTCTGCTGAGGGCCCCCCCCCACTCTGTTCTCTCCCCTCTATTCATCCCACCAGGGACTTGAACAGAAGGTTGCGGGACGAGAGAGATGCCTTCGAGGCCAAGAAGCTGGTTAGTGGGCAGAGGAGGAAGACTCTAGCTCCTCCTACCCGCCTCCCCCTGGGCACCTGCTCTAGCTGCTGTGGCTGTGGTTGCCTCCATCCGGCCTTTGACGCTGGAACCTGACCGAGGCAGGCCTCATCCCTCTCCTGGATACGGGCTGTGGGTCACTGGCCGGGCTAGCCTGGAGACCCCAGCAGGAGCACCTTGCCTTCCTCATTCTCCTTCTCATCCCAGTTCTCCCTGCAAGGGCCTGGCTGCCCAGCCCCTGCTGTGAGACCAGGTCCAAAGTGGCCTGTCTAATGGAGCAGCTACAAATAGGAATTCCATTCCCTCCCCTGTGTGCTCCTGCTCCTAGGGGGTGGGAGGGATTGGGGAGGCTACGAGGGGGCCAGAGTAAGGCTGGGCCAGGAAGAACTAGGGCGGCCCCAGGTGTCACCCAGGCAACTGAGGCCCCCAGGCTCTGGTGTGGCCAGGCTTGGGTCATGTGGCTGAAATCTCTCATCCTCCCCAGCTCCTGGCCCAGGAAGCCACAGCTCTCCTGGTCCCAAGCGAGACTGCATTAGGCCTGGGCCTCAACCAAGACGAAGGATTAAACCCCAACGACACCATCCCCTTTTCTGTTCTGTCCTGAGCGGAATGCATCAAAGTGCCCCCACCCCCAAATAAACCCACTGACTGCACCAAGCGTCCCTCCTCACATCTGTGGGAGTGTCTGGGGAAGTGATGGGGGCAGGTGTGCATTCAGGAAGCATTTCCTAATATCCGCTCTGGGGTCTGGGACGCAAAACTCCCCAGGAAGCATAATGGGTCCATGTGGACAACACTGGGCTGCAGGAGGGCCACCTGTGCTCCTGGAAAGTGTGGAAGAATGGGCAGGTGCTGGGACGGGAGGGGCCAGCCTAGGTGTCTGGAAGAACGGAGAAAAGGAAAGGAAAGGGAAGGAAAGGAAAGGAAAGGAAAGGAAAGGAAAGGAAAGGAAAGGAAAGGAAAGGAAAGGAAAGGAAAGGAAAGGAAAGGAAAGGAAGGGAAGGGAAGGGAAGGGAAGGAAAGGAAAGGAAAGGAAAGGAAAGGAAAGGAAAGGAAAGAAAGGAAAGGAAAGGAAAGGAAAGGAAAAAGAAAAGAAAAGAAAAGATAAAGGCAGGTGTTGGGATGGGAGGGGACAGGCCTTCCAGGCTGAGGGAGGACAGGGGCTCCAGGGTAGGTGTGTGGAACAACGGGCTGGTGCTGGGATAGGAGGGGCCAGCCTAGGTGTCTGGAAGAACGGAGGAAAGGAAAGGGAAGGGAAGGGAAGGGAAGGGAAGGGAAGGGAAGGGAAGGGAAGGGAAGGGAAGGGAAGGGAAGGGAAGGGAAGGGAAGGGAAGGGAAGGGAAGGGAAGGGAAGGGAAGGGAAGGGAAGGAAAGGAAGGAGGAAAGGAAAGGAAAGGAAAGGAAAGGAAAGGAAAGGAAAGGAAAGGATGGGCGGGTGCTGGGATGGGAGGGGCTGGGCCTGACCCGGCTTTGGGGAGATCCCCGCCCTGCCTCCTCCACTGACTTTGGCCTCCTTTCCCCGCTGGCTGCTCCAAAGCTGGACAGCTTGGGTGGGGGTGGGAGATGCAGGGCCGGGGGGCCTACAGGGGACCTGGGGCACAAAGCCCAGACCGTCCACCCCTTTGGGAGCCACTTTTTTCATGGCACCTCAATGCTCATAAGAAGAGAGGGACAAGCACTCATCAGGGGCCTGCTTCATAATTATCTCCTTTGATCCTCACAACAACCCTAGGAGGAGGGTGGGGCTGTCATTATCCCCATTTTACAGGTGAGGAAACTGAGGCAAGTGGAGGGTAAGTGACTTGCCCAAGGTCACTCAGCTCGTGTCTGGGGCCACATTGGAACTCAGGTCTTCCCACTTTAACCATCATACCACTTAGTTTTCTTGTCATTGATCAGTCATTTCAGTCCTGCCTGACTCTCTGTGACCCCATTTGGGGTTTTCTTGGAAGAGATGGAGTGGTTTGCCATTTCCTTCTCCAGCTCATTTGACAGATAAGGAAACTGAGGCAAATAAGGTGAAGTGACTTGCCAGGGTCACACAGCTAGTGTCTGAGGCCAGATTTGAACTCAGGAAGATGAGCCTGGCACTCCATCTACTTTGCCATCTAGCTACTCCTTTATACAAGTTTGCAAAGCCTTTCTCCCCAGAACGGCTTGGGAGGGAGGGAGACAGACAATGCAAGTATCGTCCCATTTCAGAGATGAAGAAACTGAGGTTCACAGTGGAGAAGTGTGTGCCCAAAGCTGATGTCCGGCACAGGACCTGGGGAAGAGGAAGACATCCCCCTGCGGTGGGGCCTTCACCACTAGCTGCCTCCCCTAGCCTCACCTAGAACAAACCACTTGGGAGGGGTGAGGGTGGAGCTGACTCACCCATCCAGCAGTCAATAAACATATATTGAGCGCCTACTATATGCCAAGTAGTGTGCACACTGGCAGGAGGAGGCAGGCAGAGCTGCTATTCGAACCCAGGCCCTCTGACTCCAAATCCAGACTCTTCCCCCGGCTTCCCTTTACAAGCTTCCTAGAGGTGGAATGGCTTGGCCTGGGCGGAGCCAGGACGGAAGGCGCCCAGGAAGGAGGAACCTGGCTTTGCTGGGCCTAGGGGGCAGAGGCCAGAAAGCCCGAGGTGGATAGCCCCTCTGGACCCCTGCTGCACAGGGATCTGGGGGTGCCCCTTCCATCAACCCCGCCCCGCCCCAGGGCACAGAAATCTGGGGGTGGCCCTTCCATCAAGCCACCCCACTGGGGCACAGAGACCTGGGGGGTGGGCGAAGCCTAACCCTAACCCGAGTCTCCCTGGGTTGTTGAGGGGAGGTCGCCTGAGAGAGCCCCACCCCACCCAGTGGCTTTTCCTGGTCCTCCTGCCCCCACCCTTGTGCCGGCGGGGGTGAAGGCTGGGCCCGCTGACGCAGCAGGTCGGTCGTGGGCCGAGAACGCTCCCTCTAGGGAGGTGGGCGAGGCACCCCCCCCATAAGGCTGCCCCGCCCACAACCCTCCTTCGCCCTGCTTGGGCCGCCAGCTGCGGCCTCCCTTCGCCTTCTCAGGGCGGAGCTCCCAGACTGGGAGGTGTCGGCTGGGGGTGTCGGGCCGGCCCTGGGGGTCCTGGTTCCCCTTTGCTGGGGGCGAGGGCGAGAACTGCAGACAGCGCGCGGCGCATCTGCCTCTGGAGAGCGCCCGCCCATCCCGGGGTGGGCGGGGAGCGCGGCGGGGGCTGGGCTTGGGTCCGTTGGGGCGGGGTCTGGCCGGGGCGGGGTCTGTCTGGGGCCTGGGCCGGAGGCCTCACATTTCCTCCCGTCCCATCCCTTTACTGAAGCCGCCTCCTCCGAGCTCGCGCCGCCCGCTGGTCGGTGAGAGACTGGATCCATTTGCCTCGCCGGGGTCGGGGGTCTAGGGGGCCAGGGGCGGGTTCTGGGGTTCCGGTGGTCCCGTCCTTCCCCTGCCCGGCCGCGGGTTGCGCTGCATTCCTCTCCTTTCCGCACCCCCCCCCCAGTCTTGAACCTCCTCTTAGCCAGGGCTGGGCTGACCAGTAGAGGGGATCGAGAGAAGGTTAAGGCCTGGTCCCTGACCTCCCCACCTGTTTTGGCCTAAGGGAGGATCCCTGGGCCCCGGCCCCCAAGGCACCTCCCCACCCCAGTACTCTGGCCCTTCCTGCCTCAGTTTCCCTTCCAGAGCCATGGCCGCTGCGCTGCGGAGAGGCAGAGGATCTCAGTGGAGTGGGAGGGGGGCTTCTTTTGTGAAGCATCTGTTCCCTCGGGGAAGTGGGGGCAACTTCTTATAGTTTGTGTATGTGTGTATGTGAGGGGGAGGCAGGAGTGGTGGGGTGCCCTTGTGGCCATCTCCCCGCCTCCAGGGTGAGGGTTAAGTTTGCTCAGTCAGGGCCTCCTCCACCAGGCAGCCCTCCCTGACTGTAGTTCTTTCCCCGGTAAAGGTGTGTGTGTGTGTGTGGGGGGGGCTTATGATATTTCCCGCCTTCCCATTGGCTGAGACTTTCTGTTGTTCTGGAGTGGGTGAGGATGTCAATGATGAGATCATGGTTGGGCTAGGGGTGGGGTGGGGGTCCTCCCACTCACCTGGGCTCTCTCCACCTGGCAGCCTGGGTTTGCCCCAATATACATGGGCAGCCTGGAGTGGTTGCCGTGGTCTTCTCTGGGGAATGATCCAGGCCACAGGATTGGAGGGGAGTGTGTGTGTTGGGGTGGGGCATAAGTCTGGCCCCTGTGACTGGAAGGGCTATTTCTGTCCCAGCAGCAGCAGCAGCAGCTGGGGCCAGTGTGCCTCCTGGGCTTAGATCTTGGGAAGCAGTGATGGGAAGGAGCATCTTTGTGGCCAGCCCCCTCCCCCTCTTGGCACTCCTGGGAAGCGGCTGCTCCTAAGCCTCTCGACTCTTGCCTCCTAGGGTGGAGCATTTCCTCTGGGAGCCACTATTCCCTTGGCCTCCTGAGGGGCTGCTGCTGCTGGGCCCCTACCCTGGAGGCAGCTCCATAATCCCAAACAGATTTGAGACTGGACCTATCCTCAGGGCATGCTTTCACTTGCTAGGGTTCTCAGCACCTCCTCAGACTGGTCAGGCTGAGCAGAGGAGGGGCAGGATGGGCCTGGGGCCTGGGCCCAGAAGGTCTCCCCAGCCCTGAACAGCCAGAAGGCCTCTCTTAGACCCCCTGTCTGCTGCACTTGGCTCTCAGTCACCTGAGATCCCAGAGGACCCTGCCCCAAGCTGCTTCCTAACAGTGCAGGAACCAGCTGGAGCCCTGGGACTCTTGGGGGAAAGTTAAGGGGTAGGGGAGGGCAGCTCAGCAGGGTTGGGGGAGGATGTCCAGGGATCCCCTGAGGTCCCACCCTGGGAAGGACTGGCCTTGGAAGCTGGCCACTCCCCCCAGCATATCCCTTCTCATCCTCCAGCCCCAGAGTGGGCCAAGCCCACCTGGGCTAGAAGTCAGTGACTTGCCCAGCTGTAGAGGTCCCCTCAAACCAGGTGCACAGGAAGGCCTTGGAAGAGGCACATGGCTGATAACCAGGCTCCAGGGTGGGGAGCACCTAGAACTGGGCAGGGCAGGCTGCTGGGCTGGGACCAGGGGGCTAAAGTCCAAGTGAGGGTAGAACTGAATCTGCTTTGCTGCCACAGCAGGGAAACTGAGTCAGATCGGTCAGCTAACACTGATGGAGCACCGAGGGTGTGCCAGGCACAGTCTGGGCATGGGGGCACAAAGGTAACAGACAAACCCAGCCCTCAGGAGCTCCGTGTCAGCTGGAGGCTCAGACGTGGGGCTGTGCTCTCAGCTCACCCTCTTCCTCTCCCCAAGGAGAAACCCAGGTTCCTGCTTCTCAGGCCTGGGACAGGGCTCCTGCAGCCCCTCCCTTCCCACTTTTTGTCCAAAAAACCACTCGTAGGAGTCAAGTACCCACTGGCAGGGGGGAGGGTTTGAGCCAGAGAAGACCCTGGCCAGGGCCCTGACAGCTGCCCCTGCCCGGGGTGTGAAAGGCTCACTAGAGAGTCAGGGGAACAGTGGGCCTGGCAGAGACCCTGGAGGGCACTTGCAGAAGCTTATGTTCAATAGATGCTGGGGGTCCATGGTGGTGCCATGCTCAGCGGGAGGGGCCCTTCCAGACACAGCAGCTCCCAGCCCCCCAGGCTGGAAGGGCCTTGTCTGAGGTCACCCAGTGAGCAGCTGAGCAGGAAGGGCCAGGAGGGAGTGGGTACAGGGGACTCTGGCGGGCTGTGGTCAGCAGGACTTGATCGCTGGCTGGAGGGCGGCTGTCTTTTTCTCACCTCTTCCCCTTGTGTACTTTCCTTCTCCCCCGGGACCAGTTGATGCCTGCCCTGTTCTGCTCCCCTTGGCTGGGCCCAGCTCTGACGTGGTTCCTAGGGAATGCAGTGCAGGGGAGGGGCCAAGAGAGGAGCCTGGGCCACGTGGGGGCCCCCGGCCAGCCAGGCCAGCAGCTGTGATCAGGCCGGGCCTGATCCCCTCTGTGGGGGAAATGAGCTAGAGAGAACCTGATCCCTTGGGCCAGCGTGTGGGAGCGCCGTGCCCCGCCCTGCCCTGTCCTGCCCTGGCCTGGCGTTTCCTCTTCCTCCGGACTCCAGGATTCCTCTGGGGCTGAGGAAATGAACGTGGCCTGAGATTCTGGATCGAGGAGGAGGGGTGGGGAGCTCTGCTCTGGGGGGGACCCTGCCCACCTGGGCTGGGGAGGGCTGGGATGGAGGGGCGGGGCAGGTAGGTCGGGCCATCCCTTGGCTAGGCCTTCTGGACTTGTCATTCCTGCCGGGAAGCTGCCCATTGTCCTGGTTTCCTGGGAAAGTGCTCCCACATTGTGGATGTGCCCAGGTGTCTGGGGGCAGATGGGTGGGGCCCTCTGACAGCAGCTTGCCGGGTGGGGGCACTGGTGCTCTCCCTTCTCCTAGGAGGTAGGCAGCAGGTCAGTGAATCTGCCCTCCATCCCCCTGGGGGAGGTGTCTTGAGGGTTGGGAGGGATCGGGCCTGGAATGGAGGGTTTGGTGTGGTCTGGGCAGGGCCTGCCTTCCCACCCTGCCCTGCCTGCTCCCTTAGGTCTTCCCTTTGACTAGGAGCCCCTCTCCCCACCTTGGGCTGTCAAAATGGGTGAATATAACGAGAAGAAGGAGACATGTGGTACCATCTGCCTGAAATACCTGCTCTTCACTTTCAACTGCTGCTTCTGGGTAAGGGGAGGGGGAGAGGCAAGGGGGGAGGGGGAGAGACAAGGGGGTTGGGGGGCCTCTGTGCCTCTGCTTCTTCATCTGTTAAATGGGGATCAGTAGCACCAGGTTAAATGCTTTGGAGAAAGGGGGATACAAAAGTGTCACCCCGCTGTCCTTGACCATTCCTTCTTCCACCTGGGTGAGCCTGCTGGGGAAGCCATCCTCTTCTGCCTCTAATCTCCCTGCAGACACATTACTGTCCCCACTTGATAGACAAGCAGCTGAGGCCCAGAGAACAGTGAGAATGTGCTCCTGTAATGGAAAAAGGGAGGGGGTGTAGCTGGCTAGGCCCAGTGCAGTATCTAGAGCAGGCCTAGAAGGAAGGCCTCCTGCCCTGGAGCTGAGGAGGTGCGCCTGGCCTGGGGTCTGTACCCACAGTCATCATGTAGTTGTAATCCTCATGTCAGTCCTGGGGGGAATGGGCACATAGCTTGGTATCCCCTTTGTAGAAGGGAAACTGGCCCAGGGAGCAGAGGGCTGGTACTGGACCCTGGCTTTCTTGGGATCCCCCCCAGTGTTCTTTCTGTGACACGGCCTGGGGTCAGGGAATGACTCAGCTTGGGCTTCCTCTCTGGGCTCTTGATGGGGCTGGGGAAGTGGGGTGGGAGGAATGGGGAGAATCCAAGCTGCCTCCCTGACACCCCTCCTCACGTGGGCCAGAGCCATGGCCCTCCATGTCCATTGGCATCTCCTGTGGCGGCATGGACATAAGGGCCCTGAGCGGCGGATGTCTGTGTTCCCACAGCTGACCGGCCTGTCCGTCATGGCCGTGGGCATCTGGACGCTGGCCCTCAAGAGTGACTACATCAGCCTCCTGGCTTCCAACACTTACCTGGCCACGGCGTACATCCTGCTGGTGGCTGGGGCTGTGGTCATGGTGACAGGAATCCTGGGCTGCTGTGCCACCTTCAAAGAGAGGCGCAATCTGCTTCGGCTGGTGAGCCGAGCCCCTGACCACAGGAGGCCCCCGCAGGTCTTGGGAAGGCGGGGAGGGGAAGGGGATTCCGTGGACACCAGTGCAGCCCCCACCGTGTACTGACTTGACGGCCCGGGCCGGCGGCCCCGCCAGATATCTGTGGTCGGCTAGTTTTTGAAGGCACCTATGGCGAGCTGGTCGCATTCCTGGGCGCTCAGGGACCAGACGGAGAGCTCCGGGGGGAAGAGGGAGGATTGGGCAAGTTATCATTCAGTCCTTTCCCACTCTCTGTGACCCCATTTGGGGTTTTCCTGGCAAAGGTATTGGAGTGGTTTGCCATTTCCTTCCCCAGCTCATTTTGCAGATGAGGAAACTGAGGCCAACAGGGTCACATAGCTAGAGTCTGAGGGGGGGAGTCTTCCTGACTCACGGGATGGCGCTCGGTCCACTGTGGCTGGCCCAGGATTAGGGAAGGCTGGAGAGTAAATGAAGGCCTGGCCCTGGGACACGCCCTGCCCTGAGGGGCTGAGGCCCCGGCTTGTTTTAGGAAGACTCTTAATTGTGTCTGGAGACTGGAGGCCTTCGTCTGCCTTCTTGGCTCCGGGCTATGAGATCACACCCACTCCTGTGCCGAGCAGTCCTTTAGCCCTGGGTGTGTCCAACCTTTGGTGTGGTCCCGGGGGGCATTCCTCCCTCCTCCCTCCTCCCCTCTCCTTTCCCTCCTCTCTCCTCCCTCCCCTGTCCTTCCCCTCTCCCTCCAGTCTCTCCTCTTTTCTTCCCTTCCCTTCCCCCTGCCCTTCCCCCTTTCCCCTCTCCCTCCCCCATCCCCTCTCCTTCCCCTCTCCCTCCTGTCTCTCCTCTCTTCCCCCTCCCCTTCCCCCCATCTCCATCCCCTCTCCTCCCCCCTTTCCCCCCTCCCCCTCCTGATGCCAGAATTGGGGGGAGGGCAGGGTCTGGCCACCCCAGGCCTGCTGGCTCAGTGTGTGAGGGTCAGGCTTGGACAAAGGGCCCCAGAGATCTGTGTCCTTACGCCCTCTCTGCCCTCTCCAGTACTTCTTCCTCCTGCTCCTCATCTTCCTGCTTGAGGTCATCGCGGGCATCCTGGCTTACATCTACTACCAGCAGGTGGGACCAGGGGACTGCCAGGCCTGGGCGGGGGTTTCCCTGGGACAAGGACTCCCCAGAGGAGCCTTTCCCACCAGTTTCTCAGCTCTTAGAGAGCTCGGAGGTCCTCAGAGAGAAAGGGTCTTAGCCTGGAGGGGTGCAGGGCAGAGCTTCCTGGCTCCGAGAGTGGTCCTGTCTGCCAGACCGCACTGCCTCTGTGCCCCAAGTGGCAGAAATGTTTCCAGAGGACCGACTGGCACACCAGGACCAGAACGGTGGGGTTTCCCTGCCTCCCTGGGGGAGGGGGGAAGCCGGGCCCCCTGTTGCTGCCGTGGCTGGCAGTGGTACCAGCGGGCAGCTGGCCCCTGGGCTCAGCGGGCCGAGGGGGGTCGGAGGCTTCTGGCTTCATGGCTGCCCCCTCCTTACTTTCAGCTGAGTGCCGAGCTGAAGGATACCCTCAAAGATACCATGGTCCAGAAATACCACCAGCCTGGCCACGAAGGGGTGACCGTGGCTGTGGACAAGCTGCAGCAGAAGGTTGGTGTCTGTGGCCCACCCTGCCTTCACTCCCTCAGATGCCTGGGTCTTCCTTTTCCTGCTTCTCCAGTCTTGTTCTGGGCCTTCTTCCCCAGCCTCCCCGTCCTTGCCTCTGCCCTGCGCTCTTCTCCACTGACTGACCTCCCCTTGTCCTGGCCTCCTCCTCACTCCGGCCTCCCCTTTGCTGACCACTTTAGTTCCACTGCTGCGGGAGCAACAATTCCGGGGACTGGCAGGAGAGTGTGTGGATTCGGTCCGGGGAGGCGGAGGGCCGAAAGTTTCCCGATAGCTGCTGTAAGACCATCGTGGAAGGCTGCGGTCAGCGGGACCACGCGTCCAACATCTACAAAGTGGAGGTATGTAGGGGCTGTGAGAAGTGAGGGGAGGAAGAGGTGGAGAAATGATTGCCCAGGGGTCCCGGCCACCACCTTGCTGGCCCCTGGGGGTCCTGGTCCCTGGGGCCTGCCTGGGGAGCCTTCAGGGCTTCTGGGCCTCCCTCTCCCCAGGGCGGCTGTATCACCAAACTGGAGAAGTTCATCCAGGAGCACCTGAGCATCATTGGGGCCATGGGCCTGGGCATTGCTGGTGTGCAGGTGAGGGCCGGGCTGGGCCGGGCTGGGGAGCAGGGGGTATTGGCAGCCCCCTCCAACCTCCCTCCTCCGTCTCCTCCACAGATCTTTGGAATGATTTTCACCTGCTGTCTGTACAAAAGCCTGAAGCTGGAACATTACTAGGGTGTGCAGGGGCCAGGGGCATCGTCCCACCTGCCTCCACGCTAAGTTATTGCCGCCTTTCTTTATCACTTTATACTCAGGCCCTGTGTAAATCTACTGACGGGGGGGGGGGGGGGGGGGGGGCGGGAACGGCAGGGAGCCGTAGCCCTGCCTGCCTCTGCCCCCACCTGCCAACAGCCCTGCACCCATTTTACAGATGGGTGCCCCCTGGGCAGCCAGGCCCGGATGTGGCCTCCACCGGTGGGGGGGCGGCCCCTGCCCCTCCTGATGCACTGGAGACCCAACCCTGCCTTGGTGGGTTAGATGCTGGGAGGGAACAGGGCTGGGTCCCCTGATTTAGGGTGGGGGAGCTGAGCTCCTAGCCTCAGCCCTGTGACTGCAGGGCTGCACTCAAGTGCCTTTACACAGGCCCCAGTTAGACTGTCTGTGCCTTGGCAGGGGAGGAGGGTCCGTGTCCCGCTCGCCCACCCTGGGGGAGGCCAGTGTGTCCTCCTTGTTGGGGCTGGTGGGTGTGGACCGGGTCAGTGGGTCCCCAGGCTCCCACAGAGTTGGTTAGATAGATTGCCGTGGGTGGGAGGGTTTGGACTGTGGAGATGGCCATGGGGGTGCCTTCCAGCTCTGTGACTGTTGAAGTAAAGCCCTGTCCTGGCTGTCCATCAGCTGGTCCCTTTCTTGGGCGGATGAGGTGGGTGGGGTATGGGTCCAACAGGGCCCAGGTGTGGCTGGGATGGGGGAGAGCGCCAAGCCCAGGACTGGGGCCGTGGTGACCATCCCCGTGCACACACTGTGGTATCTGCTGCAGCCGCCCACTGTATGCCAGGCACATCAGACACCTTTGAGGAGCTCACGTGTGCATGCATCCGAGAGGCCTGGACTGGAGAGCTTGGGGAGCAGGGGTCGGGGTGGCCCACTGGAGGGGGCTGGGGCAGAGGCCAGGTGGGGGCAGGGCCCCATGGGGCTTGAGATGCCAGCAGTGTCTAGAAACAAGAGGTGGGCAGCAGCTGGGATGCGGGCGCAGAGGGTCTGCCCGAGGCAGTGAAGGAGGAGCCCGGGCGGTGAATCCTGCCCTAAACAGCAAGAGGCAAGTTTGGAGGAGGGGAGGGGCACATTTTGTATGAACAGGGTAGCTAAGGGAGTCAGAGAGACCCCAGTTCAAATCCAGCTCCTGCCTCCAGCTTCCTGCTTGTGACTTCACTGCCACTTGCCTGCTTCCCCATCTGTAAGATGGGCACAAGGACAACCCTCCCTCCCAGGGTGGCTGTGATGACGAGCCACCATTCCCGTCGAGCCCTCTCCGTCTGGCTGGTTTGTCTTAGCCGTCTAATCGGACAATACAACCTTCTTTTTATTCCTTGTTGACAGCCTGTTTATATGCGACCTTCAGTGGGAATGCCCCTCCCCAAGGCCACCGCCTTCCTGGTCATAATGATCATGAGCTGCACCTCGAGCCCCCCACCTCTTCAGAAGTGACGGTGTGTGCTACAAGCTGCACCCAGGGGAGAAGGAGGGGCACCTTCTTGTCCCCTTTGGGAGACAAGCTCCATCCCTGAGATGACTTCCTGTTCTGTGCTCCCAATGGGAATCCTAAGGTCCTGCCCTGGTTTGGGTTGGAGCCTCTAGGAAGTCTAAGGTCAGGAGTCCAGGCACATAAACCCTGGGCTCTAGGGACCAGTGGGTAGGAGGGGGGCCTGCAGTGCTGTCATCAGAAGATGAAGGGCTGGGGAGTCCTGAGGGACCTCTGTATGGGCCAGAGCAGAGCTGAAGGCTTCCTGGAGGGGGCATGCACTCGAATGGACAAGAAAGGTGGAACCGTCCAGCATCACAGACCCAGGGGAAACCTCTGAAGGCCAGGGGTGGACTTAGGGCTGCCCAGGGGAGGGGATGGGAAATGGGAGCTTCAGCAGGGGGAATGCTGCCCAACACTCTCAGGGGTAACTGACCAAGCCCCTCAGAGTCCCCTAGTCCCCCCCCCGGGGCCAAAAGTAAGGCAGTCCTGGGGTCAGGTGTCTAGGGAGAGGACAAAGAGAGCCCTGGTGGGGTTTTGTCCAGGGGAGCGATGTGGTCACTCCTGCATTTTGGCAGCTCAATGGGAGGGGAACCTGCCTTCCCAGCTGGGGAAGGGAGGGGCCCCCCACCAGCCTCAGAACCCTGGTGTGCAGGAGCCCTTCCTGGGCACCGCCTGCTCCAAGGCTGGGCATGGACACTCCTCACCTCAGCTTCCAGCACCCTCCTCTCAATGGTTAGAACTCATCTGATGGGGAAACTGAGCCTCCCCTGAAGCAGGCTACTGGCTTAGCACCACTCACAGTGCCAGAAGAAGAAAGGGGTCCTCAGGCCCAGGTACTGTGGGCTCCAACTCTTGGTTAAAATAGGAGATGCCCTGCAGGCCCACCTCCCAGGGGGCTGTGCCAAGCTCCAGCCCTAGCTGTGTGTGTGGGAACCCCCAACCCTCCCCAACTGGCCATGGACTTAGGACCCCCAACTGATTACTGACTCTTCTCAGCCTGGACAAGAGGTGGAGGCCGCCCACCCCTGAGGCTATGACTCTCACTTCTTAGAGACCTTTCCCATGAGCCAATACAAAGAATTACCACTACCACTTTCCCAATAGTGACTTTATTGCCATCTCTGGAGGCCTTGTGGCAGACAGCTGATGGGGGCTCTTCCACGCGGCCGACGGCTGATCCAGGTCCTCGGGGATGGGGGCTCACTTCTCCAGGGGCGCATAGTTCAGAAGCTTCTCGATCAGGTCCACGTGGGCCAGCAGCATCCGACGGCAGCAGTAGCGCTTCAGGCCCAGCGCATCCAGGGCATCCCTGCAACGGAGCCATGAAAGGCGGAAGGAAGGGCCCACCCCCTCTTCCCCCGCCCCGCCCCCTCGGCTGCTTTGCGGCCCTTGACTTGGGTGTGCAGGGGTCCACTAGGACCCCATAGGTGCTTCCGGACCCTCATCCTGGGAGAGAAGGGCTGTTGTGACTCCCAATCCACAGATGGGGAAACTGAGGTGGGCACCCAGCTAGTCAATAGGTGAGGCCGGATTTGAATCGGGTCCAACTGCCTCTGCCCTGGGCTGTGACCCGAGAAGGGCGCGCCTGGCGCCCTGCTGGCACAAAGGCCCTACTGCGGGCTTTGCCGCGAGGGGCCCCGGGGAGGCACCTACCCTTCGGTGTACTCCGCCTGCAGCAGGCCCAGGTAGGCCTCCCACTTGTTGCCCACGATCTTGCCGCACGTGAAGCAGCGCACCGGGATGATCATGGCGAGGGCGAGGAGGTGGGGGCACCGGCGGCGGGTACACACCCGGACTTCCCCTCTCAGCTCCGAAGCTCCGTCCCGCCCCGTTTCCGCCCCGCTTCCGCTTCCGGCGCCTAAGCTCCTCCCCCTGGCGGCCGCTCCCACTGCCTCGAATTGGGGGCGCCCAGGAAGTGGCTCGACCTGGTTCCTCCTCCGCCCCCGTGCGGGTCCCCACCTGGCCCACAGCTCTGGTCCTCCGCCTCCGGGGTCGCGGGTTGCGTGGCCTCCAGAAGTCGCGGCGGTGGCGGGAGGATGCGGCCCCAGGCCTCCCCCCGGCGCGTTGATGATCTCGCCCGCCCCTACGGCGGCCCGTGTAGGCCAGAAGGCCCCGGAGAGAGCCCGAGCGCATTTCTCGCGCGGGATTTGAGTGACAGCTGGGCGGCAGCGGCGGCAGCGGCGGCGGCGTCTGCACTTAGAGTCCAAGCCAAGGCTGAGCTAGAGCCGCCGCCGCCGCTGCCGTCGCCCGCGCGTACGTAGCTCGCTCATTCGCTCCGGGCAGCGCGGGATGGGTTCCAGGAGCCTGCGGAGCCGAGCCTACCCCCCCAGTCCTGGACGGTGCAACTGGTGGAGGCGCCACCGCCTGGAACGCGCGCGGTGGCTGCAACTTGTTGCATGCGGAGAGCCAACGAGGCCAGTGGCCAGCATTTGGCCCCAGGACTTGGGGGAAACTTTCCGTCCTGGCCGGCTGGGGCTCGGGGGCACGGGGAGGGAAGTGACTGGCCCCTTCTGGTGCCTACAGCCCTTCGCATTCTCTGCCGGGCTCAGAGAGTGGGGAATGGACGTGCTGACCTCAGGGATCCGGGGGGAAGATTCTGACCTCCCTCCCCATCTCCAAGTCCCGAATTGGGTCCTCAGGGAAGGGGTTGAGGGAAGGACCCCGAGCCTCCCTGCCCCGGCCCCTGCCCCCAGGGTGTAGTCATCCCGGCCATCCCCCTGCCTCCAGCCTCCATCTCCCTCTGCATCTCGGGTTCGGCTTTAGGAACGTCCCAGTCAACACACAACGTACCCGCCACGCCCGACCCGGGATCGGGGGGCTCAGCTGCCCCTCCCCCGCCTCTTCCCCCACTTCGCGTCCCAGACGGGCCCGACCCCCAGAGCCGCCCCTTGCCTGCGGGTCCCCGCCGTCTAATTGGCTTCAGATGGAAGGCAGGGGGTGGGCTGGGGCGGGGGGGTGGCTTCCAGGCCCGGGGGATCGGGTCCCGGGAGAGCTGGAGCGGGCGGCGGCCCTGACGCAGGGCGCATCCGTCCTTTGCAGGCTCGATCCCGTCCGTCCGCTCCGGTCTGTGTGCTCCAGTCCCGGGCCATCTCTCTTGGCCTCTGGGGGCCCGCGAGAGCTCCTGGGCCGAGGTAAGTGGCTGCGAATCCCCCTTGGGCAGCTCAGGAAGCGGGAGCCGATGCCCCTTCTCCCCTGTCCGCTGTGGCCCTCCGGATCCCCGCGCTCTGCCCCGACCATCGCACGGGGTCCGGCCTTGGGTAGGGGCTGGCGGGCAGCATCTGCAGACAGATGGGGAGGGGGATAAAGCCGGTTGAAGAGGGGGTGTCACTGGCTTTCTGGGACTGAGGGGGAGGAGTAGAGACCCTGGTCCTGAGGAGGGGGAACATCCCATATCCGCCTCAGAGCTGGAAGAGAGCTCGGGGTCACGCGCTTGGTTTTTGGGAGGGAGCTGGCTCCCCTGTCCCGAGGCAGCCCAGCCCAGGCCTGCTCAGTGGGAGACTCTACCCCACACCCCCTCCAAGACCTAATCCCTGGCCACAATTGGGGCTGCTCTTGGGGAGCCCCTGGGAGGGGGGAGGGCCAACAATCTGTACTAAGCCTCAGTGATCCCTTGTAGCTAAGTGCTGGGGGCCGGGGAGGGGCCTGGATCCCAGGAGGGCTCCCGGGGGGAGGAAGGGAGGAAGGAGGGTGGGGGGCCCTGGCTGTCCTGTGCCTGAGCAGGGCTGGAAGGAGGGGGGCTCCGAGGGTCTGGCTTAGCTTCGCCATCTGCTATTTAATGACTAGACCAGGCTCCAGGATTTGGGGGCCTGGAAAACGCCCACCCCTGGTGGGGGGGCACAGGGAGGGCTGGGGCTGCCGAGCTGGCATGGCCCTACCCAAGATTAGTGGTGGGGAGAGCCGTCGGGGCCTCAGGCCCCCCTCCACTCACTGGGATGCTGAACTGGATGCTGGCTTCTGGTCTGTGGGGGACCCAAGGCAAAGGAAATGGCCAGACATGGGGCATCACAGGACAGAGAAGGTGCTGGGTTGAGGGAACCTTGGCCTAGTTAGCCATGGGGAGCTTGTGTCTGGGGGTGTTGCTTTCCTCCCTCTAGAGGAGAATTATGGGTCGTAGCCTAGGAGTTGGAGGTGGGAGCAGGACTGGACTGAAGATTTGAGGGTCTCAGTTTATCTGTCCAAGTATCCTGCTTGTACAGAGGAGCAAGCTGATGCCAGACAGGGTGAAGGGACTTGTCTAAGGCCATCTAAAAGGCAGTGGACAGAGCTTAGATCTCCAGAGCCCAGGCACATTCTACTGGACCGGGGCCCTGGGGAGGGCAGTCAGCCAGCCAGCATTATCTCTGGCTCCCCTCCCTCTCCTCCCCCTCCCCCACTCTCCTTCCCTCTTTCTATCTACCTTCCTCTCCTCTTTCTGTCTTCCCCCTCCCCTTTCCTTTCCTTTTCCTTTCCCCCTCTCCATCCCTTCCCTTCTCTCTGTCTCCCCCTCCCCTTTCCCTCTTTCTCCTCCCTCTCCTTTCTGTCTCCCTCCTCTCCTTTCCCTTTCCCTTTCTGTCCTTCTTCCTCCTTCCCTCCCTTTCCCTCCTCCCTCTGTCTCCTTCTCTCTGTCTTCCCCTCCCCTTTACCTCCCTCTCCCTCCCTCTCTTTCTCTCTCTGTCTCCCTCCTCTCCTTTCCCTTCCCCTTTCCTTCCCCCTTCCTCCCCTTCCCCATTTCCTCTCTCTACCTTCTCCCTTCCCATCTTCTCTTCCCCAAGAACTTCTATGCCTGTGAGCTGGGAGGGGGCAGATCCAGACTCCCAGCTAGCCAGTCAGTCATTCGCCAGCACCTACTATGTGCCAGCAAACAGGGTCAGACCACAGAGACTGGCATGAAAAAGCCCCTGCCCTCCAGGGGTTTCTGTCTAACGGGGAAGACAACGGGCATGCAGAGAAGGAAGGCAGCTCTGTCCTTCCATCTTGGGACTCGCTTCCTGCCGGCTCTGCGGAACAGAGACACACAGATATGATACCTGAGGAAGGGGAAGGAGGAGCCTGGGAGGCAGTAGCCATCCCACAGCGGGGAGTGAGGAGGGAGAGTCTGGATGCTGGCAGCCAGTGCAAAGGCTTGGGGGTTGGACATTGTGTTTGGGGAGAGCAGACCCTGCCCGGCAGACCCCCCTACTCTGATGCCAGCTGTCCTACAGGCTATGCTTTCTGGCTACTGAACAGAGACATCTGTACTTCATCCCAAGGGTGGTGGGGAGTGACACGGTCAGACACGCTCTAGAGTCAGATATGTGGAAAGTGGATTGGGGAGGAGAGAGGCTGGAGGCAGGGAGACTTTTGAAGTCCAGGGAGGAGGTGGTGGCGGTGGTGATGAGGGTAAATTCAGGGAGGTTGTGTGCTTTGGTGGGGGGGCTTGGAGCCTCGGAGAGAGCCCACGGGAGCAGGTGAAGGCAGTGAGAGGGGGCTGAGCACGGGGCCCGACCTTGGGCCGCTGACCCCTCAGCTTACTAGGGTTTATCACCAGCCCATCCCTGCCTCCCAAGCCTGCTCTGCCATGGCCAGAGGGGCCCCAGATGCCGCTGGGGCTATGTGGGGTTCGGGGCAAGGGCTGTCTCTGAGGTTGTCTGTGGACAAGACTCCTCCTGGTAATCCACTCCTCCTCCCATCCTGTCCCCCAAATGCCCTTGGGGGGCTGTTGTCAGTCTCAGGGCGTTCTCACCCCATGTGTATGGAAGCAGGTCCTCCCTTCTCTATGGCCCCCTTCCCCCTCCCTTGGTCCCCTGTTCCGCTGCTCAGTGCCTCCTGACCCCAAATCCTCCCCCTGCTGGGCTCTGGCACCTCTGGGGAGCTGCTGCTCCTGGGGCTAGGGAAGCAGCTATCCCTTGGCCAGAGAACTTGCTCCGGGTGGAGCCCAAAGCATCCATGTTTCCCACTCTCCAGTTGGTTCATTGGCTTGCCTTGACAGCGGGTGTAGCCCAGCCCTGGGCCTGCAGTCAGAGCCCCCCCCAGACCAGCGGGCAGAGCCCCCCCAGCCCTGGGCCAGTGGGCAGAGCCCCCTTAGACCAGCAGGGAGAGAGCTCAAAGGTGGGGCAGCAGTCCCGTAGGCCTCTGGCTCCTTAGGAGGAAGACCTTGTGCCCTCAGCAAGCGTTTGCCGAATGTTTCTAAGCTGACCAAGTACTTTTCTGTGGGCTGCCGATAGACAGGGGGATGACCTTCCTGTCCCTGGGTGTATTCAAGCGGAGGGGATTGTGTGGGTCAGCTGGCCCCCTGAGGTCCTTGCTCTGTGAGGATGGCCCCTCCCTTCAGGCCAGAAGAGGCTACCATGGGCCTGGGGGTATTGGAGCGCAGACTGGGCGTCCAGCGAGGCCTCACTGGGAGCCATGAGCCCTGGCCAAGCGGGGCCGCGGTGAGTTTTCAGCTGGTCTGTGTGTCCCCTGGTGTGAGGAAGGCAGGCAGCTTCCTGGAGGGCCTCCCTGCATTTCTGTGGCCTTGCCTGGTTCCAGCCGGTGTTGGGTTACAGGGAAGACATTCCCCAGGAGGGGGGCAAGGGGGAGATGGTCCTCAGGCGTGGAGAAGGCCAGGGGGCAGGCCAGGGGCTTGGCTCTCTGGGCGCAAAAGGGGCCATGTGGGGATCAGAGCAGCATTGACGGGGTGACACCAAGGCTGCAGGACTTGTCCCACATGTGGTCTGGGATCTGCTGCCCGAGATTTCCAGGCATTAGACTGGGAGACAAAAGGAAATTATTGGGTTTAATTTGGGGAGAGCTCCCCGCCCCAACCCTGCTGTTCTGAGGCCCGGGAGCCATCGGCTGGGGCAGCTGCCTTGGGAACAGACAGAGTGGTGGGGCACTGGAGGGGGGAGA